TCAAGGATATGTTCTTTCAATTCCCTTAAGGTTAGATTACTTCAGAACTTAGATTCTTAATACATGTTATTCCTACCACGTGTCTATTTTAGGGTTAGTTTCATACATACAAACCTCATGATGACTTTATGATGAAGATAATGGTATGATGGAAAATAATTCAGAATGTAAATTTTTTGACATAAGAACAATAAAAATCATGATGTTTGATTGAGCAGTTAGACCTTTGACAGATGTGAGACATGTACCTGATCTAAGGAAGAGTGTAATCTCCTTAGGTATCCTAGATGCAAATGGTTGTAATTATATTGGTGGCAACATTATTCTAAAAATTAGAAAGGGTGTTTTAGTTGTTATAGAAAGAGAAAAAAATGGGACACTATACAAGTTGCTTAGGACAATCATTTATGATTATGCAGCCACTACATCTCATTCTGAAAATAAAGATGTCACTATCCTATGACATGTTAGGTTTCGTCATATGAGTGAGAGAAGGATGTTAGAAATATACAATTAGAAGTTACTAAAGGGTGTCACATCTTGTAAAATTGATTTATGCAAATAATGTGTCTTTGAAAAATAGTGCAAGGTAAAGTTTGTTACTTCTTCTAAAAGAAATAAAACTATTATTAGGTATATACATTCAGATGTTTAGGGTCCATCTCCAATCACATTATTAGGAGGAGCTACATATTTTGTTACCCTTATCAATGACTTATCCATAAAAGTTAGGATCTATTTTCTCAAACAGAAATTTGAGGTGTTTGATACTTCCAAACTTTGGAAGTCTAAAGTTGAGAAATATATTCCTCAAAAAATTAAGGTCTTATATACTGATAATGGTGTTGAGTACAACTCAAAAGAGTTTGAAACTAAACTTAATAGAGATGACATGTTTGATGAAGCATCATTCTTGAAAAATATGCAACCCAATTGGTTCTTGTGAGTTAACCAAAATTGATAAAACAAAAGGAGTTAACTCAATTAAGGTGGAGTTGATTGATAAAACAAAAGGAGTTAACAAAAATTTTAAAAATTCTCCACCCCAATTCTATTTTTAAATTCATAAAATTCTTCACTCAACATGATTGAGTCTTCAGTGCACCTAATTCATAATTATAACTTACTCTATTGCTACAAGTTGTGCAAGAAGAGAAGGGAAAATACTAGCAAGGTTTTTAGATTCAGTTACATATACATTTTTTGTTGTTTCTTTTCATATTGCAGCATTTAAGGAACCAATTCAAAGTAAGAACAATAATGAATGGAGAATTGTTATGACTTATATCCAAAAAAATGATACTTGAAAATTAGTAACACTTCTCAAAGATAAGAAAGTAATTGGATGTATAGGAAGAAATAGTTTCTATCAACAATAAAATAATCTAAATACAAGGCTCAATTGGTAGTCAAAGGATTTGGCTAGAAGATAGGTATAGATTTTAATAAAATATTTTGACAAGTGGTAAAACACTATTCGATTTATGTTATGTTTGTCATAGTTGCTATGTTTCATTTGAAATGGAGCAACTTGACATGAAAATAGTTTTTCTACATAGAAACTTGGATGAAGAGATTTTAATGTTGCAACTTAAAGGTTTTGTTTTCCATGACAAAGAAAAATTAATTTACAAATTAAGAAATCTCTTTATAATTTGAAACAAGTTTCTTACCTATGATATAATAAATTTGACCATTTTATGTAATCACATAGCTACGCAGAAAGTAAGTATCACAACTGTCTTTATTTTCAGTTCCTCAATGATGATTCTATAATTCTCCTTATTCTCTATGTTGATGACATGAAGAAATGTTCAAGATATAGTATGCAAACATGGTTAGATGTCTGACATACGCAATCGTTTGTACTATAATTTATCACAAGTTGTTAGTGCCATTAGTAGATATATGAAAAATCTAAGAAACGAGCAATAGAATGGTGTAAATGAGTTTTGTATTATCTTAGGGGCACATCAGATGTTTGTTTGTTATTTCAGCAAAGAAAATATAATGTTCTTACTGAATATGTTGACTCAAACTTTGCAGGTGGCCTCCATAAGAAAAGATCTACTATAAGTTATATTTTCTCTTTAAGTGGAGGTGTCATTAGTTGGAAATCAATACTCTAAGATATTGTCGCACTCTCTACTATTGAAGCTAAACATATTGTTGTAGTTAAGGTAGCAAAAGAAACCTTCTAGATGAAGGGCGTGGTGAAGGAATTTGGCATCAATCAGTCTATCATACCTCTGTATTGTGATAATGAAAGTGTCATATACTTGCAAAAGATTCAATGTATCATTCTAGGACTAAAAAATATTGATATTATAATTTATAAATTACGTGAATTTTTTTTAAGACTAGTTATTCATTCTGTGAATATTTATATAGAAGATAACATTGCTATATAATGACCAAGCCTTTCTCTATAGCTAAATTTCATGACTACATGAAATTGGTTAATGTCTGCCCAAACTAATAAGTGGAGACATAACTGTATTTCTATTAAACATTTTCTTTGTTTAATATTTTCTGTAGCTAGTTTTTTGGTCGAGTGAGAAGTAGAGAACGTTACTTTTTATTGTCCAAAATCATGTACTAGGGCCAAATTAAAGGGCCCAACTAACTAGAATAGGTAAAGTATCTTTTTCTCCCCCTTTTTAAGAGAAGTAAGAGCTGTAGAGTAAAGACTGTGAGAGACATTTCAAAATCAAGGGCTTCTAAAGCTTCATGGAGAAGGAAGACGGTTGCTTTAGGTGGAGTTGTAGGGCTAGAAGAAAAAAGGAAGAGCCATCCCTTTCTACTCTTCCACATTAGTGTTCTGTTGGTGGCAAAGAATCTTATCTTTTGAGTTGTCTCTATTTTTCTATCTCCTGTTCTTGTTTTGACGATGGATGTAAGAGTTTCAACTTTGAATCATAGTACCTTTATCACCTATTTGTCTTCTATCATTTAAGCTCTGATTTATTTTCAGAGTTTCTACTCATTGTCAGAACATTAATCAAGTGCTCTCTCCTATGTTTGAAGAGAAGCTTGACATCACTTCGGCTTTCTCCAGTATCAGTGACAAGGGGTTTGAACGGATGTGCTGCCTAAGAGTTGGTTATTTATACTGAAGGTGATTTGTAGAAACATCAACAGTAGAGGATGATCTCCGATAATCTAACAAAATAGTTAGCAAGAAAATGCTAACAAGTCTTCTCTTTCTCAAGTTAGAAATGAAAGGCCCATTGATGAAACCCCAGACTGTTGTCACGACAAGGACATAAAGGTCAAACAAGTAATCAAAATCCCATACATCGACCTCAATTCTTTTAGAGTTCTGCGTACACAGTATATGAGTCACCATCCACGAGCCAGTACAATACCTTTCAGAGGCCTAAATCGATTCGGCTGATTGTAACTGATGGCGTGCCCCTATCGCTACCTTCTACTGAGATCTAGTCATACATGACTCTGCTTCATTCCTTTCCCCGAAAGGGCGTATCAGGTCCACGAGCAGTGCCGCTCCCGCCCCACCTTCATGCAGGGAGAGAGGATGCTGTTCCGCGTGAATGAGAACTTAACTTGACAGTCGAGTTTTCATTCACTATACGGGAACAGTTGTTCTCACCGAAAACAACAGAAAAAGCATATAAAGAATTTCAAGAATCCATATTAAACGAAGAAAGAGACAGGGAGGCAGAAATCAGCAAGGAGAAGAAATTGTGATACAGTCTTCGTCTAAGTATATCTCACCGTATGCGCCTCCGCCGTAGGAAAAAGTACGATAAAAAGTCTTATCACGGACAATACAAACAAGGTTGTCACAAAAATTCATCGAACTGTTTTGTTACAAAGGCTAAACAGAAGGCGTGTCCTCGCTGGACAACATCTCTTCGGCACCTTGGACAGATCGTAGATAAAGTCAACTGTATGCCGTTTGTACTCGGGCCGAAAGGATCCTGAAAACGACAGGAACGATTAAGGCTCGGGGTGCAGTTGGGAGAACCCATATCCCGTCCTGCCTCGGTCTGTGCGTCCAGAACAACAGGAAGGATCAGCGGAACTCGAGACCTTCCCCGGGAATTCCATCCTCAAGACTAGAAAGGGACTCACCTCCTCTGGCTACATATCCGCGGGGTGGATGCACACGGCTATGGCGATACGTCCACTGTACCTCCTCTGACTACATATCGGCGGGAAGGATGCACACGGCGTCGGCGATACGTCCATTGCACCTCCTCCGACTAAATATCCACGGGGAGGATGCACTTGGCGACGGCGATACGTCCACTTAACCTCCTCAGTGATCCGGCGGCAAAAATCAATAATACCGTGGAAGGAGGAGGCAAGCAGGCGTTCGGGAATGAATTTTCGCAGAACGACCGGTCCTCTAATCTACCATCTCGCATGCCAGTCAGCCAAGAGCGCCCCTATAAATTCATCCAGTCATCCACACCCCAAGCCCAAGCAAGCTCCAGTCCTCCTGCTCTGATATCCATCCCTCTCCATGGCTCGCTCTATTTTCGCCTTCCTCTTCATCGCGGTTAGTTGGAGCTCTCTGCGTCTCAACTTTTCGGCCGCTAACCCGCCGGCGCGGTTTGAAGTATTCTCTCCGATCCTTGTGCAGGTCGCGGTAGCAGCAGCATCGGCCGCGAGTTTAGCTCCTCAGAACTACTGGGAAACCGTGTTGCCTAACACTCCCATCCCCAGCGCGCTACGCCAGTTGCTGCCGGCAGGTTTTCCTCTCTCTCCACCTCGCTTATTGCTAAAAGTGGTCTGGTCACAGAGTCCTTCGTCGTCTGACTGTTTCCCATTCCGCGTTCGCAGATGCGAAGGCCGGCGTTGACTCCAGCCTCGTCGGTGTCCGGGTAATCGTCGGAAGGTCCCCACCGACTCGTGTCTTCGTCGGCGTATTAGGCTTCAACTACGCGTACGCCGCCACCGACACGCAGGTCCACGACAACGCAGACGTGGCTCTCTTCTTCCAGGAGAAGGACCTCGTCCCAGGGTCCAAGATGAACCTGCACTTCACCAGGACCGCGTCCAACTCCGCCTTCCTGCCCCGCTCGGTCGCCGACTCCATTCCCTTCTCCTCCGCCAAGATGTCCGACATACTGAGCCTCCTCTCCGTCGAACCCCACTCAGAGAAAGCGGCGGCCATTGAGAAGACCCTGCACAGGTGCGAGGAGCCGGCCGTGGCTGGCGAGACCAGATTCTGCGCCACCTCACTGGAATCCATGGTCGACTTCACCACCGCCAGCCTCGGCTCTCGCGACCTCGTGGCGCTGTCCACTGAGGTCAGCAAGGCGGACTCGCCGAAGCAGACTTACGTCATAGCGCCCTCCGGCGTGCAGAAGCTCGCCGGCGGCAAGGCCGTAGCCTGCCACGCTCAGTCGTACGCGTACGCCGTGTTCTACTGCCACGCCACGCGCGCAACCAAGTCCTACGTGGTGTCTCTCGTGGGGAAGGACGGGACCCAGGTGGAGGCTGCGGTGGTGTGCCACACCGACACGTCCAGCTGGAACCCAAAGCACATCGCCTTCCAGCTGCTGAAGGTGAGCCCGGGGACGGCCCCGGTGTGCCACTTCCTGCCGCAGGACCACGTCGTCTGGACCCGTCGCACCTAGAGCCCACACGTCCAGGACGCCGCATCGGTCTTTTTGGAAGATACTAGTCTCATAGAGATATGAGTTGTTTATTGTTCTCGATCATCCGGAAGAATGATGGGGATCGAAGAAGCGGGCCAGCACCTCCACGTCGTCAGCACATCGGCCAAAGCCCATTACGTCGTAATTTCCTTCCTTATTTTTAATTTCAATTGTTAGAGAGGTAATAAATAACCTCGTGTAGCCCGTCGTAATTTCCTTGCTTGTTTTTAATTTCAGTTGTTAAAGAGGTAATAAATAACCTCGTTTACCCCATCGTAATTTCCTTCCTTATTTTTAATTTCAATTGTTAGAGAGGTGATAAATAACCTCGTGTAGACCTAAGAACGAGCAGAGAAGAGATTAAGTTCGAGGTTTACCTCTTATCGCTCTGCAAGGAGAGGCCGTGAGGGTTAGTGATCAATCACCACCACCGTCGTCCGCTGCCGCCTTTATCCGTCGCCACCCGTCGTCAAGCCACCGTCCACCGTCATTATCCTCATCATTGACCGCTGCCGTCGTCCGCCGCCATCACAGTCTGCTACCACCGTCCGCCCCGTCACTGCCGCCGATATCCCTACCTTCGTCCTTCGCTCGTTCAGCCACCGCCACCACCTTCCCTTTCTCGGCCTTCCGCCCGTTCTTCCGCCGCCGGTACGAACCATCCTGGTTTGCACCGGACAGCTTCGCCGATCCAAACCATTTCGGACCATCTGGTTCGTCCCAGCCCGTCTCACCGATCCGAACCATTCCGGACCGCCGGGACTGCACCAGACCTCTTCACTGGTTCGAGCCATTCTGGACCACCTGGTCTGTGCCGGCCCGCCTCACCTAGTCCGAGCTAGTCCACCCAGTCAACCAGGTCGACCCAGTCAACAGTTAGCAACCCAGTCAATGTTCAACATGGTCAACTTCCGCAAGTGGAGCCAAGCTTCAACGTGTTCCTCCTCACTCAGTCACCCGTTCCGACCACCAAGTAATTTCCAAATCATCTTTCTTTACAGATTTGAATACTTTGTTTAATTAGTATATTATCTCGCAATATTGCCGTTGTGTAATCTGTCGATAAGTACACATCATCATATCCGGTGATAATGTAGAGTGAGAACCCACTTAATTGCATCTAATCAATTTATTGATACTGGAGCACCCTAATCATTAGAGATTTCTTAATAGTGTAGATCCATTTGTTTCGAATCTTACCATAGCTAATCTTCTTAATTCTTCGAACTATTGCAAGAGTAGAGTCTAAGTTACTTGTCTAGGGTAGTTCAGTCATATTTTCATCCATCCCGCATCAGAGAAATATCAAATTTATGATTGGTTGTTCCTTTCTAACATAGCATGCATGATTAATACTTCTGTTTGATGAGGGGTACACGGCGACATATCCTTCTATCGCTTGAAAAAATATATTAATTTTTAAAATGGCAAGCGAACAAATATGATGGCGTTATCTTTGATACGGTATCATACAAAACGTGCAGAGATCAGTAAGCTTGGTTTTCTTATACATCTTCTTCTCCTAGCGTCATCGAACCTTCTTTGGTTAGCCACGTGGACAGAACATTAATCGCTTACTTGGCCTTGAACTTGGTACATATTTTACCAGCCGTGATGTTATGTTTCAGGAAATTATATTTCTTGATCGAAGTATTACGTCTCCTCCTACCACAACTCTGTCACACTCTGATCAGTCTTATGTTACCCGCCGCAGACTTTTGTTCGTCATTCAAGGCCAATCCCTGAGCTATCCCCCTCACCTTGCGTCTCGTTCCTTGTCACCCATCCTCCTCGGATTCGACGATCCACGGGGTCAAAATACGGACCAGCCGATTTAAAGGATATTACTGTCGCGTTGATCCGCTCGCCCGATATCACGAATGTCAAGATTGGTCCATTCAAGTCTTCCCCAGATTATCCTTTTTAAGTCTTTATATTATAAGAACATGAGATGTTCCCCAGATTTCTCACGAAAACGAACCCGCATTTTCACCATGGCTGGCAATGGCCGAAAAATAGTGGGAAGCAATGACATCATGGATCAAAGCAAACTGGATGTCAACAGCACCTGTTTTTTTGCTTAACCAGCCCATAATAAGGAACCCATTGGCTGCAAATCGATCTATCAGATAAATCCTTTTCTTGATGTCTCTGCCGATTGCGTTATTTAATTTTAAGGGCCGAGCATTCATTTTCATGAGGAATATCCCCACGTCCATGGACCATATTACAATGCAGCTTTTTCTCTAATTGCCAAACGAATAATAACTTGTTCCATGTTAGCCATTGTAAAACATAATGTGAATATTACAATATTATTGCAAATGTGTATGCCTTTGAGAAGTTCGTTAGCCAGAATTATGTTTCATGCTCCCGTTGAAGGTGATGACTACAAATGGCTTTTGGGATTTCTGCTGCTCTTTTACCCTTGGCCGGTCGTTTCTTCTGTCCGTGACACTCATGTACGCCTAACTCCGGCGGCGTCTCGTGTTCAGCAGTGATTAAATTATTGATGAATTGGGCAGTTTGTTGTTTCAATAGGTCTTGTTTGTTTTTGCTGGCATAAGGTTCGGCTCGTGGATAAAGAGATTAGTGTCGATCCATCTATTTTGAGGCTGTTTTTATGTGTCATTACGAGGAGAAAGGGCAAAGAGGCAAATAATCTTCCGTTTCGAATGAGTACTTCCCGGCGGTATTTTCTCCTCTTCTAATGTCTTGTTGCGCTTATTCTTCCACGGTTCGTTCCCCTAAGTGGTTGATTAAGCTGGCAAAGAAGAAAATGTGGTTACTACAGAGTTGGAATTGATTCAATTATTTGGAGGAAAAGTAGAATGCAACATTTAAACTCTTAATAGAGTTTTGTGAGATAATCTTACGGGTTGAAAGATTGATATATGGTCATTTCACCGAAGTCCCACACCCGGATACCTTGTCTTTCTAGCACTAGGAGAGAAAACTATCCGCAAAGACCTCGCTACCTTTTTGGAGGACGTTCCTTTCATATGCCAACCCATCCTCAATTTCTCGTATCCTTTGGCGAACTTTTCAGTAATGGTTCAGATTCAGGTCAACGGTACATTATTTACTAGGTTGTTTGGTCTTCACTACCTAATGTGCGGTTGCAGTCCACCTGTCTCAGTTGAAGAAGAAAGCTCTCTCAATAAAGTCGGACAGTAGAGATTCGTAAAGGTCCAAGGGTTACAAAATCTTGCAACGATCAAACGATGTAGTGGGATCAAACGATGTAGTTCGGACTGTTACAGCCTCTAGCGGACGGTTCGAAATTGATTCTATACATTTGTGACTAATATTTATAGTAAGAAAACAGTATTATATGTCAATTAAGGAGATCAATCATTTTAGGACTATCAAAGTTAACTGGGGATGAAACAGTACTGTTACAGTTTAAGAGCCAAGTAAATCCATTTATCATTTCCATTACGGGTATTTCATTGATATATTTATTTTTTCTGATGAACTATTATGATTGGTTTCTTTGATGATAAGGTCGTAGGTTAGCATGATAAGTTCCAGTAATAATCTCGCCATTTTTGTTGAGCCGTGCGGGCTGAAACAACGGTCTCGCTTGGGAAATTTCCCTTATCATGTAAGGAGTATTTTTATGATTTAACGTTTGTAATGAGTAGCTTCATTACGACATAATCAACAAATGCTGGCAACCTATTGAACACACCAGCCATTTTGCACAAGTATTATCACTATTTATTCAGTAGGTATGAAGGAAAATAATGCTACATTATCCATGGAAGGTTGTGATGACGACTGGAACCCATTCGTACAGATACCTTAATTAACGCCAATCATTGATGAAAGCCAAAGAACTAGGATGTGGGCTGACCCTGAACCAGGGAGAAGCTTCATCTAGAGTGTCCAATCTAACGACGGGAGGCCCAGACGATGTGTTCCTGCGGCAGGAAGTGGCAAACTGGGACCGTTCCGGGAGTCACCTGGAGGAGTTGGAAGGCCAGATGCTTGGGGTTCCAGCTGGACGTGTCGGTGTGGCATACCACCACGGCATTCACCTTGGCTCCGTCTAACCCTACGAGGGATACGACGTAGGCCTTGTAGCGCGGGTGACATGGCAGTGGAAGACCGCATAGGCGTACCACTGTGCGTGGCAGGCCACAACTTTGCTCCCCAGCAGCTTCTCGATGCCAGTGGACTCCACAACGTATTCTTGCTTTGGGGTACCGTCCTTGCTGACTTCCGTTGAGACCGCCAGGATGTCTCGTGTACCGAGAGTGGCGGTGGCGAAGTTGACCATGGATTCCAGAGAGGTGGCGCAGTACCTGGTCTCCCCAGTGGCGGCCGGCTCCTCGCACGCTTGCAGAGTTTTCTTCAAGCCCTCCGCTACCTCAGAGTTGGGTCCGACAGAGAGGAGTCTCAGTATGTCGGCGAGCTTCTCGGTGGAGAAGGGGATGGAACTGGCCGTAGCTCGGTGAAGGAAAACTGCGCTGGACTGGGCCCTGGTGAAGTGCAGATTTATCTTGGCCCCTGGGTGCAGGTCCTTCTCCAGGAAGAAGAGTGCGACGTCGCGGTTGGCGTGGATCTGCGTGTTAGTGGAAGGGGTTCACGGCGACAAAGACAGGGGTGCTTTGGGGATCTTCCAACAAACACTCCGACATCATTGCTGCCGACCTCCACAGTGGGTCCCCCCGTTTTGGTCACTATCTTGGCTGGAAATCACTCGGAGATAAAAGTTGTTCCTTAGACTCGACGACACGAGTTTAAATACAACCATGGTCAGAACAGCAGGAGACCTGTTGGCAGAAGTTGGCGTATGCCGCCAGGCATTGGTGTGTCGGGCATCATGGTTCTCCAGTAGTCTTGAAGATATAAATCAGCGCCCGAGACCGCCACCACAGCGAGTTACACAACGATTGAGCACACAAAAAGTATAATAAGCCCTTAGCCCGCTTAGTGTGAACCAGAGAACCTATACTACTCACCCAAAGGAAAAGAACGGCGGAAATGGAGAAAGCCATGGCTAGTTGCGAGAGCACGGGAGAAGCAAGACGACAGCAGTTACAGAAGTGCAGTGCACTCTGTGGGAGCTGCTCCGTGGTCATATTTATACGACAGTTGTATTAGGTACACGGCCATCACAAGGACGAGGTGGCCCTCAGCCGCCAGCTCGCCGATAATTCATTTTTCGGCACCTACTCTTCCCCCTACGCCACTCATTGCTACGATTTCATACTCTGCAAATAAGATCATCTGTAGTTGTGTACATCCCCTCGTTACACTATGGGCATCCCCCCACGTTCTATGGAGTTAAGGAGTGCACCATCCTTCCGACTTCCGTCCATGGCGGACCGGATTCTCCGTATCTCTCTGATCTTTCCCCTCGTCCAGGTAATCGTGAAGCCGGCTAGATGGGACTAATGTTATTGCTCATTTGGCGATTCATGTGATGGTTGCCATGAGAACAGGGATATGCTGTGTGCCATGGGCTTGCCCTACGATTGGTGGAACCAGATTGATTGACACGTGACGGTTGCCTTCATCCTTTAATCCTTCGGTTCAGATTCTGACGCGCAATAATTTGTATGATGCCATTTTAAATGATTGTGGGCAAGATTGGAAACTCACTACACGATTTAAATAGGCAACGAAGCTATGTAGAATATTCAAATAAAGGCTTTGCCGGAAGAACACGTTGACCCTTGGGAAAGACGGAGGGGAGGAGAGAAAGACAAGCGGGGGGATAGGTCTTGAATGTAGATGTTAGAAGACGACTTAATGTTTTTTCAGGTAGATCCGGATCCGATTACAAAGGGCCTATAAATACGCTGTATCCGAGACACTTTAGGGTTAATGAAGCTGTTCTTTCCAACTTTTCTTTCCCGTTCTCGCTCTCTCCCTCTCTCTCGCTCTCTACGGTCCTCTCTCAAGGAGAGAAGAGGAAGGAATCAGCAGGTCTGAGCTTCTAACAATAGATATGGAGCTGGAATACAGTTACTGCCAACAATCATGATCTTCATCTTGCCGGAACGTTGGTACATGGTTTGAGCCGGAACAAAAGGCAACCGCTTCGAAGATCTCTGTTGCAGCATCAAATCATAGGATCTCAATGACTAAATTTACAGTTGGGTCTTGAAATATCTAAAGGTAGGTGCAAATGTGCTACGTTGTTTTACCGCTTCTGCGTAGTATCTCCTGATAAAAGTCATCAAACGGCCTTGATTTCTCAACTAAAATTTGATAGAGCTAGGGTCTAAAAGACGACTCCACGGTGCGTTGTTTCAATTTATTTCCAGTATATAAACATTCATAAGAATGATTGTCCGAAGAAAAATTTAGTTCTCTCTTACTATTTGAAAGAAGAAACCTGGTCCACTTTTCACAGACTAATATACTATTCTTCTCCTGTCTTCGTATTTCTTTAGGTGCGGCCATGCAATGTGCTAATACTACTCAGACGTACCGCGACATATGCAATCTTTTGGATCGTACATACCTATATTCATGATTTGGAACTACTTTCTTCCACTGAAAAGGTCGTATACTAAAGAATCATGAACGCAAGACTCGCTGGCGATTTACCCTTGTTCTATTAAGTCTGTCGGCAGGGAGTTGGCGTCCTTTTTTATTGTATTCCCTTTTTTCTCATTTTTTTTCAGTTGGATAGTTCACTAATGAAAATGGATAAATTTATGTGGGTCGCTGTTATTCGCATAAAATAATCCCATAAGAAAATAATCCTCAGCGCAGATGCCCTTCAATTCAGGATAGTTTAGCACATGCTTTCTTATTCTTACTTTTATTTTAGTTCAGATTCTTAGTTTTTGCCTTGATTGAGTACTAGTCTCCAGGATGATAACTTTAGCCAAGAATCTATTTTATTTAAAAAACATATCATCGCAAAAAATTAAGGATCTAGCATCTTTTTTGTCATCATGACCATCGTACATGTTGCAATTGTGAGCTAAAAGTTTTTAGGCAGCTTGTAGATTGGGAATGAAAATACATTTCATTATCTAACTTTTATCTTGAAGAAATCAGAATAAAGGATCTGCAGGACGAGTATAGTTAGAAGAGTTTGCCAGTCTTGAACGGGTAACATGGAGATTGCTTGCATAGTGATTTGAGCAACCTCAATCTTGTTCCTGGAGAGGGAAATTCAGCATACTACAGTGGGATTTTTCTTTTCCTTCTCCATGTCGTTACCTAGACACTATCGTTTAGCACTAATGGGTCTTGCACTTAGCTTTGTTCAGTACCAACCTCGTGTGATGTAAGAGGGGGGAAGCCACTGCCTTTCTGAGTCAAGGGTTCTAAGACGATTATCTCGCTCCTGAAGGAAGAAGAATTTTGTGCGATTGTAAACGGAGGATTCTCCGAACCTGTTAAATCTGGTGTGCCCTCTTCTATTTTTTCTCCTTCCTTTTCTTCCCTCGAATTTGCATTTCTAATGCGCATGGATAAGACGCACGTCGTACAATAAAAAATGGCCACAACATATGTTATGTCCATTCTCGGACGCTAACAGACGTCCAACAAGTTTATCTCCTTAGATTCCCACCAGTGAATCACGCAATCGCCAACAGTGAAACATGAGGCGCAATGCGACTACCTTAATTTATGGCTTCCCACCTGTACAGCCAGATATGTTGTCGAGGCAGGCGATTAATGGGCTCGGACCAGCTAACACGCACGGGGTTATTGCATGTCGTAGATTTCTGGACGAGAACCTTTGAGTAGATGCAGTTTGGCCTGGCCCCTTAATGTCAACGTCCTCTCCGATAGGTTGTATTGATATTATCATGGGAGAAGTTAGTTGACCGCTGAAATTATAATGGTTACAATAGAAGTGCGGACTATCAATTCTTCTTCTGGATCGGAATTCTTAAAAGTGATCTATGACCTTATATGGCTCTTTGTTCCTCTCTTTTTTCCTGGATAATTCGTCTACAACCTCTTCTGAAGAATATTAACTTGCTTACCTCGTGGTCTACCCGTTCATTCTCTCCTTGTGGTACCACCATCTTGTCACCACGAACAAGATGGTATAATTATACGCGCAATTATAACAGCACGCTACCGCGCGTATGAAAGTAAAAATATATATTTAATATCGCGTGCGCCTGCCCCCGTATAAGCTAGATCATGTGTATTCGCCTGTGTACCCGTACGCCTGTGTATTCGCACATGCGTAAGCGCACCAGCTAGCCGTCGATCCCCCCAAACTTGAGATTGGGGTTATCTCCTGGGGCCATGTGCCCTTAAAGCTCTAGACAAAAATGTGCTTAAAAGAGTTTTTGGGTTGTCACATGGAGAATCAATCTATCCTTTAGTGCCTAAAACTCTTGTTATAACTCGAGTTTCATAAACAAGCTGTTTCCTTCTGCGCGTAGGCGTATGGGCGTAGATCGCCTTAGGATAACAGGTCCGTTCATCTCAACATAAAATAGAAAGTCGAACAATAACCGTGAGAGCTAGAGATTTGTTGAAGCACACTTCGGATACAATATTCGTTACTGAGGAACAGGGTGACACATTACACGACGTATATTGATTAGATCACAAAGGCTATCCTACTCAGGAAGCCCCACAAACTGAAACGGCGGGTGCCGGTGAACCAGAAGCTTTCTCTGTGACGTCCAGTCTACCGACGGGGCGCCCACACGATGTGATCCTGCGGGAGGAAGTGGCAAACGGGGACCGTGCCGGGCTTTACCTGCAGAAGCTGGAAGGCCAGGTGCTTCGGGTTCCAGCCGGACGTGTCAGTGTGGCATACCACCACGGCATCCACCTTGGCTCCGTCTTGCCCCGCGAGAGACACAAGGTAGGCCTTGGTGGCGCGAGTGACGTGGCAATAGAACACGGCATAGGCGAATGGTTGAGCGTGGCAAGCTACGGCCTTGCTGCCAACCAGCCTCTGCACGCCGGAGGGCGTTATGGTATAAGCCTGCTTCGGCGTTCCCTTCTTGCTGACTTCCGTCGATACCGCCAGGACATCACGAGTTCCGAGGCTGGCGGAGGAGAAGTCGACCATGGATTCCAGGGAGGTGGCGCAATACCTGGTTTCTCCTGCGGAGGCCGGCTCCTCACACTCTCGGAGTGTCTTCTCCAGGGCCTCAGCTTCCGGAGAGTCTGACAGGACGGAGAAGAGGCTCAGTATGTCGGGAAGCCTCTTGGAGGAGAAGGGAATGGAGTTGGCGACGGAACGGGGTAGGAAAGCGGCGTTGGACGAGGTCCTGGTGAAGTGCAGGTTCATCCTGGTCCCAGGGCGTAGGTCCTTCTCCCGGAAGAAGACGGCGACGTTGCGGTTGTCGTGGATCTGCGTCTCAGTGGCTGCATAACTGTAGAAGAACCCTGGGGCAACGTTCACCGTCGTCTTCTTCTTCATCCCTGTACTTACGGTCACACCTTTGTGCCCCACGTCTACACTGGTATGCCCCGATTTTCTCTTCCCGGCATTGACATGGACTCCGCCCTTACCGACGACCACGGAGGCCACCTTCTTGTCCAACATCCCTGCTAACCGTTAAAACCGTGAAGCATGAGTTTCAGCTAAGCACTGGGGACGTCGACGAAGGATTGCTAGAGAGAGAAAAAGAGAAGAAAGAGCGATACCGGGAACCAACAGCTCCCGTACAGCGATGGGCATGGGAGTCTTCGGCAGCCTGCTCTTCCAGTAATCCTCTGGCGGTACGGCCGCTCTCGACACTGCTACTACCATTAGCTGCACAGGAGTTCCAAAATGCTTAGCATTAACCTTAGCCATCGCCATTAAAACAAGGCGAGTAGATTCAGAGCTCGGTACTCACCGAGAATAACAGAAAGGATGAGACAGAGTGGGCCATGTTGTGCAAGAGATGACGGCAGTGCAGCTCGAAGAAATGAGCAAGCGGAGGGAGCGGCTTAGTGGGCGTATTTATAGACAAGCGGAGGGAGCGACCAGATGGCATCGTTAGGAGGCTACCGCCAGCTGCATGATCCACCGAAATTAATATTACAACACCGATTTCCACCGCTGTACACCATTGTCTGTTGTCGCCCCTACAGTTTTAGTGTTGTGACTCGTTGGCTAACCTGAGTTTCTCCAGTCGCTGAAGAACAGCCACAGGAGGTACACTCACTTGTCAGGGTCCTCCCCCTCCCCCAAATACCCTCCCAATCCGGGAAGGGTCCCCCGTAGCTTTGAACTCTTCCTTTATGTCCATAACTCCGACGGCTGGGGGCATGGATCTCTTCGTTGTTTGCTCTGATCTTGACTAACGTCCAGTTTCAGGCCGATGCCGGTAAACCTGCTTATAGGTATGGAAATGGTTTGGACAAGCCCGGAGCCGTAGTCTAGGAATTTAATGTATCCGCGGCTCGAAATCGGACTCATCAAGATAAATGAATGGCTGTTCACTCCTTAGTCAACAACGCAAAAATCCATTTTCACCACATTGATTCTACTCTCTCTCTCTCTCCCCATCCCCACCCCTCCTCCTCCCTCCTCTCCTCTCCTTATGAGTCTGGCTCAAGTTAAGTTCAGTAATGTTTTTTTACCGGCCCGACCCAGTCATTGAGGACCTTCCTAGTTACCTAAATTTCGCTCACACTATTTTTTTTGTCGAGCACAGAAATATGAGTCAGATCAGACGTTCAAACTAGATCTCATTTCAATGACACCGATAGAAAATGAATGATATGTCACCGGTAGACACTCAAGAGCGATCGGGGGCGACGAGGGAGGATCTAATTCATGAGAAACCAGAAATTTAATGGACGTCCTTGTATGATGGTAGACATTATGTTCGCGATTCCAGTACAGACAAGCATCGTGCAAGCGCCAACTACTGTCATTGAAGACTGAAAAGAAAGTCTCGACACGCGCAGTTAGAGTGATGTGAAGTCAAGAGAAGACCATACCCTGGCCTGGCTGTAAAGGTGAAGAAGTCAAATGGTGTCGGTATTCCATGTACTGGAACGACTACATGAGCCGGTGGATGTCAGGAACCAAGGGAAACTTCAGTGGCACACGTAATATCCACGTCGTGGGCAACTGTCGCTATCATCCCGTGGGATCAAGCATGTGCGCATTGATGCATCCCCCAACTGTCCTGATCTGTCGAACCCGAGCTTTCCGAGAAAGTCAGATTGGGAACAGGGATCGAGAGCGGCGAAGGGGGAGCGCGCGAGCGGGCGAAAGAGAGATTGCTTGACACTGGTAATGAAGTCTCGAGTGACGATAGGCCAGTTATATGACAATAAATATGGACTTTGACCGTACGGACCAAAATCTCTAGAAGTCTAAATCAAACGCGAATGGAGACCAGAGCAATAAACAGAGAGTTGTGAAGAGAGATAGAGAGAGATAAAGAAAAGTATATATATATAGATAGATAGATAGAGAGAGAGAGAGAGGGAGCGAGAGAGTAAGAAAGGGAGATGGATCTTCAGATTTACGAGCCATGAAATGTCATGATTCAACTCAAATGAAGTCCTGCACAAATAAGAATAGAGATCATATAAGCAAAAACTAAGATTATCTTATCTTTAATATAGCTTAGAAGTAAGGATTTTGTATCTGATATAGTATGGACATAAGACGGTAAGATAAAGCCAATTTCCAGCGGAGAAATAAACGATATAATAAATGCATTTCTGATACTTCCCCTCATTTTATATCCATCACGTGTTGCAGTCATGACAAACGATGTTGTTTCCCTAATGTTCTTTTTAGTGAGACCAGCTACTTCAACTCAAAGTACTTAAGAATCCCATCACATACTGCATAATCAGACGTGCAACAAGCCTAAGTTGATTTTAAAAATCTAGATATAACGGCATTTATAATACAAGTGGTGCAAAAGTTTCTCCTATCAAACAATTTCAATCAGAGAAACCAGCAACTATGGAGACGGCCGTTTGATTATGGATTTATTGCACTGACTTAGTGAACCATAGAATATTGACGTTCAACAAAAATTTTGACCCCTTTTATAGAACTATCGTATCTAGTGTGTCAACGGATCAGATTCGGAATCAATCAATTATAAAAGAAGACCTTCATGTGAAATGTGATGTAAGAGTGGGACATCCAACAGCAAGCCTCAACCTGCCCTCCCCCCCCGCCCCCCCCAACCAACACACAGACACTCCTGGGGTAGTCTTAAACACTTTCCATCTTGTCGGTTTCTCTCTAGGGTTCATACTCCAGCTCTTGCAAGCCTCGGAAGCTTTGGTTTTCTTGGAGAACCGGATATGGATTTAACAGTGTAATTAAAACTGATTAAGTTGTAAAAAAAGATAAGCTTTCAATTAATCTCAGTTAGCAGGCTATACAGGTTTATGTCTGAAACATATTATGTATCTCCAAAACATGAGACTTTTCCACATTCTTGGTGTAAATTACAACGCCCCCTAAATTCTTTGTGTAGGCATTACACCTCAGACAGATCTTTTTTTGTCTTCAGAATGAGGTTTTCTCGATCAGAGACTGATTGTTGAATCTGATACCAAATTAATCATATAAAGTTTCTTTGGAAAATTAATTAAAAATTTATTGGACTCTTCTAAATATATCACATGATTATTTTAACATTTTCCTGTCCAATGTGATTATAAGACAAAACTAAAAGAGAACTAATTTGTAAAGCTCTCTTATATGAATAATACAAATGGGATCTATTCAATGAAATACTAAATATTGATTTGATACCATGCTACTTTTATTAGCCTATCCACATCATAAACAATGGGCTATGAGTGAAGTAGGAGTGCCTATTTATCTTTCATTATTTAACTGAGTCTCTAAAAAGAGACTATTTTACTTTATCAGTAATGTGTAAGCTGACTTTTCAAACGTAGATATACAATATAAATTGATCATAATACACCAAGAGAAATTATCAACTCTTATATCATGTTAACGATGGCAAGCCATTCAACTCAAAATTAATTGTTGATGAATGAAATAGTACTTTACATTGATATGTATTTAGGAAAATTCCATATGACAAAGTGAGCCAATGATTATGAAGAGATTCATTCCACTTATCGTGAATGAGTTTTGTGATAGATAATCCGCTGAGATAACATGACATTTTAGTTGATAATCAATCTTAAACATCATGCTCCTTATTTGAATTGTTCAAGTTGCAAAGCCCAAAAGTCATGTTAAACATAAAGAGTCTTGTTGTGAAATGTCACATGCTGATTATCACAAAAATATCCTAATTATTGAGAAGATGTGTGTAGCCTACTTGTTTCTAACTACTTCTACTAAAAAAACAATTTTAAATTTGTATTCATTTCCCAATGAGTTGACTTCTGAAACATATGATTTTATCTTTGTTATAACTTGTTGAATTTTTATTCCATGATATACAGTATTTCCCCAAATGACAACCCAGATTGGGGAAGCCGAAGCATCTTCTTGTGATAGAACAATCTAGAAATTACATAAAGCAATAGCACACTTGAGATGGGAAATGTCGCCCTAATACAGGAGTGTTCTACTTATTCTAAAGAAAGAGACTTGGCTGCTTGGTCCCCACTGACGTTATTGTTCACTACTCATTTGAATCTTTCCCTAGAAGAGACTCTAAAACTATATTTCCTACGAGGATGGGAAGAGCTTCCCTTGATGGCCCAACTGGCATCTTGAATCCGCTTGTGACTTCCTCGTTTTATCAAGGTAACAACAGTGTCATATATATTATTATAAAGTAAATATATCACAATGAAGATTTGCCTTCTCCAGCCATTGCTAATTGGATTTGAGTGTAATACCCCAATAAGTGTGACATAATTTCGAGGATGATGGTTGGCTTGAAGTTGACAGGGTGAGAAAAAGAATAGTCTTATATTTGTTCTTAGGAAAGTACACTAGTAAACTCATCTAAAAATTTGTTTTGAGTTGGACAAACCAACTTTGTTACCGAGAAGTAAAGATGAGCCTAGTCAAACAACGTGCGACTGTCTGGGAGAAAGCCAGATGACTCGACCATACATTACGATTGTGACGATGGATGAAGACCTGTGGATTTCTCCCTCTGATCTTAAAGGGGATTTTCTATAATTTCGCACGTGAGGGGTTATTACTTGGTTTCGTCCAGTCATTAATAACTGGGTTCTTTGATATTGTCTCATGTGCCATCTGTTTAATCAAAAGTCGGCAGTTTTGGCTTAATGAGACTAGACTAAAATCCTTAAGAAAGTCTGCCAGACGTGTGAATGGCTCTACTTATCTCAAAATCGGAATTAGATTCATGCCATCTTCCAACTTGGATACTAAATAAAGTAGGACAAATATGTCGGCCCAACCCAATCCGTTGCTTATATTTATGAACCCGATATTTTACAAGATTCTCCACTTATGGGCAACGTCTTACTCTTATAAGGCATCGTTCGATCTAGCCCATCAAAATATACATACACACACACATATAACGAGAGAGAGAGAGAGAGAGAGAGAGAGAGAGAGATCAACTGAATAGGTTGTAGAAGCAAATGACTGAAGATGCTATCAGATCATCCGGATCTAGCATCAAGTTCAATATATGTATTAAAGTTGGAGTGCGCTTTAGAAATCGATTTGAGTTGGTGATGACATTCTTTGTGGGAAGAAACGGAATGGCCTATTCTTTAAGTAAGCGCTAAAAACGATGCCCTCCGAGCGAAATATATTTGCAGGATTTTATATTAGAGAAGTTAGCAAAAGTTTTAAACCGGTCAAGAAAAATGAGAGATGATTAGTGGTGTCTATGGGCTCAACTAGGGTCCATACTCAGCTCGTTGAGAACAGTTAAACCTACCCTCCCCTCCCCTCTTCTGGTACAATTTTTAAATTGTTTGTATATGCAGCATTAATCTATTGTTTGGTTTTCAGGAAAACATGTGTTCCCACCGTGGAGCCCTACTGTGCATGAAATCAAAGGCATACTCATCGTGGAGCCCTACTGTGCATGAAATCAAAGGCATACTCATTGGCCTTGCCAATGGATTGATTCCCATCTGTGTGTGTTTCGCACCCAAAACGATGACATCGTCCAACGATTATTCAGGGAGATAAAGTTCTACTTGCTACTACTAATGAAGTATAATCTGGATATTCAATTCCCTTCGCAGGGAGCTTAAGCCTCCGGCTGCGGGGTCCATCTCGTCGATCCCGTTCTAGATTTATAAAGAGACGGGATCCTGACCAGCCGCCGCCGACCCGCAGGATGCCGGTACTGAGAATCTGGACGCTGCAGATTAGGAGGTGTAATCGTCTCAAAGAAAGGCCTTGTCTTTCACTCTATGTCTTGCGATTGTCTGAATGCACGTGTTTTTTTACCTGCCTCATCTCCAACCAATCAACATACTCTTCTTGTATATGTCTGGAATAAAATTATCACTGACATGAAAGAAAGAAAGAAATAAAAAGGCGTCAGACGGCATTGCCTTTTTGCAGAAATATCCCTCCTCAAGTATACGTTACTATCTGTTATCTAACGATACTAATCCTACGATTAAGGCATCGTATCGTTGGGACACTGAACGAAGTTTAATAGTGCGATGATCTGTCGTGGGATTAACAAGCCAAACAATTACTTTTTTGACGACTGTTAAAGAGCACGCCTTAGGCTTAAATGATTGCCTTGGCTAGTTCCTGCTCTCGTCCTGGTTGATGCGTGCCTTTAATGGATTAGTGGAAATAACTGTTGTCACCAGTATGCCGCAGCTTTCCTCGTCGTAGATTATCAAATAACCGAACCATTTGAGTAAAGAGTAGTTCTTCTCTCTCTCTTCTCTCTCTCTCTCTCTCTCTCTCTCTCTCTCTCTCTCTCTCTCTCTCTCTCTCTCTCTCTCTCTCTCTCTCTTAATTCACAATGCAGGAGAGTCGGCTGCCATAAAGTCATGAAAAAGAGTGAAGAGCGAAGCATGCAAATGATGTTACAGGAGCAGAAGAGTCTAATTTGTTTCATTTGTCGAGAATATATGGAAAATTCCCTGTGTACAGCATCAGAGTTTGCTCAAGTTAAAATAAAATATTTTTCCTATCTGTCTAGAAAAGATCAATCATAAATTGGAACATAAACTGAATTTATCACAAACATATTTTACTCTAGGATAAAAGTTTACACGCAAAAGCTTTACTTTCTAAACAAGATGATATAAAACATAAAACAACGTTGTTGTGGAAGAAGGTAAGATCCGAGCTTGAATCCACAAACTCGAACCCTAGAGAAGAAACCAAGTCCTAAATCAATAGAATTAGATCTTCGACCTTTGAATATACAAGGAAAACTACCCTGAATCCATAAGATCAGAAGTGACCTTAGAATCTACAGTTGGCACTTGAATCTATATGCAGAGGAAGAGGACCTTACCGGGGAAAAATTAAAAATATTTGAATTGAATGAGTTGGTTTCATGTAGAAAGAACGTTATATTGTCCTAAGAAAACGTGGGACACTCCCAACAGACTCTGAAAAAGTAAAAAGACTCCAAACAGAATCAAAATAGATTATGAAAAAAAAATAGAAAATAGAAAATAGAAAATGAAAGAGAACAAAGGGACTTCATACGACCCAACAAAATCTGGACCAGTCTTCTTGTACTTTAAAGAAGCCCAAAAAACTTTTTTGGCCACCTTTTCACATCTCCCCTTGATGGCCCAATACTATGCATTTTGGCTCAGCTTCCACCTTTTGAGTGATTTGGGGTGCATCAAATATTTCTTTGGTGTCTAGTGCTCATCTTACCTAGGTGACCTCAAAATAGGGAACCATGGATACATTCTTCTTCATGTTCTTCTCTTTACTGTTGTACACGATTGAATTAATAATTATATCTAAGGTTCAATCTTTGCATATATGATAATTGGATACAAGTATTGGAGCCTCATTCGACACTGAGATGTCTACATCTGTAAACAAACGACCTTTTGTCTTTAAGAACTTGAGGCCCATTAGTGTGGTGCCACTCAAGCCTAATTTTAATGATGTAATCCAGAATTAGTGGGGGTCGACGTGCTTAACATTGTCTCATGTCCATAGTATCTTAGCTCAAAGGTCAGTTAGATCATAATTAAATCCATACCTCATTACACGACCAAAAGACCGGGGGTGGGGGATGTCTAGTTTCGATGTGGTGTTCTTATGTTGAAGTAGAAGGGGCATACAACTGAGCCAAAGAGGGTAAGGAGAGGAAGAAGACAAAAGGCATCTTGGTCTATGCCTTTGTGAAAATGTCCAAAATTCGAGTCATGTTTCTCACCCTGCGCTTCACCCCTTCTCTTTCACTCTTGGGTAACGTGCAGAGAGGACAGATGGATGCTCCCTCCCCTCTTTCTCTCTCCCTCACACACACACACACACACACACGCACGCACGCACACACGCACACACACGGCTTGGGTTTTTTAGTTCATTAAGTTTTCCCCCTGTACGACTGGAGGGCCTACATAGAACACTGTTTGGAGGAGCAAAAATGGTTGTTTAGTGTTTTGTTGAGAAAATAAATCTAACCACTTTTTCTTTCTTAGTGTTATCGTGTTCAGTGCAATATCTACTTAGCTCTCTCCATGGACGTAGGAGAACTTCTCAAAACCACGAATTTTGGTGCATTATCTTCTATACTTCCGACTTGGTGTATAACATGTTTGGTGATTCAACTTTAGCATCGACACCCCATGAGTAATTGATTAACCATCTATGCTACGGTAGGAGTCCTACTGGGAGAAGGTAATACACTCCTGATTTTTGGCGTCGAGAAGGTGTGAAGCATGTAGGATTTGAGGTAAACCAACACTCTTGCTAAGGAGAAAGATGCCGCGTAGCCGGGGTTGTATGGCTTGTGAGCCCATGGGAAGCGGCCCAGGGTGGCGTCCAAGTGGCAGCCCGTGAGGGGATCTCGCGTGACATGGCCCCTTCAAGTCCGAGTTCCCCGTGCCTCTTCCGTCAGGACAGAGAGATGGCGGCTGGCCGGCGACCGTCTGGTCTCTGCAGGGATAGTTTCCGGTACGACCGGGGACTTGCTCGAGATTGGCTTGATGAAAGCCATAAAAGGAAAATTTGGAAATCTGGCCGCAATATCAGATATTAGAAATCTCCGATTTCAAAGATTTGTTCGTTCATCCCAGAGCAGGGGCACTCCAGGTCCACAAATTTGCTCATTTACTTGAGAGAGATCCCGTTGATCCGTGAACCATCTCTCACATGTGTCTACATGGCTGGCGTTCTCCATTCCTCCGGAATTTCAGCGAGGGCCATAGGAATCAGATCAAGCTCCGACTGTGCCTCTCTAATTATAGATTTTTCTCGTACAGGTTAAATTTGTTTAAAAAATCTCTTTCCATAATTGGGTAGGGAAAATCGTATGTTCTTCGGAATAGTAGGGACTTGACACCAATATAAGACGTCCCACGAAGCCTTTTTCTCAATCGAGAGGACCTCCTTCCCGGTCTCCCTGTTCTCTTCGTTCTTCTCCTCCGCGCGAGAAGTAAACCTTTCTGGGAGAGAGAAAGAGAGAGAGAGAGAGAGAGAGAGTTCCGTTCTCCACTGCGTTGATAAGGTCCACCGTCATCCGCGAGACGAGGAGATCTGTTCTCCCCCCGTCAGACACCTTCTCTCATATTCTGTAGACCGAACACCAGGATTCACAGAAGCCAGAAAAAATATAGGCACATGCTCCCCCATTCTAGATCGTTCTCGTTCCAATGACCATTGTATGAAGACCTCTCCTCCCGTCCATCCCCTCCTTAGTGCTTTTGTCCATTAAACTTTTCTGTCCGAAGCCGCCGCCGCCGCCGCCGCAGAGCGCCCTCCGCTACCTCTATCTTCATGGACAGCTGGAGAGAAGCCGAATGCAAGAGGTCTCACGATCCCTTCTACAAATACAACTCCCACGACGAACGCAATAGTAAGGCGGTGGGAGACGCGTTCATTTGGGTCCATGAACCTGTTATCGTTGGGGCAGGACCCTCGGGACTTGCCGTTGCCGCCTGCCTCATGGAGAAGGGAATCCCAAGCGTGGTCTTAGAGAGATCTGACTGCATCGCCTCCCTGTGGAAACACAAGACCTACGATCGCCTCCGCCTGCATCTCCCCAAGCAGTTCTGCGAGCTCCCACACATGTCATTCCCCACTTGTTTCCCTACGTACCCCACAAAGCATCAGTTCCTCGCCTACCTCGAGACATACGCAAGGCAGTTCAACATCAGCCCAGTCTTTCATCAGACGGTCGAGTGCGCCTTCTATGATCGCGACCTCAGCATGTGGATAGTGAAGACGAGAAGAACGGACAAAGAGGGGGAGGAGGAGGCGATGACAAGTTATATCTGCCGGTGGCTGGTGGTGGCCACAGGTGAGAATGCAGATATTGTAGTGCCGGATATCGAAGGAATTGGTGAATTTAAAGGGCCCGTAGTTCATACGAGTGAGTACCGTCGAGGGGACGTGTTCAGAGAGAAGAAGGTCCTCGTCCTCGGATGCGGCAACTCAGGCATGGAGATCTGTCTGGATCTCTGCGACTACAATGCGCACCCCACTCTTGTTGTAAGAGATTCGGTAAGTAGCAGGATTATATCTTTATTCCTTCTCCGTGTACATAGCCAAGTATATATAAAACAAAAATTGAGATAGATGATCATATAGGAATGGATAGGGAATTAGAAGTAGATATCCCTCACTTTTGAGTTTTGTTCAACGTCTCCGGTTATTTTTCAAACGGTCGACTTCAAGTTTAGAATCGCAGGATAATGAACCTGTCTTCAGCACTAGCCTACCGTTGAAGCTGTTCTGGCCACCTCTTCTGGCGTCCTCACATCAATCTCCATCATTATCTATTATCTCCCCTTACTGGTTTCGTTAAACCGCGAAGTCCAACCTTCAAAGAGGTCTGTTGTTCACTGCGTCAACTTTATCGTCTATTTAGCCTTTAAACAAGAGGTGGACCTCATGGGTTGCGCCTCGTCCTCTTCTCCCGTTTTCTTTTTTATCTTGCGTCTCGTGACATTCTTCCCGTCGGTGTGCATTTTTCCTACGATGGCCGACGGAGTTCGGCATTTGAAGAAAGATTTCTTCTTTAGCGCCGTACGTGCTCACCGTGCAAAAAATTTCAATTTCTCCCTGTTTGGCATTCGAAAAGTTCGTTATGGACAAGGGTTTTCTTGCCTTCTTCTCTTTCTTGGAACTCGTCCCACGCTCGTGGTGCAACTCTGTCTACTCACACACCCCAAGGACCATCAGCTAGTTCCTGCAACTGCTTTTCTTTCTTCTTTCGCGTTCGGACTTTTATATTGCAGTGGCGGTGCAGTGCGCAGAGCTACACGAACAAGTGTCAAGAAGGGAACACGAACATTAGAATGGGACCGCTGCCCCCTAGCCAAAGCGCCCCTTTGCTTGTCAAAACAACATTAACAATCTAAAGAAAGGAACACTAGCACAGGTTCTGACGTTGGTGCAACCTACTCTATATTCCTCTAATTCTCTCTCTCTCTTTCCATCCGCTAATATATAGTGGGATTGCTCATAAAGAGTGAAAGATTGGTAGAAGAGATTGCCACAACAGAGGAAGTAGAATTAGCGAGTCCACGTATACCCTGAACTAGCGTGTCACACTGCATTCATCGCCTTCTTCAAAGGTCCCTTTTTTCCTTGTTTAATCTTCAGTGCATGTTGTTGCAGGTGCACGTCCTGCCCAGGGACATCCTCGGAAGATCCACATTCGGTCTATCTATGTGGCTTCTGAAGTGGCTACCAATTCGGGCTGTGGATCGTTTCCTACTCTTCGTTTCATGGCTCACTCTTGGTGACACCTCCCAGCATGGCCTGGAACGGCCCCATCTGGGTCCACTAGAGCTCAAGGCCGTTTCCGGGAAGACCCCCGTCCTTGACGTCGGTACTCTGGCCAAAATCAAGTCTGGCAACGTCAAGGTCTGTCAGCACCGTCTAATGCGTCCTTACCCATTTAATAATTGATTGGTCCGACGAGCCGTCGTCCTTTAACTCACCAGAATTTTCTTGGGATCTCTGAAATTCACAGATTTGCCCAGCCATAAAGAGAATGATGAGCCACGGAGCTGAGTTCATAGACGGAAGAGCAGAGAACTTTGATGTCGTCGTCCTAGCCACTGGCTACAGAAGCAACGTGCCCTCGTGGCTCAAGGTATAGTATTTCCTGATAAACCATGGCACATCGGCACATATATTAGTATTGAAAGCCCTCTGTTAATTTTCAGTTGGGCGGAACTTATTTTACAATGATATCCTACAAATCATTGAGAGGTCATCTTAAAAAGTCTCACACCAGCTGGAGAAAACAAAATGTTAATTACATACAAAAGTTCGGATTGTACGCAAAAATCTTTCACAACTGTGTCTTATTTGAATTGCCGGAGAAAACACATGGCCTGTGAGCTTAACGTGTAGGAGCTGAAGGTCTCTCGATGTTATTTAGCAGGAGAGGGAGCTCTTCTCAGAGAATACTGGGCTACCGAGGAGGCCCTTTCCTCACAGTTGGAAGGGCGAGCGTGGTCTCTACGCGGTGGGATTCACTCAACGGGGTATACTAGGCGCGTCTACGGAGGCGAGGAGGATTGCTCACGACATCCATCAGCAATGGAGATGTGCCGCAAAGTCTGTTGGGAATCCCCTGAAAAATTCAATCACTACGGCAGTTGAACGCGATCTCCTCCACACGTGCACCGGAGATTGAGTGGCTTTCCCCCGATATTTGTACATTCTGTCTACCGCCATTTTTAATATCGCGGCAGATCGATGAAGTTTTCACGGAGGGTTCTGGCGAAGTTCTGGCTTGAACATCCGTTCGTCTTTGACTTTTAATGGGATAGGGTATGTTGTATATGATTATGAAAGGTCTAGAAGTGTTTCTGTTGATACCTCGTTATCCCCTAAAGCGCTCTAATATATTAGATATAGATATGCATACATATATACATATATAACACGTACCAGCATTACTGCTCGATGAGGTTTATGAATCACAAGATCCACGGGATCCTCATTCTCAGTCGATGACTATTACATCCTTACATAAAAGAATTGATTCACACCCCCCCACCTATCCCGACTCTAGCTTCCTTCTCGCTGGAGACCCCATTACTACGCATGCAATGAAGTCAGAACAATTAAGACAGACCCAGAGGGCGAAAAGTAGGAAAAGAGGAAAGGGTGAACGAGTTAGAGGCTCTCTCTATTCGGGCATATATAGACATGGACTGTCAATCGTGAGTTCATAAGTAGAGGGATCTATGAAGAGAGCACGAAAAGATATATATTTCCTTGTTTTTTCTGACCTTCCACTGTCTCTTGCCAAGTTTTGCTACATAAGAGGAGACGCGCATCTCCTGATCTGATTCAATCTGCGAGTACCGGTCCCGAGAAGAATGCCGACCGTGCTAGCGATGCTATAACTTCGGTGTGGATCAGAGTTTCGCGTTTTAGGATCTTCCTAGAGTTCTAGAATTAGAAGTACACACGCACAAAATAAAATAAAACAAATAACAAGTCTTGCGAGTCCTTTGACATCATTCCCCACTGAGCATTACTTTATCATATACAAGAGGATATCATGACGGATACTACATTCTTTCACAAAGTTTTTTCAATTCAAGAAAACAAATCAATCAATTAGTAGGGGATAAGACTTGGCGGGTTATCAGTTGAATCCGGACTGCTAAAAGCCATTTTTAATTGCAATATTATACCTTACATGACTGAAGATTATTCTGTGCATTATTTTGACGAAGTTGACCTTCTTGGTCACTCAAAATAATCCCCTAAATTAGATATCTTTGAGAATTGTATGTATGCATAAATTAGGCACAGCTGGAATGGTGGATCTGATCAGACATTATTTTTCTCTTTAGGAGTAAAGAATATGCAAGTAATGCGGGACAGATTATATAAGTAGACATAGCACCTGGAATGGAATATATATTTGTTAGACGCCCCATCCTTTTCCAGAGCAAGTATTGAATCCTTGACTTTAACTTACGCAATGTCAAGAATTCAACATGATTCAGTCCGAACGGGTAATAATCAAGTTGGCAATTGAGAATCTCAATATGGATTGGACGATCATGCTCTGAATCAGGTGATCTTAAATACCATATGAAAGTAAGTTAGTTACAATGTATAGCACGTAAAATAGTTGTAATGAGAGTTGTCTTTAGATATGAATTGGTTGGAAAAAATTGGTCATAATACAGGCTGTTATATATCATGGGGATAATAGCCTGCTTGACACTCGTACAATAATTCTTTGGGCCACGTAATCTCGGACTCCAGATTCTGTGCCCCAAGTGTTTGACCGGACTAATAAGTAAACGAATCTTCCCCCGTCTCTCTCGCCCATGATTGATGCAGAGGACGCTAGAGTCTGAAAAAGTACACTTTCGCCTCTCGCCGTCACATGCGCAGGTGCCACTTTTACAGTCATTTCAGCGGACATGAAGATCTTGACGGAAGAGATGCCGATCTTCCGTCAATCGGATACCTTTCATGTTGTGGAGTGTGCTCTCTCTCTCTCTCTCTCTCTCTCTCTCTCTCTCTCTCTCTTTCTCTCTCTCTCTCTCTCAAGTTGGCGGTCCTCTCAATATATCGGCCCACTAGCCCTGATTAGTTCGGGCAAGAAATAGGATCATGGTTGTGCGTCTGAAACAAATCAGTCTCCCTGAGGAGGTGCAGTGGGTCAGCTGTGGCGGCCGCAGCCGGCAGGTCCCGCGGGGATCTGTCTCTCCACGGCAAGGGTCCCGATCTGCGGATCTCTGTCCATCTAAGCAGACTTTGAGACCATGGTTGCAAGAATATTCTGCAAGGGAGATTGATGCGACCCCCAGCCTGGAAAGGATTCCCTCAACTAGGAGCTCCACTGTCGCGCTGCACTGCTCCAGTATTCCACTGCCGCCAGCATCCCCACTTCTACATGGCGCTTCCACTCCCGACGGAGGAGAGGGGACAATCTCTCTGATGCCGGCAAGGATCAGACGTGCAACTGCCTGAGGTGAAAGAAAGAAAGAAAATGAACGGTAAAGGAGGGGAAAGGAAAAGATGGGCTTCCACCCAGGGCCGACCCCAAGATTCCTGGAGGGAGGGTTCATGAAGTGTTGTCTGTGATGCGAAGAGTGCTACTTCCACTCAGTGGACCTCACCATTGCTTCCCACCCTTGCTAATTGTCTACGCATGTCGAACTCCCCCGAGGAAGAACGCTATCAAGCTCAAATACCGAGGGTGGAACGAAATCTTCTTCGGATACTACCTCCTATATAGGGCCCTCTTCGCAGACCTTAGGCCCTGTCCCCTCTTAGCCACCGGTGAGCTTCCACTGAGAGAGAGAGAGAGAGAGAGAGAGGGGGGGGGGTAACACCTCCCGCGCCAGCAGGAAGGCAGAAGTCTGAACGGTCCACTCGTGACGAAACTCCAGACGTTACCCACCTCCAATATCACAAGATGGCTGTTCCGCTCATAAAAGAGCCAAGCATAGCAAACCCCCGTTTCCAGTCAGTGTCTGCGGAGGGAGCCTGATCTCATCCAGTTCAGAAGCTTCTAGACAGACCCAGAAACCGGCCCGTCTCATCTTCATGGGCCTGGTTTTCTGGGCTTTTAACTCACTTTTAGGCCCACTTCCTTCTGGCCTGAGTATGCCCGATACTCGGAGCAGCCAAACAGGCTCATCAACAGGATGCTAGCGGTTAAACATGATCCTCGGTTTTTATTTTAAACAAATCTACCTCGGCGGAAAACTAGAAAAGTTGTTCCAATAAGAAGGGTTCTCAATAATTCTCAAAGTTACTGGAACCCTAAGAAGGGTTCCAATAATTCTGCTGCTGGGACAACCTAGATATTTGACAGCTGCTGGGATGATCCCGGGGGAAGGCAGACGCACTCGTTGGTCGGTTGTCCACTCCACGGAAATGACATTGCCTTTGTAATCGTAGGACGATATATTTTTCATTAATTACGTATGAGTCGACTATTAGTAAGAAATTGTCTATGCAAACGTTTCTTGTATTTACCCGTTTTATCTTATAGTATGCTCAGGACCAACTATTCCAAGCCTGAGACAGTTATCAAGTCCAAAGGAAAGATGGGCCAGACTCGACCTAAAGTCAAGGCTTGAACTCATTTTCTCGTACCAAGTGGCTCTCCTACGATCACCTGTGTGGCCAACCGTAGCTCTATCTCTCTCTCTCTCTCTATCCCATTTATAATGGTATTCACTGAGAGTCAATAAGAAAATATCAAGGCGTGAATCTTACTAGTTATGTTTCAGCGACCTTTTTCACATCTGCATGAGCCCCTCAACATTAGTTTGATTGCCGAATTATAATAATGATTTAGTTGGTGGTTTTGTCTCTGTATTTTTTCTACTAAATCGTCAGTGCGTGTGTGTGGCCAAGCCGCAGCTTGCTTGTAGTCGGCATTCCTAACCGGTAGCGTAGCATTCCTTTATTATAGGAGTTCTAAATGAAGATTTTATGGAGTTTGGAGTTTGGAGTGAGGCTTCGCCGACTGAGAACACCTCTTTCTCTTAGTTTTTAAAGAAATATCTCCTCCCCCCGAGGGGATTTTATCTATAATTTTTCTTTCCATAACCAATATTGGAGGTAATTGTTTATTCAATGCCAACAAAGTAGTGTTGTTTCATTGGTCGGGCTTTCCCCAATGTTTCCAATAGGGCATGTGTCTAAAACTCTTTCTTGGGTATAAAGTTGTAGCCAACACTCTACTCAGGAATAAAGAATTTTCCAATCTTCTTCAATAAACGTAAAAGTAGTAAGTTCATGAGCAACATTCTAAACCTGAACCTTGACTCTCTCAGTTCACGATCATTTGGTCACGCGTATGAACTTGGTATTCACTTCTGACTAACCAAGTATCGCATGTACACATCCAGTTAAAATTAAGCAAGATACTAGCCTTTGTATTTGATCCTATTTTACATGAACGAAGGCTTGCTAATAGGAGACCGAAATGACAGACGAAGTAAGATACTAGTCTTTGTTGGAATCATTCAGTAATTCAGCTGAAAGCCAACTGATGATAAACTAAGTTGGTACTTCGCTGATCATGGGTTTACATAGCTCGGACTATTAAACAAGCCACCTCACGTATAAATTGGCTTTCATGCTTTGATCTTAATCTGCATCTGTCTTAGTCCTGCCCTTTATTCTGGTAGTTTTTTTTTTCAGAAAATTGCCTGAGACTTGTGCGATCTTCAATCCGGTACGTTCATTCATAGAATCATATGAAAGCCTCAGACTTTCTAACCTGAATGATCAATGTCCTCGTCCTCAGGGGCAACGAGGATTTGACCAAGAATGATCTTCCACCGCGCGCAATAGATACCGAAAAATGGGTACTTATGCAGAGAGAAACGAGGAGAGAGAGAGAGAGAGAGAGAGCATAGGGGTTCAATGTCTAGTGACTAGATGCCGTCATCGGCAAGAGAGTCTTAGTAGCTATCAAACCGGCCTATTTAATCAGAACAACGTCATGAGAGAGATATGAATGGAAGCCACCATCTTTGTTAAAAAGTCATCATAGGAAGGTTATTAATATATTACGTGCGTACGTAGTTTCCATTCATCCTTGTCCGTATCTACTCAAAATAACTTCTTCCTGCATTCCTAGAGAGCCGATGAATTATCTTAGGGTGATTCAGACGGTTGTAATTTCTCGATATTTAATATCATTAAACAAATCAGAAAACTCGTCAATCAAAAAATTTCATGGAAACAGATTCAGTACGACAAAAAAACAAAAAAAAGAGATGCATCTGATGGCGAGCCCCGCTTGTGGGAAGACGGGAACCAAGGTAAGGATCTCACTTGATTACCACTAATGATCGGAAAATAGAACGTACGGTCCGATTGACCGATCGACTGGCCGACTCACGTTCTCTAACACGTTTAGTTGCATCGATAGCATCGCAGAAAACTTGAACTACTTGAGAGAAAATGTCACACGGGATTAGATTGAAGGGTATGTTTACATATTGTGAGATATCAACCCGGAGTTAATTACTTTTATCATGGGCAAAGAATATGATTTTGTTTTTTATAATCAATCAAAAATACGCGATCTTCATGATTCATATGATAAACTTAAGAAAAATACCCGTGAACTCATTCATTATATTTTTATTTGAAATAATTTTTTAGGATTTTGAATGTGATGATACGGTACCTATGTGTGTGTGTGTTGTGTGTGTCTCTATATATATATATATATATAGCGAGAGAGAGAGAGAGAGAGAGAACGCGAGAGACAGACAGAAAGGGGGGATGAGATTTTTAATAACATATTACGTGAGTAGGGTTAGGCGTGTCGGTAAGCTCTCTTTGATTTGCCTCTCTCTAATTACAGTTGGGTGATGATTTTGGTCAGCGACATATCAAGGCGGTGTACCAACTCCATATTTCTAATCAGTTTTAAATACTAAACCAATGGAAAAAATAACCCATATTTCAAGTTATAACGCTGACCTTGCTTCACTGCGTGGAATCCGCGGGAAGAGACTTCCGCATTTCTCCTCCGAAGCTATCGCCAGAAGCGGCGAAGTCCGCCAACTACTGACTATTAAAAGCTTTCCGGGGTCGCTCGCCTTCTAGGTGTCGAACCACTGGTTACGCATCGCCACAGCCAATGACGAAACCCAAACCAGTGAACATAGGCAATACAGATAACCTTCATTTTGCCTGATAATCGTCATCTCTGTTTTCTTGCTCTTCCCTCTACTTTAGTTTCACATGAAAAAACCTGTGACGTTTCCCTCGCTCCTCTCTCTCTCTCTCTCTCGATAGCTTTCTCTGTCCGTTCATCTATTTGCCAATCATTCGTCGGGGAAAGGACTAAAACATGGACCAACACATTTTAATGAGGAGCCCAGCTGAGGATTCTAAATGAGAAGGGGGAGATAAGGGGGACGCAGCGAAGAGAGAATTTTGGAAGAAAGATGGGAAAACGGAAAACAAATTCAGGTTACAATTACAGACGATTAGTACAAGGTCTTAGTTGCCAAAGAGAGCTTCCCATATCTCAGAGAACACCTGGACGATGATGGGATGGTGGCGGAGGTCATTGAGAGCGAGGTAGCTGCGGAGGAGGTGCTCCAGTTCCGTTGCCCCGAAAATCTGCTTCTCCACGATCATCTCGACCATGGAACCCCTGAAGTCCTTGTACGGATCACTCGACCGCTTCTCCACGGCGAACCCCTCCTTACGCAAGTTGGCCGAAAGAGAGGAAGATAGCGAGGAAGAAATCGATACGAGTGGTCGGAAACCATCGTCAAAATCGATGTGCATTCTCCGCGAGGGGTCTTCTCTTTTCGGCTTTTGTTGTCGTTGTGAAGACTTCTTCTTCGTCCCGTTATGGCGGCGGGACGAGTGGTAGTATAATTCAGAGGAGTCGGAGGAGAAGCTTCTCGCACTGAAGATTATATCAGTCGCCTCCCCTTCTCTCTCCCTTGACCGCATCCCTTCTCTGTTACCTCCTCCGCCCTCCTCGCTGCTGAAAAAGCGGCCAGCGTCGTCGCGATCGCTGTCCTCTGAAGAACAGCTCGTGAAGCCGTAACTGTTGGACAACAGCTTTTTCCCCTTCATCCGATCCTGCTCATCCTCCTTCCCCTTCTTCTTTCTGTTAGAAATTCTCCTCTCCTCTCTTTCTAGCTCCTCTTTCATCTGCTTGAAGTGATAGTAGGAGGGAGAGAGAGGCGAGCAAGGAGGGCACATCCGCCCTTCCCTGCCCCCAAACCCAGAGACCCTCTTCTCCTTCATCTTCTTTCCTCCGCAGCGGAGGTCAACCGAGCGCTGCGAGGAACCCATTGCGGTCTCATCGCGGTGGCTGCGGAGGCGGCGACCCGGGGATAGATGAGAGAGGGACAGGGACCGGTCGATGCCCTTGGGAACGCCGTCGTCGTCCCAGTTGTGGCGACGGGAGACGTAGAGAGGCTCATGGACGGCGTCTACTTTGCGGGATTTGGTGCTGCAAGATGACCGGAAAGATGGTATCCTGAACATCTGTGACAGCCGCTGCTTCAGTCGGCCCCGCTCCATCATCACTAGTCTATACAGGTCCTCCTGAACACTTTCTCTCTTTTTGTTGGAGCGATGCGGGAAAAGGAGATAGGGAGAGTTGGAGGGAGAGGGGGCGGAAGAGAGAAAGAGGGAGAGAGAGAGAGAGAGAGAGAGAGAGAGAGAGAGAGAGAGAGAGAGAGGGAGGGAGATAATTCTCTGGGCTCCGCTAAGGAGGCCAGTATATAAAGGGAACCAAAAAGCCGCAGATTTGTCCTTTGTATCGAGGTATTATAGTGGTAAGGCCAACAGGTCTTCATCCTCCAGTTCCGAGGAACGTAACAATCAAACCACAAGGTACAGTTGGGAGAGACGGATGAACGACTGTAGCGACTCGCACAGAGTCTTTCAAACGGCGACTCACTTGAGAGGCGCCGTCAAAAATACCCGCCTGTCCCCGTCAACGTTCTTCGTTACTGGAGAAAAGTCAAAGTCCCATCTGACCGCAGGATGCACCAACAACAAACTACAACCGTCCGATCCCCCTAACTGCCATCTGTACGCACTCGTGACGGTGCCTTTTTCACTAGTTTCATTGAGGAAGAATTTGGTGACCGGTGAAACGAGCCGTCTTGTCCAAATCACGGATGGTACGCACTGCAGAATTCTGCTGAGCGGGGACACTCGACAATCGGCCGTTGCCGTTGTAAGAGCCCGCGATGGCGCGATTAAACGGGAAAGCGGGCAGAACGGAAACTTCTGCACCCCCTCCGGCACGGGGCGGCCGTCTTCAACGTCTCCTCGCCGCCGCATGCCGACGGGGGAAATAAGCGCCGGCAGTCAGCTTCGTCGAGGCACCGATATCGAACAGCGAATCCAGGAACAGAAATCATGGATGAGACCCAAGATACTTTCTCAATGTGAAACGCTATGGAGGATACCGGTTTATCTACTCTTCATTCTCGTCGATTTCAAACCCTCTTCGCTTGACGACGATATCCATTTCCCGGGGAGAGCGAGGAAGCGAGTTTCTTTCATGGGCTTTGGGTTATGAACCGTAGGTAGAGAACAAAGGAGCAGGTAACTCCTAACCCGGACTTCCGAGCCAAGATCGGTACGAAGAACCTGTCTGAGGATTATGTATAGGACTGAATGGAGTGCGAAAACCAGTGATCCCGAGTGAAGCGAAGCACGTGACACCGCTTCGGCTTCCTTCAAACGTGGCAGAAGGAGGGAAAGTAGCAGACAAGAACGAGGTCCCAGGGAGGCGAATTTGTCTTCTTCCCCTCCCCAGCACGCCTTCCCTGGCACCCGTCGCGACCCCCCCGTCTCGTTCTGCGGCTTCGCTGAGGCCATTTGGGGACAAGCCATAGGACGCCGTCCGGTAAGAGGGCCTCTCTTTCTCGTCTATCTCGCTCTCGGATGGGATTCTTCTCTGTGGCGAACTGCGTCAATACAAGACAACTATCGGAAGAAAGGACTGGGGAGAGGAAAGAAAGGTGATATCGGTGCATATAATACACTGAAAGATAAGTTGACGGGATTTAATAAATCACGCGCAAAATGAAGCTGCACTTACCGTGCGTACTGAGATTTCGCCTGACCAGACGACTGCTTCCGCAGTCCCTCAAGCAGCACTGTCAATCCTCCCCCTCTTTCCAACGTCTCAGTCTCCGTTACGACCGCGAAGAAAGATTACGAGGGTTGGAGATCTCCAATAGCGGCGTGGCACCGCACCCACACACCGCCTCTCACGAGATCTCCCGTTCAGGCTCCTGGGGGCGGACTGAGTGCGACCGGACACTAGGGAAGGCTCCACTCGTGAAGAAAGAGGAGGAAGGGGACGACAGTCTTTCGTTCTGGCTTGGCTTCTTGCGCTGCATGCCCATTTCTTCTGTGTGGGGTCTGTCCCCTTGGTGATCTTCCCAGTTACCACCCTCGGATTCCTCTGGATAGCATTTCTCTATCTAGAACTGGGCCAATCTGAGCCTTAAACTATCACATCTCAGGCGCTCCATTCCTAGCCACATTTTCCAGAGTACTCGAACCGTGATCCTCCACATTGGGACGCTCTTGTTCTACTTGAGAGGCATGTAACACGAAAATTTTCCTTGAGGAGTGTGAATTATCTCTGCGTGTGGGTTTATAAAACTCAACTTTCAGCCGCGCAACACAGATTCTTGTCTGGTTAGGCGTTCTTTCTGTACGGAGTCCAGTGCAATTGCCTTTCCGCACTGGTTTCTTTTTTATTATCTAACGCCATCACCCTCGCGGTATGATCAATAAAGAAGTTCGATCGGATGGTCTTCAGAGATATTCAAATTTTGAACTATAAAGGAAATGTAGAATCGGCGAAAACTTTCATGAAGTACAATCCAACGCACATGCTCGTGCACAGGACAAACAGCGGCAAAAGGTGCTCCAACAACTTCAAAATGATTATGAAAGAAGAACCTATGGTAAGGCAAGAAACTATTCACCAGGTCGCGAACAGGCTCACGAAGCACGCCGCAGTCAGCAGCAAAGGTACGTCTCAAAGATTACGGCTCTGAGGGCCGTGATGTTCTTTCTATTATTCAAAGTCAGCGATTCGAGCCAGTTCCCCTTTTTCTTGCCGGGAGAAGTCTTGAAACTCGAGCCAGATCAATCCGACTCGATAGTTCGCTCATGCGGTTCGGATAAATGGCACTCATAAGCTGTGAAATGAATCAAACCCCGGTCTCCTCTCAGCTCGAAGCCCTTACGAACCATTGAGAGCGATGTTAGCCATCGGACGGAGATCGGGTTCCTTGACGACGGCAGTCAAATCGCTTGTGTCCCTGCCGCGACTTGCCTGCTGCGTCCTTTCGATGCGGTGCGCAGTGTAGCTAAGAGCAAGCGCCGCGGCTTCCCGCGGACTCGCCCTCTGAGTGGCACGGATGCCGGGACAACGTGCCGACCGAGGCCGCACAGCCCGGCAATTGGTATCAGCACTGCCGCGGTTGAGCCTAAGTTGTTCGAGGGCTGGTCCGGCAAGTGACGCGATGGTTTCACGCGTCAGCCGGCATGGCTTGCTGTGCCGCCAGTGCTGTCCAGGAGAGCCTCGTGCCTTTGAATTCGGTGGAAGTTTGAATCCTGTCCAAGTTGGGTAGGCAAGTCTGACCCTCCTCGTCGTTCGCTCCCATCGAAGTTGGCGCCACCCCCTTCGAAGTTGGGTAGGCAGTAGCTGGAAGAAGAATTAACTGTACAAAATAGAAAAGAACATGGACAGGCCAACCTCCCACTTCAAAAATCATCTCCACTTTATGGTATAATATTAATATAAATCTTCACTGGGCTACAGCGGATTCACCCCATCTAATCGCACGGTTTAACGCTCTGTACCCTAAGCTTGTCTTGCATGCCTCCAAGTCTCCACTACAACAGGCTTTAGGTCCACATCTCCATTTACATGTCCATTCCACATGCAGCAATCCTCCCACTGATGGTGATCATGGTCTAAGATAATGGAGAGCTTGTATTCATCCTGTGGAAGTTACTAGTGGCCGCCAAACGGAATGGCCCGCTGCTAAGCTTCCGCCGTGTCTCCCGTCGTTTCTAGACCGACATCCGAGAAGGTATTCCGATGTGCTTGACTCGCTTCGTGCTTTATCCTTCTTCTCGGAGGTGCTCAAGCAGCTCCGAGGGAACCACCCATGCCCCCAGTGTTCAACGAGGTAGTCAAACCTTCACTTGAGAGAGAAAAGGACTTCGAAGTGTTCAGGAATCTGAATAGGCTTCTTCTGCATAATAATAATAATAATAATTATTATTATTATTATTATTATTATTATTATTATTATTATTTGGGTTTTTCCACCTACAATGATGCCGACGACTAACATTTTTGACGTGGAGATTGCAGGATCTGGATAGATGCCTGGTGTTCTACATTAAAATAATATAAACAGTTTCATCTAAAAGTCAACCGAGTTTACCCAATATATAATTTATCATATTTCCTAAAGCAGATAGACTAAGCTTTAATCCACTGATTGAAATCGAATGCACCCGGGTGATGATTCAAGCTACATTCTTGATGAGGTGGGTTCTAACAGGTGGACCCTGATGCTGCTGAACCATACAGGTGAAGAATGGGTGAACAGACTAGAAAGAAAGAAGAAAAGAAAATATCTACACATTGCACATGCCATCGTGACACGTCTTGATTTTTTCGATTGCAAGAAGATATCTTCTAGGGTTTGTCGGTTACATAATCCCTGTGGCGTCGATGGGGATGCTAATTTCAGAGGCGGCCCAGGAGGCCCAGTTCACCACGGAGCCGAAGAAAAGCTCCCAAAACCAGAGGTCCAGAGCGAGGACGGAAGAGAAGATGAGGAGGGCCAGGGTCTGGTACCTGTTCAGCGGCCATCCTGAGATATTGGCCAGTGTTCTGAGGAAGGGGAGAGAGTGGTCACTGATTTGCTTGTTCCTAATGGACCAAGCTGTTATCCACTGCACTTTGGAAGGGACCATGTTGAACTCTTCTCTCAGACGTCTGCCCAAGTCGGGCATGTGACCACCCCCATAGAGCACTGCTATCCTGTTACTCCCACTGTCAATTGCCCTCCTCAGTGCCTCGGTAGCCACCCTGTTCCTCTCTCCAATAATCACCGACTTCTCTTCAATCGCCGAAGTTATCTCCTTGAACCTTGAAAGAAGAAAAGAGAAAAGAAAACAAAGAAGATGACGGTTGTGGCTTCCAATTCAATTCTGATTCCCATTTACTAGCAGACAGGGAGTGCAAGAAATCTCAGAAAAGAAGTTTTTTATACTAAAATGACCATTAATTTGCGATAATGAATATTGTTTTTCGGAATGACTGCCTAAATCACCGGATGTGCGATCCCTTGAATCCAAGTTCACATGAAAACTGTAAATAGAAAGTGTGTGGAGGCTTACTCAGATGTTAGACGCCTTGCCAAGAAAATCTTCATAGCAGCTCCAAAGTCCAGTCTAGACAACGCTTCCAGCTCTGGGTACTCCGCAGCCTGGTTTTCTGCTGGCGTACAGACACTGCCAATGATGAAAAGACCAAATAACGGCATAGGTAACACCCGGGAAGCCCAAAGAAGCTTGGATCTCCAGGGATCAAGATCATCTGGTATTGCAGGCTGCACCAAGGCTTTTGTAGATCTAACAGTCATGTCTCTCGCAAATGTGAAGAAGCTTTCACCCCTCTCAAGCTGGAGGAAAGGAATGAAAGAAATGTTTCCCAGTTATGATTCAGCGGTGCAATTGAGATGTCGAATGCCATAAATCTAAACATCTCGAGCATAGTTGGAGAGAGGAATATATGCTGAAATCACAAGTCACGTGTCACATTCCATTATTGTATCAACGACTCTCGGAATTTTTGAAAGCATATGTTATTGGATACTAGATAATTATGGGAAGAAGAAACCACAGTAGCTGAAACCTTCCAGTTCATCTGGAGGAGAAATGTCTTTGTATCAAATGTTGAGGATATCTCAACATTGAGAACCGCTGATGGAGGATATCTCAAAAAGTTAAGGATTGGCAATACTTCTTATAAATCCACTGGATTTGGTGACATGCATACCGGAGATAGGTAACCAAAAAAAAAGGGAAAAAAGAGGTTTATATCTTCCGTCCCTTGGAAACCATGCGAGATTAGGACTCATCGCCCAGTTTTGAATGTAAGCGATGAAGAATGAGATTAAAAAAAATTGCTTCAATATGATCACCTGGGAAAGTGGGTGTGGCCCAGTTGGCGAAAGACACCCAGTGATTATCTTATGTGAACAGTCTTTAAGGAGTCAAAGGTGGAAAGCAGTCTGAACAAACGTATTTGGGAAGGCTCTCTTGCAAAGTAGAAGAGAGAGAACATTTAGACGTAGAACTCATAACTCTTGACCAGTCAAGATTGGAGATGAGCAACAGATTTTATGGAGTTGCATAGCTGAAAGCTCTTGAAGTAAGATGACGGGCATCAGGAACAAGTCAAGAGAACAATGTTAGAGAAAGAAGAAGAAAGAGCACCTGGAGCGATTTGAATGTCTCATAGTCAAGGTCTGCATGGCACCACGTATCATCCTGATATTCGAGGCAGTCCAGCTGGAAATCAAGTGAAAGTATCTGAGCCATCTGCCGCTGTATGAATCCAAGAATATTGAATCCCTTGGAACGAGAAGCTTTTAATCTCTTTGATGCTGCCTGATTTTTCTTGTTCTCTAAGCTCTCCCTGCTAGCTACCATCTCATAGAGGACACAGTCATATGATTCCAGCTCCTTTTGTAGGGTCGCAAAGTACCTGTAGATTTAAGCTTCATATCTGAGTCTTCCTTTGCAAGTTAATACAAAATGCTTCACAAAATTGACTCACAAAAGTGAAATAAATTTAATGAACATTCGAAATTTTGATCTGATTTCATACGGTCGTAAAAGGAGGAAAATTTTCTAGCATTGTGAGGAACCCAAGACACCCACAGGTTTGTTCTCCTCTTATTGAGCGTTTCTTCTGCTTTACACGAATCTATCATTTTTGGCGTCTAAAAACTGCTATCAATGAGGAAGCACCCATCATTAATGAGAACGAGGTAGAACGTCAAACATAAATAGCCAATACTATGCGTTTGTGGCTGACCTACAGTAGCAGATTATTTTCGGACATAAAATCCGAAATATTTAATTAACCTGTCATTTTGTTCTTTGGGAAAATGGTCTAGAAGAAAAAAAATGAGCAGCTCCATATTTCTGTCAACTAATAGTGAATCTGAAAACGGATCCTCATCACATAAAGCCATTATATTTCTGAAGTTAATTTAACAGGAACAGGTTAAATCTATAAGTCAAATCTGCGTTGTTCTCTCCCATCAGGTTCAATATTACGACGGGATTGGGCTCATTATTGATTCATTGGTGGAATGTCCACTGGTTAGGCATAAAAAAACTTATTGGTAGCTAGAATGAGTGCATGAACTCATCAATACTATTCGTCGGTTCAAGAAGGCGTACTCTTTATCTGCAATATGGATTGTCGACACCAAGTCCACCTGCACAAATACAATTCCGGCCACCAATGATTACAAGACGCAAGGAATCAAACAGAGAGCAAAGGCAAAGAGGAACAATAAGCACCTGAAGGAATGGCCGTAGAAGCGACCAGGGAAACCTCTTCCGATAGCTAACGACGGCAGTCTGCAACTCCCCAACTCCTTCAGCATCGCCATCGCCGTTGCCTCTCCTGAACCTCATAAAATCGGCGATGGAATTATTTTCCACGAACTGCTCCGCGGTTCCCTCATCCACTGCCGCAGCGGCAGCCAACAGCTTGGGCACCGCCGTCGGCCTGGCGTCCCGGCAGCGGCGACCCGAGGGAGTCAGCGGACGTCGGGAAAATCTAACGGAGACCTGGAGACGTCTCCATCCGGAAGAGACGGAGGCAACGCACGACGCATCGGAATTGGACGTGAAGGAGAATCCCGCGGAGCTGGACGATAAGACGCCCACCGATCCGCAAGACATCTCCCACCTCCCCCCTCTATCTCTCCCACCCCTCCTCTCCTGCCAGAGAGAAAGGAAGAATGCAAGAGGAGAGAGGGAGAGAGAGAAAGAGAGAGTGAATGAGGGACGAAAACCCGAGCTCTATGGCCTTAGCGCACATACGTGGACAGATTTGGGGGCACACGCCGCGCCAGCATAAGGTTGCAGCGTAGACGTCTCAGTATCTCCGACGCGATTACGTTGACAAGGAGGGAGCCAGGCCGTTCGATTCGTGAGGCCTAGGTGGGCCTCCTTGATATTTCATGCGCAAGTGGGCCCCCACCCAACGCAAAAAAAAGCGATCAATTCTCTGAGACAATTCATTCCCTTCCGGGTCATCGACCGCGCTGACCCACCCTATTTTCTCCTTATTTAAATAAATAGTTTTAATTAAAAGGGCCCACTTTGACCCCCATTTGTGGAACTCTTTTCTGAACCGAGCTCAGGCGTTGAAAAGGCCCAACCTCCAGGGTCAGCCCCGACAGGTCCACACTTGTGGGTCCGAAGAACAGATGATCAAGCCTAGAAAGGAAACTAGCCAGGGGAGAGTTGACTTGCCCCATTGACACTCCTGATTGAAATAGATGCAAGAATGAACGAGGGCGGCGCAGGTTAGTACTCCAAACTTTCTATCTATTTCTCTGAAAATTCTCCGTTGACTTCGGAAAAACTTCTAAGAAAAGAAAAAAAAATCGTATGATTGACTATGTACAAGGGGGGGGGCAAAACAAAATGCACCTGGGTGAGATGGCAAACCGGCCAAAACACCGACATGTCAGGAGAGAGAGAGAGAGAGAGAGAGAGAGAGAGAGAGAGAGAGTCAACCCACCCCTACCAGCAAGGAAGAGAACAGCATCTCATACAAGCTGGTAATCCCTTTTTTCTTTGGAAGAAAATAAGAATCGAATCATGGGTTTTTCTTGGTTACCGGAGTCTGATCCTTGTCTTCATGGAACTGTCTAATGACGTCGTCCAGTTCGGGGAATGCTGCCAGGAGAAGTAGCTCAAGAAGCTCGAAAGCCAACTGCTTCAAGCAAACCGACGACTGCACCCAAAAAAGGCAAGACTCAGCTGCCAAAGGAAAAAAAAACACCCACTTTTGGGAGTGATTCAGAGACCAATACGAAGGCTGGTCCGGTCAAACCACCTGAAGAAAGTAATAAACGTCTTCGGCACACTGCTCGTACTCCTTCCTACCAATAAGCCCGACGAGCGCTGCAGGGGCTTTTTCTGCATGAAACAACAGGGCTTGTTCAGAAGTGCATATAAAGAAGTCAGCGTTGACCCGACAGACCACTTCGTTCGGCTTCTGTTCACAGAAAAATAAGAGAAAAAATTCCCTTACGGACTATTAGCTCGTGGACATATTCGGCACGGCGGGCAGCTTCTCGCCGTTGTTCATCAGTCAACAAGCATTCAGCAGCTTTGTCTCTCCGACTGCGCTCATCCTGTGGGGATGGAACAGGAGTTGGGCGTCTCCGATTTGGATGCTTGGTGATGAAGATGCCATCGGGCCAAAGTATCTGGAAAAAAATGATATAAAATAAGTGAGAACTTGTATTGTCATTCAGAGGGGAAAAACAGGCAAAGCTTCCTAATTTGGTTAGACCACGATCTTCTACCAGAAGTCAACCATTTTTGTGCATCGCTTGCAATTCTACACTGCCGACTTCACTTCAGTGAGGCGTCGGAGCAAAGTAGACAAGGTCCCTCGAAGTATTGGAACAAGTCGCACTTTACTTGGTAGGTGCGAAGTCAACGGTAGGACAGTAAATGAATATAAAGAAGACATTGAGCACAACTAGAGATCTCTTCAACATGATTAGTTATTTATTTGGGAGGATAGAAACAAAAAAAAAAAAAACTATGGAAGAAATCATGACTAGGTTGCTGTTCTAATCATGAATTTAAGGAATAATTTTCGTTTGCATACTAGGAACTATTTCAATGAAAGAGTGCACAGGTCAACAGATCCTTGTGTATAAATTTCACCAGAATGAATATAGTTTTATCATATGATGAGCCCAGATAAGAAGTTAATGCCTCCAACATCAATGATACACGATTAGGTCTTGATCAATGGATTTAACGCACACCTGCTCAACACGCTGAATTGCAGAAGCCATTACTGATCCTCTTCTCAGAAGCTGAATTTTTTCAATCAGCCAATCATCGAAAGCATCTCCCATTCCTAGCTGAAGAACCTGTTTAGCTATCCAAAACACCTGCCTCCTATGACAAACAGAAGAAAAAGAAATTTCAAGCAAGAAAAAAGTTATGAATCTATCTGATTCACGTATAAAGTAGGAAGAACAAAAGGAATGGGCCTACTATACTGTTGCAATACCTGATCCAACCTCCATCTTGAAGCTGGAAAACTACATCCACCAGATCTAATATAGGCATGCTAAGATTTGGAGGAATCCACTATATTATCAGAACAAGTTGCAGATAAGTGCGGAAAGATGACAATCGAAAATTAAAAGTAAAGGTACAGTTTAAAAAAAAAAAAAAAAAGTGTTTAGATGAATGCAACTTGTAACTGGAAAACTCAAGTCACCTCGATTGGAATAGTTGGGTCAGTGTCAGTTTCAAGAGCTGAGTAAGATGGCTCTTGTTGCCCATCTGCACCTTCAACTGGAACCTTCACAGGCTTTTCATTTTTTATGGAAGGATTGGTCTCTTGTAGCTTCTTCTTCGAATCACTTTCTGATTTACCAGGTAGTGGGTTCTCAGCTATCCTGGAGTTATTCGCCAAATGTGCCTGTGTATTTGTCTTCTTAAACACTAATGTATCGGATTCGGAATTCTCATTTGCTGGTAAACCTGAACTTTCACTGGTTGATTTCAACTTTTCTCTGTTTGAGCAAAGATTCGCATTCACAATTTCCTCTGTTCTCTGAATTCTTTCTCCTTTTTCATAAGGTTTATAATCGAGATCAACTGCAAAAAAAATGCACGGGGAGAACATTCTAAATCAGTGAACAAAATTTTGGCAACGGAAACGAAACCTACAAGGAGTAGTATAACCTGAAAGTGTCTGGATGATAGAGAATGAATCTGCAAATATGTAGGTCTGAAATTCATAGAAAATTTAAAATTGTGTCTAAAGAGAAATATATGGAAATGACAATAGAGGAATTTAGAGAAAGGGAAAAGAAAGAGATATTGAACCTGGGAATCAACACTAAGAAAGTCCCAAACTTCTATAGATCTTGACAATGTTGGTAGTTGAAGAAGCATCTGAAAAAAATTGCATTTGATGATTAGTGGACAATAAGCACCCCATTGGCCCTTTATCACGGAAACGTTAAGAAAAAAGGATAAATACATGATCCAATACAACATTTGTTCCAAGACCACTGTTAAGAATATTCCCATCTTGGTTAATATAGAATAAACAGGTGATTACAAATATGAGAGTAAAATCTACTCATTGCTATTTGGTTTTGAGTTAGATGACATAACTCTAAGCTGGCATCAGAGCAAATAGTTGATCAAAGGCTAAATCCACTCCATTTACATGGTCCATGCAACAAAGCCCAAAGGTCCGCTTGCACGTGAAAGGGAGTATTGAGAATGATCCCGTATTGGTTAATATAGAAATAAGCAAAGACGTTTAATGGCCTGATAACTGATACCAACACTGCAGTTGCCATTTAGATTCATTCGCTATTGACCGTGATTAGGATCATTGATGATGCCATCTGTGCATGATGAAGATGATGGACTCTACCGAACAACTAGTCTTCAGCTATAAATCATGTTATGATACACTCCTATCAAAGAATTAATAGGACATCGGTATTGATTTCTTACTCCGGCTTCTAATAAGTGGTAACTCAATTATGTAACATGTCCAATCTCAACACATCAGACAAACCCATGCCATGGAGGCTTCTAGATAAAGTGTCAAAGCAAGGAAGTTTGTTTGGAATTTATGAATCCCAAGACACACGTCATTGTTTCAGGCTCATGTTGTCAGGTTGTCTAGATCCCAAGTAAATATTCAGATGGTAGTGTGCCTTATCCACAACATAATCACTTGATCAAGGAGCTTCAATTTAACTGAAGTCGATTCTGAAACAATGACAGAGAAAATCCACTATTATGCGGTAAATAAGTACCTCAACTAGCAAGTAGCGAGAACAATCCCCGAAACCAACACCCACCAACCATACACTGAAGGTTAATAATAGTCCCCCATGGGTTGCCATAGAAATGAGTCTGTGCTTACAAGCTCGATAGCACAATTACAAAAATACTAAATTCGAAAACCTTGTCACACTCGAGAAAGATCAAAGGAGATAAGGGAAATAAGAAAAATGACCATAGCACATTATGATTCAGCTAATAAATCTGGGAAGCTTCAAACTCTCCAAGTTTTCTTTAGCAACCAAAAAATTATTATGATGTACAAAGGAAAAGCTTCAACACCATGAATCCATTTCGGATGATCCTTGTATTCAATCTAACTTGAACAGAAAATTAAAATTGCTGAAGTCACACCAGCAACAGTTCACCATCAGCTCCTCCTGACGATTGTTTTAGGTTGTAATTTCATTACCCGTTTACACCCTCCAGTTTTATCAGCCAATCATATTCCACAGGAACATTTCAATCCCAGTACAAGAAGAAGATCGCTCACTTCAATCTCGTTGCAAAAAAATATGCAGGCTGATTTACTGTCCCTCCTCATATTTACAATTCAATACAACAAAATTTCAGTCAAACCAACTGCATCAATAAAAAAAATCTTTCATAAGCGTTTACAAAGATTTTTCAGCGAAAGTGTCATTTCCTGTCTTTCTCCAGACACATCCATGTAAGCTCCCAGTGTTGCTGGGGATATATTTCAATCAACTTATAGCAATAAATCCTAAACGTTCACAAAACATTTCAGAGTAAAACTGGCATATGCTATCTATCTCGAGTGCCACATCTATATGAAGTGAAAGTGGCATATAGCAATAAATCGAGTCAGTATGGTCTTCAGCATTAGCTTGAACCGGAACAGAACTTAAAGATACTAACTTTATCAGTTGAGAACTGGTACATGTATTGAAATATAGTTCACCAAAATCTTCACATTATTGCTTCTGCCAAGACCTTTAGGATTTTCCATTACCCAACTCATAATTCCTTGATTGTTGAAGAAAACCAACTTTCAATCAAATGGATCTCCAAAGAATACGAGATGGGAAGTGCAGCAAAGTTGGATGCACACCCTAGTTTAGTTTCAGCAAAAAACAAATTTCCTAATAGATGCCCATAACAAATTATCTACCTCCAGAGTCTTCTGAATGTTTTTCCATTCTTCTCGTTGGCAGATCATAACAATGACGCAGGATAAGAAATAAAACTATCCAGGGATTGTGAAATAGTGAAATGAAGCTGAGAAAGACATGAACATCATATCACCTTGAGGTATTTGTCAAGCAATTTACACCTTTCTTGAATAACAGTCACTTCTAGACCTGATGAAAGAAAATGCTTAGGAGGCAGATGCAGGTTATACTCTGCAAACTCCTTAAGACGGCGATGTAATTCCTCAAAATGTCGAAACCTAATATAGATAGTAAATAAGTTAAGATAACTTGAAATCAAAACGAGTTTAGAAGAGCAATCGGTGTGCAAAAAGAATTCAAAATTTCCCTTCTGATTGGCTGAACAGAAATTATTTGAATGCTGAATATAAATAAGATGTATCATATGAGTAGTTATATTTGGTGGTTGATGATGACAGTGATTGAATTATCAGGATACCTTCTTTTGATGGACCAGCTATTATTAGCTGCATCTGTCACAGCAATGGAATATACAGCAAATGTTCCCACACCGCTTTTCACAATATTTGCACCCAAGACCTGCAACAAGAGGTTGTCTTTCACAAATATATCAGTGATTCTCAGTGGTATGGGATGCTCACAGACATGGTCTCAATTTATTATTCTAAATTCAGGCCTACCTCACATCTCAATTTGAGGAAGGAGTCCTCCATGGCAAATATTTCACTGGTCATCGAGGATGACCTGAAATCTTCAGTTGACATAGACGATGAAGCTGCTGATCCACTATGAAATCTATCCCAGCTCTCCACCTCGGATTCATCAACGACATGCTCTGCTCTGACATTGCTTTTTGTGGGTTCTGATAAGTAACGATTGTCACCGGACAGAAAAGATGCTCTTTCAACCTCTAGTCGGGTGGGAATCTTCTGACTGCTTGACCTGGATTTTTTTCTTCCTGATTGAGATCTTATTATCCTTAGATGATGAGCACGACTCTTACTACTTCTCTTTGTCGAACTTACTTCAAAATTCTCAAGAGGGTGTCTTATGTGTGTAACATCAGAATTTCTTTTGTCTTTGCTATCCCAGACCCTAGTTACAGGAGAATCTAGGCCTGTAACGTTATTCCCATCATCATCATCGGTTTGATAGGAACTCTCGCTGTCTACTTCAGCATCACCCTGACTTACAAGGCGTGATACCTTTTCTCGGGACAATGAATCTGAAAGATGACTAGTGAGGTTCCCACTGCCATGTACAGACAATGCATCTGCAGATAATTGACCTTGATGGCGCGTCTTCAGTATCCCAACATTCGCTGAGTACTTGGATGCCACTTTTGAGTGATCCAATTTACCAGAAGCTTGCGGATCTTTATTCTGCTCGTTGGTCTTAGCTACCTGACTTTCATCTTCTTTCTTTCTGTAGTCTCGTCCTTTAGTCCACATGTTTTCAAAATGCTCTGGTGCAAGAGCTCGGGTCTTTCTTGTAGAAATTACATCTAGCATGTGCGCCCACTCACTCCTAGGAGCATGTGCTCCAGTGTTTCCTTCATCAACATTTGAAGAACCTGAAGCCAAAGGAACCACTAGGGTGAGACAATCAGGGACCATTAAAAAGACTAGCATCCATCAGGGTGACAGTTGTATGTAACTACCTCGGTCTAAATACGGATCAGCACCCTTTGAATATTTTGGAAGAAACGCTTTATTAGAATTCGTATGTTTTTTATGTTTTAATTGCACAAGTTCAACACCTCCACTGGAACCCTCTAAAAGTCCAGAAGAGTGATCAAGATGTGTTCTTGAAGGCCCCCTTTGAGGCATATCTTCCACGGGAATGATTCCATCAGTCCTTTTGGAAAGAGAGGTAACCACCGATTCAACTTTTTCATTGATAAATCTAAAGGAAAAAAAGATAAATTAGAATATTGGATAAAAGAAATACAGCACAAAACGAATACAGAAATAGAACAAGAACCTTGGGTTAGCCAAGTTCAAGACTGGACGAATTACTGCACATGCTAGAAGCTCTCTAATTGCATATCGGAAAAATGAACAATGCAAATCCTCGGGCTTAAAAGTCAAAGAAATGAGCCCAGTGGCCAAATGCTGCAGAACCTGAGAAAATTAAGAACAAACATCAACTATGTTATACATAATAAACCATAACAATAAGCCAGGACTAAATGAGAAAAAACTCTTGTTGGTATCTATTATTAGACAGGCTAACTTATCAAACACACCGATAGTTTTAGGGTTTCAGTTTCATTGACAAAATAAGTTTACAACTGGTTTAACTTCCATACAAGTTCATTCAGAAGGCAGAAACCTGTAATGAAAAAGCTGGGCATATTAATTGAACTGTGATGGAGTAGAATAACCATAACCTTGTGCTCAGCTTCACCAGAAGCTAAAGCAGGGTGCAATTTGTTTTCTGCAACCATGGCTAGCTTGATTTGAGCATCCCGATGATCAGTGGAAACTTTTCCCAACTCTTCTTTCCCAATTTTTGCCTGGGTAGATCGATAAAGCTCCAGGTGACTGCAAAAGAGATCAATAATGTCCCTGAATTATAAAAATAACAGTTAGCACCATATATGAGAAAATTCCTGGAAGAACATAAAATGCTCTCATAAACGTGATCAAAAGAGACCCATCCAAACCAGACCTGGTCAGCAGATTTATAAGGTTTATCTCCTTAGCACGACATGAAACTTCTCCAAGAACATTGTTCATGATGTGTACTAATTCTTCTGGGCCATCCTTGTCAGGGGTTATCCGAGCATACCAGAGATCTGTTACCCACTCAGAAACTAGATGTCGAGTGAACTGATCAATTGCTGCTTCAACTACAGGAGAATCCACTTTTCTTCTCCAGCTCAACTTGTCAATTGGAACCTTGGGAAGCTCTGCAGATTTTTTCTCTCGACGTGTCTCATTAACAGATGCTGGTTTATTGCTTGAAGAAGACCTTCTTCGAACATCAAGGTCAAATGATATGTAACGAAGGAAGATGATCAAGGAAGCAGCAGCAGGCAAGTTCACCCAAACTGAGGAGCTTGTTACTGAGACGAATTAATTCAGAGTTAAGTTAGTTCATGGCTGACACACATAAACATAAAAGCATAAAAGACGTAGGCAAAATAAACATTTTTCTCATCAAAGAAAACAAAAAAATCCCGCCAGCAAAAAACAAACATATGTGTTGATAACGCAGATGATTGCTTATGTAAAAACAGAGGAACCACGAAACAAATCAAACTAAAAAGGTGAAGATAGCAAGCCAATTATTCTCTCCTCGTAGAATTCAAGGCACAACAAAGGCAGAAATAAAAATTACATTTTTACGCACAAAATACATCAATAAATTACAAACTTTAGTCTATAAACCTGTTGTTAATCAAAAATAATTTTCAAGGAACAATCAGTATTCATAAACTGCCTCAGAATCTTTCAGAAATACCAGAACCATAAGCAATCAGGGGTGGAATGTGTCAGAAAATTAACCGAACAGCATACTGTCCAATCACGTACAAAAAAAATACTGATCAACCTTGAGGATAATGAGTAAATGACTCATTCATTCACTTTTTAAAGTGATCTTTTTTTCTTAAAATTTTTAATCTTCTTCTATTTAATATTCATTCGAACCAAGGTTTGGTTTCTGGCATATAATGTGGTTAGATAAATTAGAATAACAAGCAAAGTATATCTTCAGTGCATTAGAACCACAATTTTAGCAACATAGAACAATCAAGTTCGTTTTAATTTACTAATCCATTTTGTATAGGGTTGATATTAACGTATATTGGCTGATGCACTAGATAATTCCAACTACCTTGATAGTTATCAGATACAGTGTAAATATCATGCAAATGCAACATTGACGAAACTTTCCATCTCAAATTGCCTCACGTGATAAATTAAACTATTACGAACAGTGGCCGCGGCAAATAAGTTCATTCAGGCTAATGCTTTCAATTTGGTTCCCACGGAACAAGTATTGGTTAATTTGTGTACGCGGCATCATGGATCTCATTAAATTAAATATTAGGAAAATGCACGGGGGTAAAAGTGTATATAAAAAATGGAAACCCAAATACTTTGGTCATGGCCAAGAACCAAAACAACGGATGCAAAGATGATGTCCAGAATTTACGGATAAGATTTTCGGTTTCAGGCACCACCGTAAAGAACTGACTGTGCTTGAAAACGATGAAATTAAACGGCAAAGCTAACAATACTTTAAAAGAAAAAGGCAATGCCGAGAAAAATCAAATAAATTAGATTATTTACTTTTCTGTCTTCATGCATTTGCCTTCATCGAGGTGGGAAAGAGAGAAAAATACTTTTCACTACACATTTACTCTCCGTCTCAATTATATAGTAGAGAGTAGTCAAGGCCAAGCAAGGACAGCAAACTTTGAATTCCGTGAAACATGCTCCCATAAAATCACGGGAGGGGAGAGAGTAGATGGGATGTCACGAAAGAGCTTACGAGACATTAAATAGGAGAGCCCAACGACGCAGACGAACAGCAAGACGATCCGTTTCTTCGCCTCATCCAGGAGGTCCCGCATAGTATGCCTCCCCGTTCTCATCAACCAGGCCTTCCAATCAATCTTATCCCTCCGCACAGAAACGTTCTCCCAAGAGAGGCAAAGCCAACACCATAAGATGCAGCGGTCGTCAAGATCGAGGGCGACAGAACGAAACCAGTGACCGTCTTCCTCGAACCATACGAAGACCTTCCGAGGCGGAGATTCTCACGAACTCAAAAATTGCGAAAGAACAGCTCACAGCAGGCCGAAGCAGGGAGCCCCTGCGGATGTACCTGATGCCAGAAAACTCCGACGGCCGCCCACCGGAGCTGCCAACAGTCCTCCACTCAGGCAGAACCCCTTTCATCTCGTAGCGCGCCGTGTTCCCATCTCGGCCTTTCTTCCTTCCTTCCTTCCTTCTCCCTCGTGCGGCGGGGGATAAAGGAAAAGTCAAAACTACCCATTCCGGAAAGTAGCAATCGCGCGCCACGGTCGTTCGGCTCTCTCAAACCAAACGGTCAGCCGTGGTGGTTGTGGACCTCGTGAGGACGGGGCCTCTTCTTATTGGACCACGCAAGGCGCCGAGAATCCGAAACTGGCCGCAGTCGGGCTCACCATAACATTCGCGTGGAACGGTTGGTTGAGCACATTTAAATCAAATAAGAGGCAACTTCGTCCCAATCAAGTAATTAATTATATATTTTTCCCTGTTATGCTAATTAAATTATAAACGATAATTTTTTTACGTATTTTTTGGAGATATTCATACGTGGCGTTAATTAGAACGTCTTCACGTGAGGTGGAACCCGAGCGCGCTTATTGGGCCGATCTGTTTCTAATTGGGCTCTTTGACTATATATTTTTTGGAGTTCAATATTATTTATTATTTTAACGCATTAATCGACTACTCAGCCCACCCATTTCAGGCCAGATGGTGGAAGCCCGAAAAAAGGGTGCAGACCTCTTTTCGGGGCTTATTTTGTGAGACGCGGAAAACGGGCCGGGCTGCGGTTCACGAGTTGTCCGGCCCATTAATTTTCTCCAGAATGGGCTGAGTTGGGAATTCGGCGACACGAGGGTCATCTTTTTATGGCCGTATTGACTGTCATTGCGCCGTAGCTTCGTCTCCGTCAGCGACGTGCGGGCGGGCTTCGGCGCTCATCAATGGCTCCTCCGCCCCAATTCCAGCGCTCTTCGTCGCCGTCGCAGCCCTCCGGGTATCTGACGATGATTCGATCTCCAAGCCCCAATTGTCCCCTCTCGGGCTCACTCTCTGATCTTTTTTATGTATTCCTGGAGCAGGAAAAGCGAGATCTCCGATCTGAAGTTGCAGCTCCGGCAGCTGGCAGGGAGCCGAGCGCCGGGGGCCGATGATGCGAAAAGAGAACTCTTCAAGAAGGTGATTTCTCACATGACTGTTGGGGTAGACGTGTCGTCCCTCTTCAGTGAAATGGTGATGTGCTCAGCCACCTCCGACATCGTGTTGAAGAAGATGTGCTATCTGTACGTCGGCAACTACGCCAAGGGGAATCCAGACCTCGCTCTTCTCACTATCAACTTCCTTCAGAGGGATTGTCGCGACGAGGACCCTATGATACGTGGTCTCGCCCTGAGGAGTCTCTGCTCACTGCGAGTCACTAACCTCGTGGAGTACCTAGTGGGCCCTCTGGGCTCAGGCCTCAAGGACCCCAACGCGTACGTGAGAACGGTAGCGGCAATGGGCGTTTTGAAACTTTACCACATCTCCGCCTCTGCATGCGTGGACGCTGATTTCCCATCCATGCTCAAGCGCCTCATGCTCAATGATCCGGATTCCCAGGTATGAATGGCTAATGTCTGAAAAGGTTAAGACCAGGGGAAGTCAAAATACTCGACAACGTCGTATATCACCCTTGCCTTTCATGTGTCCTCGATCCTCTTTATTTCCACCCATATGGGTAATTTTCATAACACGAATGCTATTTGCAGGTCGTTGCAAATTGCCTGTCCTCGTTACAGGAGATATGGAGTGCGGAGGCGAACACGTCCGAGGAAGCTGCCAGGGAGAGAGAAGCTTTGCTTAGCAAACCACTTGTCTATCATCTATTGAATAGGTGCTATTCATTTTTATGCACTGGAATTCTCCACCGTATAATGATATTTAGATGTCTACAGTTTAGTACCATATTGTTTCCCCTCTGGGTTTATAGTTTGGTTGAACATTTGCTCCATACCTTTTTCTACTCCGAATTTATTATTGAATATTTTCATTTTTTTCTTTTTGAATCACAATCAGATGAAAACTTTTTGAATTCTCAGAATCTATATTTTAGGCACATAAAACCCTTTATGCTTATTTTTTCCCATTAAGGTTTCTGTTGGTCAAAATTGAGTTTCCAGAGACATACAAAACAAGTGCGGATCCTCCATTTCCTTGAACTTTTTCTGTCAGCATTACGTTGAAGGCGATGTAGAAACAATCAATTCTCGTTTCTTTTTAGGAAGCTTAGTGGCAAGACTTCAAGCATGGCGATTCATTATCGTCCTTCTAGGTGGTGCAGTTTGTTCCATTTCTGTCATCATTGCTGTTAACAGCTTTCTCAATGCTGTAGCGTCATGGTCAAGTTAGAGGCTGGGATCTGACCGTTAAAGCTTTAACCATGCATGTTAATATGCTGGATTCACTGTATCTGTAGATCTGCGGATAAGATGGTTTCCGAAAGACTGTCTAACATGATAAGGCGAGGCTCAGTCTCGCTTCACATGCAGAAGTCAGCGTGGTTTTTTGTATCTGTACAATAAACAGAAGTAACAGTACCAGAAAAAATGCAATTAGATAAGGCTATGGCTGTTCACTTCGAGATTATTGTAAAAACCGCCAAATAACATTTATCTAGTGCATTGTAGAATCATGGTAATTTTTCTATTGTATTTATTAGCCGACCAAGATTGTATATGCCATACTGGTCATCATCCGGTTCTGTTTCAGTATTGTTGAAAGTATTGTGGCAGAAGTGCAATACTGATTAGAGGTGGCTGGTGTTGTAGCTGTGGGGTTAGAGAACGGGAAAAAAGTATCGATGAAAGAACAATTTATGTCGGTTAATGTTATAATAAAATGACGAATGCCCACTTTTTGAAAGAGCGACGTGTTAAATTTTCTCTGTTTGCTTAAGTATCTCAATAGTTCAACTGAAAGATGTCTCCAGTGGTGGAGAGCAGGAGCAAATTGTTTATGGGTTCTCCATCCTGTGTTTTATTTTTTTCTTAATCTAGCTAGAGGAATCTCCCTTCAACCTTTTCTGAGAAATGAAAGAGCATCAATCCACTGTAAGAAAGTAGAATATACTTCCACTGAAGGATACGAGTCAGATTCCCATCCCCAATTTTTTATGGGATTTATTTATTTAATCTCCTTATGAGGCCTTTTGGACAGATACATAATATAGACATTAGCAATGTCATTCAACTAATATACGATATAATCAGTTGCACGAGTCAGTAGGAAATAAGATACTAGTTTGCCACCAACTTGGTAATTGACTTGTAAAGCAAAGAAAATCACAAAAATAAGTGGAGGTTTTAATCTAGGAGAACCAACCTGCACCTGTTTTGGACGATGCATATTTAAGCAAAATACTACGGGGTTATAATCATGAATATTGGTTTCTTCACTCCTCTCCTGCTGTTCCCAACCATGTGTTTCAAAGACTCCAATCGAGAATAGCCTCCAGCTCTAGGTAACTTTGAATGTAACTTTTTTGTTCTGCTGTTCTAACAGCCATGGAGAAAATTTGGCTTAGATTCTTGGTTATTTGCTCTTAAAACATGATTGGTATGTTATGGCCCCTCGTCCTAAGAACTGTAGTCAGTGGTTGTTCTGCATGTAAGTCCCTATTATTTCAAATGAATGGTGATGAAAGCTCTTTCTTGTTCTATGTCCGTTACATTCAATTCAAGGTTGCTCTTTTGATTTGCTTTCTTCTTTTACTGTTTTCATCTGTTTTCATTTCTGAAGTTTCTGTACACAATGTTTTCTTTTCTATTGAGTGATTCAGTAATTCTGATTCAAGCTGTTGGTGTTTCCCAGGATCAAGGAATTCAATGAATGGGCTCAGTGCCTTATACTTGATTTGATATCTAACTATATTCCATCAGATAATGATGAAATATTTGACATTATGAACCTTCTTGAGGATAGGCTTCAGCACGCGAATGGTGCTGTTGTCTTGGGCACAATCAAGGTGTTTCTGCATCTAACATTGTCTATGGCAGATGTTCATCAGCAGGTGCATTCTGAGATTACTTTTTCTTTTTACGTTCATACTCGATATGCTTTTCATAGCTTAATTATATATGAGGAAATAACATAGGAAATTGTTTTTTGTTGATGAGCGTCTGGTGTACGATTGCTCGCTTTACTATTTATGATCTTTTTTTATTTAGGTGTATGAACGCATCAAAGCCCCTTTACTCACGTTAATGAGCTCTGGGAGTCCAGAACAGTCATATGCTGTGTTGAGCCACCTTCATCTTTTAGTTATGCGTGCCCCGGTGCTGTTTTCATCAGATTACAAGCATTTCTACTGCCAGTACAGTGAACCATCCTATGTGAAGAAACTAAAACTTGAAATGTTGACTGCCATTGCCAATGAGAGCAATACATATGAGATTGGTAAGATTTCTTTCACTTTAAACTGTTCATTGCTCTGTTGGTAATATCTGCATTCATTGTTTGTTCTCTGGTCTACTGCTCAAATTTTCATCAGGGGCTAATGCGATTTGACTGCCCCTTTGTTGTCAACTTGAGGTTTTTTGTTCCAAGTATGTTCTTCTTGAATCCTTGTAACCTTTCTCACTCTATTTCAGTGACTGAACTGTGTGAATATGCTGCAAATGTCGATGTATCCATTGCCAGAGAAGCCATTCGAGCTGTTGGAAAAATAGCACTGCAGCAGTATGATGTCAATGCCATTGTTGACCGGCTTCTGCAATTTCTGGAAATGGAAAAAGACTATGTGACTGCAGAAACTCTGGTCTGTAGTTTTTATGATAACTGAAGTTATGAATTTCATTTACCAGTGTGACCACCTGCTTCAAAGCCCATGCCCTAAGTGTTTCTTCTTTTGCCTTTCTTTCCGACCTTTTTGCCTGCAGGTACTGGTGAAAGATCTTCTCAGGAAATACCCTCAGTGGAGTCACGATTGTATTGCAGTAGTTGGGAATATCAGTAGCAAGAATGTTCAAGAACCTAAAGCAAAATCAGCTCTTATATGGATGTTGGGCGAATACTCTCAAGATATGCCAGAAGCACCTTACATATTGGAGAATCTCATAGACAACTGGGATGATGAACATTCTTCAGAGGTAACAATGCTCTTTTGATTGATTGTACAGCAGTCCAGTCGTAAAGCGGCGCACCTAGTATTCTATGGAGTCCTTTATTCAACACTCTCCATCGTGTTGATCTAGGAATTATTTTCTTTTCTATGGGACGATTGTCAATTGACAAATGAATAAAAACGCATTAATATTTTGCGATCTCACCTCATTTTTTCAATATATAGGATACATGCTTAATTGTGGGGACGACAATAATTTTGCCAATTGTCAGCTGATGTATTGATTCTATTTTTATACTTGTCCCACCCCACCTTTCTTTTTCCTCTGATAGGTGAAGCTCCATAGGAATACCACTGATTTTAACGTCTAAGACTTGGTGTCTTCCTCTTTTATTCATGATTTGTTTGTTAAAATGATATTGATTATCATGGCTTAATGGCAATGATCCTACCCCTGTACGTCAGAGATTCCTACTTAAAGCATACATCCATCCAAATTTTTGGGACCAGTTTATGAAGCTATTGTGAATAATTTGCCCAGAGTGAATTTGGTGATCAATTTGTTTCTGCTCTCGACAAATCTAAAGAGTTGCGTTTCCGCACCAAAGACAACATTTATGCCTTTTTTGATGTGGGCATTGTCCCATGTATTTATTGATCTTCCTCTCTACTTTCACCGTTCAGGGACTATGTTTCTTATTTGGTCTTGTATTGTTTCTTATTTATTTTATCTGTACTGTACGAGTTATTTTCTTCACCTTGCTCTTAAATCCTCTCTCTCTCTCTCTCTCTCTCTCTCTCGCTTGCTTGCTTGGTAGCTCTCCAAGGGAAGAAGGGGAAGAATGCTCCTTTTTCTGTTTCTCACGTTTAACTCATTCATCCTAGGAATTATCTGATTCCGATTGCATTATATGCTTCCTGTCAAGTTCGCCTTCTTACGTATCTAAGACCAGTGCATATTTAATAAAATGCCACGCTGACTCACTTGCATGGTGTTAATTAGAAACTAGAGGATTATAAAGAATTAAAGATAGTCAAAGAGGCCAAGTTCGTCAGAGGTAGGCAACGAGGGAAGGGGATGTCAACATCATCGACAAAATAGGAAGAGAAATATGTAAAATCTCTTCTTCAATAAATTTGTGGTTTGACTTTTCAAGAAAATACTTCAAGTCTAGTATTAAATTGTGAAAACAACCTATACCTTTTTACCGAGGCTGATTAACCTTTTGTATCCATATAGTTTTACCCAAAAAGTCATCCTATTAGTATAAGGTGAACCAAGTCAGTTCCAAGAGGACACAAAAAGAAATGATACTTCTGGTGATTTCAACCTACAATTACTGTAGCTCCACTACGCCATTTTCAATGCCTTATACGAGCTATTTACAGCTTTGATTTTATTAATTCAATGCCAGAGGTTTGGGACATCCGCTATCTTATGGCGTGGAAGTTTTGTTCCTTCGACATGCTGACTTAACTCGTTCAAGTTTCTTTTGATTTTCATCAGTTAATTTATATCTTTGCTCATAAAAATTGTAAACCCTAATTCCATTTTGCGAAGGTTCGATTGCATCTGCTCACTGCGGTGATGAAATGCTTCTTTAAAAGACCTCCTGAAACGCAAAACGCCTTGGGGGCTGCTTTGGCGGCTGGTTTGGCTGACTTCCGCCAGGCAAGTCAGAATTCAAATTGTGTTTTAGAAGGAAATGAAAGATACCAAGTTGAATATTCCAGGATTCCTGCTGTTCTTTGATTTCTGTATATATTAAATGTGGAATTACATTGCAGGATGTTCATGATAGAGCCTTATTCTACTACAGGCTGTTGCAATATGACGAATCTACAGCAGAACGAGTTGTGAACCCTCCTAAACAAGCTGTTTCAGTATTTGCCGATACTCAGAGCAGCGAGCTAAAAGATCGCATATTTGATGAGTTCAACAGTCTCTCGGTCATATACCAAAAGGTGAGCCTGTTCCTTCGTTTTGAAACTATCTTATTAGGTTAAGTAATGAAAAAAAGATGAGGCGGCTTTGCACTGAAACAAATCAATTCACTGTCATTGTCTTTCCTTGCTTGCTTTCTGTTAATTTTTTTGAAGGAAATGAATTCCTGGAAGATTTCTTACAAGTGTTCTATTCAACCTCTATTTCTTCTCTCCTAATGCCCTCTATGAAATATAATTTACTTAAAGAAAGATTGAAGTAATTCAGCCGAGAAGATTATTTTGAATGGGGAGCAATTTTACTGATAACCATACATTGTTTTGCCAAAGTGTATATCATTTCTGGTTAATCGGGTGAGGCTTTTTATACTTTTGGGAGAGACCAGAACGAATTCATAGAACGAGAAAAAAAAGTTATCTTTGGACGAACAATATGTAATATCTTGTCACTTATGCAAGACATAATATTTTCCATACAATGCAGAACCGAAAGTCGCCAATATGGTTTAGATCTGACCTAATCGTTGAGCTTATATCATTCTAGACGTGTGTTTTTTTGCATTTTGATCCTAGAATCATTAGAACTGGTAAGAACGACATGGAATTGGTGGGACCTGGTCAAAACCATTGTTTGCATGCCTGCCAATTCATGTTCATAACTGGTGGAACTTGAAAGTTGATTGCCATTGTCAACGTCCTATAGCACTTCCTGATCTGGGTTTCCTCCCTTCTTGTCGTTGCTTTCATAAAGTGATATTATCTCTTCCTCTTCAACGAGCTTCACTGCTGGTCACGCTGTTCCTAACCGAAAAATCGAAAAAATTCCAGCCCTCGTACATGTTCACAGGGAAAGAACATCGCGGTCTGACTGATATCTCAGAAGAACTCGGGAACCTATCTGTGGAGGCGCAGCCCGCGGCCGAGGCTCTGCCCGCTCAGATATACGAAGCAAATGACGTCGATCTGCTGCTAAGCACGTCCGAGAAAGAAGAAGTTCGAGGACCGGTCAACAACAGCTCGGCGTACAGGGCTCCCGATTATGACAGCACCACTGCAGCTCTGGTCAGCTCACAGGTGCCGCTTGAAGCCGATCTTTCGATCCCAGGTCTCCCTGCATACAACCCCCAAGTCAGCTCCGCCATCGATGATCTACTTGGCCTGGGTTTGTCTGTTGCCCCCACGCCGGCACCGCCGCCGCTTGCGCTCAATCCGAAGGCTGCTCTTGACCCTGGCTCCTTCCAGAGGAAATGGAGCCAGCTTGCGATATCATCATCACAGGTTCGATTCAGGGTGTCTTCTTGTTAATCTTTTCATTGTTCATATGTAGATTCATTGGTATTAAAAAATAATAATCTTGGGCGATTTCTTTTTCGATCTAAATCATTTTCTCTTCGTGGTTCATCCATCGTGCAGGAGTTTTGTATAGAACCCCGCGCAGTGGTGGCCCTGGCGACGCCCCAGACGCTGCTCCGGCACATGCAGGGGCACCACATCCAGTGCATAGCCTCGGGCGGTCAACCTCCGAGCTTCAAGTTCTTCTTCTATGCTCAGAGGGCGGGTCAACCCCCGTCCTTCTTCCTGGTGGAGTGCCTGGTCAACTCCTCGTCGGCGAGGGTACAGGTGAAGATCAAGGCCGACGACGGCGCCGCCGCCGGAGACTTCTCTGCCTTGTTCCAAGCGGCCCTGTCTAAATTTGGGGAGTGAGGACCTTCCGCAGGGTAGTGACAGAGCCTTCTTGTCTCCTCTACATCCATCCCTTGTCGCTTGAGAATAATTCTTGCGGTTCTTTGCTACCAGCATGCGGAATAATCCCCGGGTTGTTCTTGAGCATTTTTCCGTCATCTCCTCTGTTCATCGGGAAGATCGGTCTTCTGATAGGACTACTCCTTGATCTGCAACATGGGTAGTAATCTCCCTTCACTTATATACATATATACACAGAGAGAGAGAGAGAGAGAGAGAGAGAGAGAGACGTCTTCCACCACCAATGGAGGGGTTTCTTCCGCCGAGGCTAGAAGATGCGGGGCTGGAAGACTGCGCTCTCCCACCGGAGGCCATCAATGAAGCCTTCTCCAAAGCCGCCGAGCTCTTCAAGTCTCGGGTCGTCGTCGCCGACGACGACGACGACGACAACGAAGGTGACGGCTGCTGCGTCGAAGGCCCCGCCCCGAGCAGCGGAGAGAAACCGGCGGTGGCGCTCGGCGGTGGCGTCTGCGAGGAAGGGGGCTTTTCGGTGGGGGATGAGCCGGGGGAAGGAGGCGGCGTCGTAGTTGTCGAGGGGGGGATTTCCTCCGGCGAAGTCCTGGTGATGGGCGGCGAGGTTGCGGAGGACAGCGGCGGGGATGACAACGGCGCCGCCGGCGAGGGGGGAAAGCCCGTTTAGCTGGAATTCTGACCTGAATCACCGGTAGGTTCTTTCCGTTTCCCTTCTCTTCGTCGGGATCTCTCTGATCCTCTTGAATCTGAGATGTTCTTCAACTCTGGCACCTGAGATGGAGCTGCTCTTCCTCGTCTACTACTTTCTTGCGTACCACATCGGATGAACTAAGAACCCTAATAGCCATCAGAAGAGAAGATCGGCCACCATTTCTCTTAATCGAAACCCTCGTTTTATTCCATTAGACAGCAGATCCCTCGGACCCACATCGTATAATATCTATTACAACATGTTAGGGCTATCAGATTGCAGAAAACCTACTGCCAAGGATGTTATACTACCTGCCTCGCCTCCCTCTCTCTCTCTCTAACTGGGGAAGGAACGCGATCTCCAATTGGAAGGGCCACGCTGCTACACAGCGTTTGTGGAGCGGGCGGGGGCCGGAGCTTTCCTCCGCTTCCTCCTCCGCTGCCGCATCCTCCAGTAGCTCACAAATAACGCAAGACCTGTGATGCCATGCAGCAGAACGAATCCATGGCTCGTGATTGATGATACGTTTTCACATCGCAAGAGATCGAGGACGAAGAAGTGCTTACAGGCGACGCCAACGATGAAGGGTCCAAGCCACTGGCCGGCGATGAACATGGAGCCGTCGAGCTGCGCAAGAAAGGCAATAATTCTTCAGCCATCGCCGGCTAGATTCTTCCGAGCAATCGAAACCAGGGCGGTTGACTTGACCCCCTTTCTAAGCTGAGAATCAGGAGACTGTAGGATGAGACAGAGTTTACCTCTTCACGGTTAATCAAGCTGAGAAAGTCCACGCTCCTGCCGAGCTTGGTTCTAGTGGGCGCTTCCAATGGGTTCTCTTCAACCTTCCTCTCTGGTTCACCCTGCGAGAAGTTGGATCCTCCCATGGTTCCCTTGAGATCAGCTCCCAAATCCAGCGTAGGGTAGCCCGGCAGTTTCCTGTTCCGCCCCATCAGCTGGAGCCTGTACCCTTTGGTCCCCCACACTTCAAACCTGGCATCCCGCCCGCAAGTCAACTCCTTGCTCACCACCGAAGAGTATGCGGAGAAGTTGACGTCGGTCCTCCGGGAGGGCAGCTTGCTGTCATCCTCGCGAAGGGGGAGATCTCTCCTCGCTGAATCGGAGAAGAGCACCGGGTCCTTGACGCCCCTGTTGGTAAAATCCAGGATCTTCCTCAGCAGCCAGTAGCAGTTGGTCACCATGTGGCTGCTGTCCAGGCAGTTGGAGTCTCCGTACACGGCGACCCGGCCGGCGGCAGCCTCCAGAAGCCCAAGAATAGAATAGTTGACCTGAAACAATCTGCCGGAGTCAGAAAATAGAATGGGCTGGTCAACCCTGATGGCCCGCCAGAGGCTGCTCACCTTGGTCGACCCAGAAGCCTGGAGCACGTTCTGCGTGGCGCCGCTCTCCGAGCTGTCCTGGAACTGGAACCTGTGGACGTAGCCGCTGGCGGGGAACCTCACTATATCGGTCCCAGAGGCGTAGTGGCTCTGTTCATCATTCATGGAGAAGTCGCCGTTCAAGATCTTGTCCCCGAAGGCGATCCCAAAGGGGGCCAGCAGCTCGTTGATCGCGGGGACGTTGGCGCCACCGGTGACCGGCGTCCACCAGCTCCTCGTGTTGTCGTCGAAGAACCTCATCTTGACCATGGAGTCAACGTTGTACCACTCGGCGAAGACGACGAGCCCAAGCCCAGCGCGGAGAACATCGTCCCGCAGCTTCTCAATCTCCTCCGGGAAGTACTCATCCTCGAGGTCAACCATCAGCAACGCCCCATACTTGCTGGCGTCGAAGCAGGTGAGCGGCGAGCCGAGCGTCTCAACGTAGTAGCCGGCGTCACTCAGCATGTTGAACATGATGTGGAAGTTGGTGTGCAGGTGATCTCCATGCCAGTCAAGGATGTCGTTCCTGACGTCCAGGGAGTCCCGAGGGATGTAGCCCGGTGGGTACTTGATGTTGTGAAATTGGTCCCAGAGGAGCCGCCTTGACCTTGGCGGTGTCGGCACGACTTTGAGCTTCAGGTGGAGCACGCAGGAACTGATCTGGCGTTGACCTCCCGGGTCCAGCGACGGGCTGTAAACTTCGACCGACACATTGCCTTGGATGATGCCTGAAAAATGTGCGCCCTCTTCCTTGATCTGCATGTGCAGAGCGAAGAAGCCGGTCCAGGGCCAGATGACTTGTGAGTACGAGAAGCGGATGCTCAGCAGATTCCCGACCTCGTCGGAGGGTTGCCAGGTTGGGGGCCCGCCGACGTAGCCGACGACGCCCATCCCGTTGAGAATTGTCGCATTGAACACCACCGGCATTGCACCGGCGTAGAGCGGCTGCCGGCAGAATGGCCAGGAATAGGGGCAGTCCGTGTAGTCGAGAATGCTGGGGAAGATGCTGGCCCTCGGCCGGTAGTTCTTCAGGATCTCATACGACTTCAGTCTGCGGATAGAGAATAACAATTGAGAAACCCACGAGATTCTATTCTTGTGAGAGAAAGAGGAACCTGAGCTGAGGAGGATGAGCTCACAGGTCGAGTCTACCGGCGCCTTGCTCGAACATGTTGGGACCAGGGAGCTTGAACGCGCCTTCCACTAAGGCCTGCTTCATGCTTGCAGGGTTTAGAATACGTTTTCGGGTTTTTTCAGGAATGACTGACACGAGCAGGCACACAGCACCGGCGACCACCGGGCTTGCGACACTGGTGCCCGAGAGGCTCTTGCAGCCTGTGCTGATCTTGGAGCCCATTATATCCCGGCCATAGGCTACGACGTCGGGCTTCACACGCCCATACCTGGTAAGAAATTCAGGGTGAAGCTCTGAACTGAGCAAAACTACCAGACGGAGAAACTAGCTTTTTTTTAAAATAAAAAATAAAAAAATGGGGAAGAAAAGCAAGTGGAATACACATTCGTATCCTTGAAAGTGATCTGTGATCACAGGTAAAGAAGGCCCCCCAGAGCTTACCCGTGAGGAATCTCCCAGGTGCTCATGCCACGAGAAGAGAAGGAAGCTATGTGGTTCTCGTAGTCGATGCCACCAACACCGATGACGTCACTCTGGTCAGCTGGATTGTTCAGTGTGCCATACAAGGGCCCGTCGTTGCCGATAGCCGAGATCATTATTATATTATTGGCGGTGAGTTCCCACACCTGAGAAGTTATCCCAAGAGAGTGGCGCAGGATTTATCAGATCAATTCAGCATTCTTCAGCCTCGATTACTACATATCTAGACTGAACATAAACAGCATGAGGAATTAATGTGAACTCAATGCTAAAACGTAACTTTCCCAGGGTGATTTAACAGCAAAATTCCAGATTACACTCGCTTATTGCTCTACAAAATTGCATAAGGTCATTCCACCATATTCTCCTTCTAAATAGTCTCACTAGAGAAGAATGAATCGTGATCTTCCAAAAGACTATCAATGTAATTCATCTTAGTGCAGTTGACTAGAGTAAGAGAAAAAATCCCAAGAAAAACTCCAGATTGATACTGTTCGTTTTTACATTTGGATCCCTATTGTTCTCTTCTATAATTCAAATCTCGTTTCAGTTCATGAAAAATGACATTTTCACCGTTCTCTTTCTGGTATCCATTCAAAATACGTAATCCTTAACCCCCCGACATATAGGCTCTCTACGTTTTGGATGGCACCATAGGGTTCCGGGATGACGCTGAAACCCCTAGAGTGCCTGAGGGCAGCGCATTGGAGATCATGACTCACGTTTATTGTCAAAAACTCGTAGCCCAGAAGGACTTGCAGCTGATGTCCGCCCCCAGGCCATACAGCCAAATACCTTGCTTCCACTTTTGTAGAAATCTTCACTTTCTGCTTTCTAAAATGCCCCACAAACCGCCCCTTCCCTAGAAGCATCGCTGGAACCCTTGGTATCAAAAGCCATGATCTTCCTATAAACTGCATATCCTGGGTTTACCTCTCCGGAGATGCAATATGCAGAAGTCACATTTTCATCATTTTATTGAAGCAGATATAACTGTTGCAACAAGATACAAGTGTACGAAAGTAGAACTAAGAATCTTCATCAGAATAGATGACAAATAGTACCCAATCTCACAAATCGTGTAAACTGAAAATTGAAAACTTCTGGTCGACCCATAGTAGGATAATCATTCAGGAAGCCGACAGGAAAAACATGAACAGATAATGCTCATAGAGATGAGTGAGAGTACCTTTTCAACAAATGGAAGATCCAAATAATCAGGTCCACCGATACTCAAATTCAGCACATCCATATTTGTTGCAATGGCATAGTTGAATGCGTCAAGAAACCATGAAGTGTAAGATACCTGCATCAAAACTGAATAAAGGATTCTCATAACTACGCCAAAACCTACAACATCTTAGCCTCAACATCGGTGGAATCCTAGGAGAAGAGAACGAAGATAAAGTGTCCGTGGAGAGACTCCAGGGATAAGCAACAGCAATGGAGCTCAAAAGTTGTGTAGTTCTTGATCGAAAAATACACTGTTGTTTCTTGCCTCCACAAACAAGGGAGTGTCTGTGCTGCTCATTTTTTGTCATTAACAGTCAAAAAAATTCAGTGTGGAGTCCCTTATCTAGGCCGACTGCATGCAGACCACAAACGAAATAACTGAAAGATAAACCTGAACTAAAATTTAAATTTTCTTGTACGTCATAGAAAGCAATATCTTAGGTCTCGAGAGTGGATCCATTTCTGAAACTATCTCAAAGCCAGACATTTAGTCTGCAAATAGCAAACAGTTGCTGGTAGTCCGCATTTTGGTCGTATTCTAATAACATATACTAAATTTATACCAAAAGAGCTGTTTTGCATACCAAATATGGGTCTTTAGTTCTCAAGCAAAAAATGTATCATGAAATGAAAAAACAGTTTTTAATACTTAAAGAAACATTTAAAACATCGCTTGCCTTCTTTAAATGGGAAACATGCATTACCTGGGAATCAGTAAAAACACGGAACGCATAAATCTCAGTATCAGGTGCAAAACCCAAGCATTCTGCATCTTCTCCAGCAATAACTCCGGCCACAAAGGTTCCATGACCAAGATTGTCATTGAGTGTATCCTCGTTAGTCCAATTCGTGCGCTCCTGAAGCAATTATTGTCACAGGATATAAATGTTTAAGGAAGTGTTCAATTTAAGATAATAGGAAGCACTGATCAAAGTTAGTTCAACAAGATCCATTGATTCTTAAAAATAAAATATTTCTCCTGATGCAACCTGAATGCTCTACTATCTCGTTTCCCTTGGTTGAAAAAAAAAAAACATCTATTATAGTTCAAAAAAGCACTAAAAATGGATGAGTGGAAATCCTACCACAAAAAAAAGAGGCAAGCATGTCTGTAGAGCTAACTGAACAAAGAATCCTCTTTACATCTGGCCATATGCCAGAATACGATAAAAAAACTAACTTAAGATATCTTTCTTTAAACCTTATTCATAAAAAGCAAAGGAACTCCATCCTTCTGCCCAATCTAAATTTCATAACCTTATCCTAAACCTTATTCATAAAGATCAAGAGTTTTCCCCTTCAGGGATACATTATTCCATAGATGAGACACCAAAGCTTTTGGTTTTATTCATGGATAGCTAAATACGTTAACATTTGTTAACAACTGAAAAAACATAAATTTGACTAGTGCAATAGCCGGTCAACAGCTACATATGGCTGCATTTCTGGAGTTCAGTGATAACTTCCTCTGGGAGCTTATGAAACATGATAAGGATAAGCATAAGATAGTCCAACTGCTAAAACAACTGCTTTCAATAATTAAGATTATTTGGTTAGTACCCCCAGAAGGATCAGGTAACTTTACCTTGATACTGCGGAAATGGGGGTGATCAGCTCGAATTCCAGTATCAAAAATAGCCATTTTCACTTTTCCACCGGTGAATCCTTTTGCCCAAAGTTTTTCAGCTCCAAACAATGATGTTACTTGAGATCTCTGTGACAAATAAAAGCATCACAAATTAGGAATCAGAAAGCATATCAATAAAAAGAATTTCAAGGCTGTCATACCCATCTAATGAGGTACATTTACTGCACAACAATTGTCTGTTGTATTTTGAAAGTCAACTGAAGCCTACAAATCATATATGTTCGAACATAGTAAACCCAAGAAGAAAAAAAGTGAACACAGCTCTAGATTTAAATCCTGGAGAACAGCTACCACAAGTCGTGACACATTTAGGTCATACCTGATTGCATGTACAACCATGGAGAATTAGCTTTGCTCTAAACTTGGGATATAAAGTTTTGGTAACTCTCATTATGGCACTGAACATTTTTGTCAATGGCCATTAAACAATAAGTTTTCAAGGAAAAGATGACTCAAGGTAAAACTGATTATGTTCCAGCGCCTTAGGAAGGCCTAGATGGCGAAAAAGGGTGGACATAGAGCCATCAGAACACAGACCTGGTCAATCCTCCAGAAGTATGCACACCTGAAAGGAACAGAATATTGCCACCATGGTAGTCATTGCCCCTAGTCAAAGTAAAAGAACCAATTGAGGGAAATGGACCAAAGGGCAAGTGGGGGATAGGGGTGATATGTGGGCAGCGGAATCATGGGAGGGAGGCTAATGGAAATGATAACAAAAGAGTAGTAAGAAGTGACCATAATGTAGGAAGTGGAAGTGGAAATGGAAGTGGCAGCATCAATGATGAGCGGAAATAATACCGCTAGAGACATCAAGGTGAATAGAGTAGCTTGAGAGCAACTCGCATTAACTCACATGATAAGTCATGAGTAGCAAGCTGGTGCAGCCAATCCTTACTGATGTTGACCCAACACGCATCAGTCTGGACTAACTCCCAGATGTTTGGACTGACTGAGCTGATACCAATGTCAATCACGACATGAATATTCCGGGATCAAGTTGGATCATATCAGTCGAAAAACTCGTGGTGCTCATGGTGAGTCGAATCGAGAAAAAACCATCCAGAGACAACTAGACAGCCTACTAAAGTCATTAAGGCATGTTAATCATCATTATTTCGTTCATCCTCTGATAAATCAGACAGCTTCCACTGAAATAGGAAAAAACTGCATCAAAGAAAAAATAAATATAAAACCATGTTTTCCCAATAAAATGGAAACGGCTTGCTTATCCTAATCTCATGAGAAAGGGGAAACCCCATCCAAACATCTCGGACAATGTAATTCTTGATGTTTCGTACCAGACCATTCAAAAAGAAGGGAAATACATCTAATGAAGTATTATGATACATAGATCTACACGATAATAATTAAAATAAAGAGAAAAACTAGTAATAATTTACATACTGAGAAATCAATTTCTTGACGAATTCAGCAATTCTTAACAGATAATATGAAAATAAATACGCTATAAACTATTATCAATGATGTGGAAGAAAGAAGAACATACGTCCATCATGAGTTTCCTCCAGCTTATCGTAGAATTGCTAAATGGAGTGTAAATTTGTTCTCCTTCGTAAGACATTGACGTGAACAACTTCCCTGAACGCTTCGTTGATTCTAAAAAGGCGACATATTTCTCACTACTATCCCCAAATAGGGTGCGTGTATAACTTGAGTCGACGATCACGTCCTTCACCAACTGAAGCCTCTCCAGCTCCATGATCACCACAGTATGATACAACTCTTCGATGGCCAGAAGCCCGAAATCCGTAGGGAAGGATGCCGCGGGGTTCCTCCTCTCCACCCATCTCCATCCGCTTAACGATCCAATTTTCTCCTCGATGTAAGAACGGTGGTCCTCTGCCCTCTTGTACTCCAAAAACCTCACAACATAGTTCTTGGTGGCCGAGGCCACGGGGGGCGTTCCATTCTCCGGCGAATGGGCCGAGATGTCGTGTGCCGACGGATCGCGGCACGGGGCGAAGGGCGATAGGGCGAGGACGAGTGCCAAGAGCGATAAAGACTGGAAAACTCGGGTCTGGCCGCTCATACTGCACTTCCAACGCCTTTTCAAAGGCTACTCACCGCCGGAGTCCCATCAGCTCGCCGACGTACCCGCCGCCAGCAGATGGGGATGGATGGGCACCGCCGGAGCAGCAGGCTTTCTCGCCTGCGAAATTCGATTCTGGAAGAACGAGATGTGACGTCGGTCAAGATCCCAAGCTTCAGATCTTCGAAACGTTGCATCGGGATATGACCACTCGCCGGTCAGGTTACCTCAACCTTTCAACGAAAGAACGTCTTGGTCAGCTGAAGTCGCGACCATGACCGTCGCATTTTTCGAACAGATGGCGCGTCTCTTATCGTGAATGCTGCACGGGGCAGAGACGGCGAGCTCGTAGTGCTCTGCGAAGAATCCCTAGAAGAGAATACATACGACCCGGAAGATGCTGTCATGTCTCCGTCCCCCTCTTCAACCCTCCCTCTGCCGCTTCTTCTGCAGGGCTGTCCCCCCGCCCGACTTGGAGGGATACAAGGAGGCCTTCGCTAGGAGGATGGCAATGGCGGGAATCAAACCCCATCATCGTATTGGTTCGTTAGAACGGAAACTTTTCTTTTGGTATATCTGGTCGTTTTCCTTCAAGATTATTGGAGGTTCTACCACTCATTTCAGCTCTGGGAGTCTCCGGTGGTCCCGACAGCATGGCACTGTGCATTTTGACTGCGGGGTGGAAGTCCTGTGGTTTGGGTGGTAAAAGTGAGAGCTCCGGTTTCATCGACGGGCTCCTAGGTATCGTCGTGGATCATAGACTGCGACCCGAAAGTACAGAGGAGGCAAAGCTGGTGTGCACGAGAGTGATGAAGCTGGGTACACGACATCAAATTGGTTCTGTTTTTCAATTAGTGTATGGCCATCTATCCGTGGATAACTGTGCGGATTTGCTTCCAATCCAGGTGTTCAGTGTCAGATTGCTTCTTGTGATTGGTCGGATGGTCGCCCAACGCGAGGTCATCTTCAAGAAGCAGCTCGTGAGATGAGGTGCGTTTTGGTGTGCTATGTCGACGTTTAATAAGTCACAAAGGCATGCCATGCTCCGATTCGTTCATTAAAGTGGGTACATGTGTTTTAGTGTTGAATCGTGTTTAACTTTCACTCAGGGTTCATCTTATTTCTCTTCTATGTGTGAAAAAAAAATCCGAAACATTTAAGTGACCTCTAGAGTGCACATTGAGACATGAACTTTCATAAAGAATATAAACAATGTACACGTGCAGACACGATTTCTCTTTCCCCAGAATGTAACGCGTCATATGAGGAAGCTATGCCACCTCATAACAGATTTTGTGCGTCTGAATGCAAGCCAACCAACTGATTAGATATTTACGACCTTGAATTTCCTCAATCAGGCATGAAAGCAGGTTTGGTGTTATTCTGGCCATCCACTGTTGAACACATTTATTCCTCTGGTAACTCTTACAGTCCCATTTCCTAATTGAAAGGTCATCTAAAAGGGTTAATGCATGGTCATAATTTATGATAAATAGGAAAATTATGGAAAAAACCACATTTTTCATGAAAGAATAATACTGAGCTAAAAAAGCCATCATGTTTCTCTGCTAGTCTGTGAAAATTCATTTTTTTTAACTATGGCTGAGAGATGTTGTGTAATCCATAAACTCCTCCAGAATTTACCTAGCACAATGCGAATGACCTTGTTGTTGAGTCACTGCATATCTGTAGTGTACGTATATGGATGAAGAGACCTAGCAGATCTACTATCAAGAGACCTACCTGAAGTGTTTTTCGATGTTATATAGCCTTAAATCTATTTACGCTTTAAATTTCAAATTTTTAATCAGTTGTGTTAATTAAATTAGTACTGTAACACATTTTTTATGCCATCATGGTATTACGGGCGAATAAAAAAAAAATCACCTTATTAACGCTAACAGCAAACAGTTTTGTCCCCTCAGAACAAGTATCATCACATCTGGCATCAAGACCTTCAAACTTTTCCTGCATGTCTACAGCTCGTATTTTTTTCGGAAATATTTACAAATTATTGTGCATCAAGCCCATTTGCATAAAAATAATCACATCTAGCTTTCAAATGTGTGCTATTAATGTGACGGTTTATCACTCAGGACATGAAGTATTTAGAGCAGTTATACCTCATATCATACTGTGTTGTCAATTGACCAGATTCTCAAACATTGACCAGATTCCTACTTGCATAGAAATAGTAACGCCTAGTCACCAAATGTGTTCCTTCAATGAGATGGTTTAGGACAAAGCAAATGAAGCATTGGGAGTAACTAATGCCTTATGTCATAATATAATGTCTATTGACATGATTATCGGTCCAAAATAATGATCAGGTGCCCACTTGAATTGCAAAATATTTGTCGGTTGTTGCCATTGGAAACCATGTCAATCGGTGCTCCTAAAGTCTTGTACGTTGATACTTTAAACCATTATATTGCAAGCTCAACAAAGTTACGACTGTTTGAGACTTGACATCAAGTACTGTAGCAAATAAGAAGAACTGTAATATGTGGGAAACATTTTTTGGTGCCCCTGTTTTATTTTGACTTCTTTTGCATCTTTCTTTTTTTGAGCATTTCATTCAACTATAGCATAATTTGATTTTGATGACCTGCTGACTCAAAGCCTTACCTGGGTTCTTCTTTTCCACTTTGTATCAACTAAACCAAGTTTCAGGTATCAAATTTTTCAGGATGTGTGCTATGAGCACAGTATAGGCGTCTTGCTCGTTGCACATCATGCTGATGACCAGGTCCATGCTGAAATTTTGCATTATGGACTGCTGTGCTCTATTGTTTAACTCTGTATCCTCCATGCATTTTTGTACTTTTTCTCGTAGTTTCTATGTATCTCTCATCACAGTGTTTCGTTCCTTGTTCCTTAGGCCTGTAATTAAATAACATCATATAAAGAATCAAAGAACAACTACTTCTCTTCCCCCAAATGAATTCATCACAAGCTGATGTAAAGGAAAGCCACTGAAAAATCTAGATTTAGAGAGGAGTTTTGTATAATGTTTCATGAGACTAGTTATTGAATAGAAAACTACAGCCTACATTACACAGGTTAAGTTCGTGCAACCAGGAAGAAACACCTGACGGTTCTGCATATTTTGGGAAAACCATAAATGAACTTAGATTTTTTAGTGCTGCAAGAACAATACAAGGCAAGCGAGTGAAAGTTTATCAATGGATCATTCGCTACAGTTTAGGGATCATATCCTACCATCTGCAACTGAAGGATCATACGCTGTCATTTTTTCGTTTTTTATGATATGCATGGGATGAAATTTTACATTTTTGGATTCACTTTAAGTCCATGGTATTGTGCTTCTGCTCATCTTGCATTGTATATTGATTCGTAATGGAAATACCTGCTAATATGGAGTCTGGATGTTGTACGTGAGATCATGCGTCAGCTGAGTATGCTTTCCGTCTCACCTGCTGGAATACCTTTATCTCCATTTTTGTTGTCAATTGTTATGTATTAAAGACCGGTTGGTGTTTGCTAATCAGAGTAACATGCTCTGTTGCTTCCTCTGTTCTTATCTAAGGAAAATTAAGAATTTCTGAGGTGTGTCACTGATTACTGCAGGCTGAATTGTTCATTCTTAGACTGTCACGCAATAGTGGCGTCCTTGGACTTGCTGGTATGGCATTTGTTTCTCAGTCATTTCCTACTCATTCTCAAAGTCATGGAGGAGATTCAAGCAGGAATGGGCTTCTTCTTGTTCGGCCTTTGTTACAATTCTCAAAAGATGACCTGTATAAAGTTGGTATATATGTTCCTTGTACACAATTAATTTTGATATAGTAAAGTTACGAAATCATTATTTATCCCACATGTTCATTATGATTCTTTTAAATACCTTGTAGCATCAGTAATGAACTTCTAATGGCTATCTGAATTCTTGGGCAATCAAGCAACCACTTTTTGTATTTTCTTTGGCTATTCTTGAGGGATGATAGCTTTGATGTTAAAGATTTATTGGTACCCTTTTCTGACATATGATCTTTGCCTTTCACTAAGTAAAGCGTGGATCACACTATCCTTCCTTGAGGTCAGGTGCCAAGTTGGCAACTGCTGTTTTCCAAGAAACAGCTCTTACGAGATAGATTTTTCATTATATTAACGGATTCATTTCCCCTAACAAAAAATCGTTGTGCTGTTGAATATTCGAGAGACTCGTTAGCCTTCGATTTATGTCTAAAATAAAGATTCTACCATCCAAAGTTCTTCTGACTTTTTTGTAATGATTGTAGCTTTCTTCTGATTTTTCTTTCTGGAAAGATATTTTTGAAACGTCTGTTAATGATTTCATTTATTTATCAGATATGCCTTGGAGTCTCTCAGGAGTGGGTGGAAGATCCATCAAACCAGAGTCTTTTGTTTGCTCGAAATAGGATCCGTATGCTGCTAAAGAATCTATCCTCTGGTATGGGTTTGATTTATTCAGGATGGAAAATACTAACCACATTAATTTATCTAGAGTCGAACGCATGTGATTGAACCTTCACAAAGCTTTGTAGACGAAAGCTTGTCATTTTACGTTGGGGGCATGTCCTTTGCTTGGGATAGAAGACATAATGTAATTTTTGTGGCCATTCCAATTGTCTGATGCATGGTTTTATGATCATTACTTTGGCCATTATATTGCTACATATTTTTTAAATCATCTATATTTTTCATTAACATATTTCTTGAATTTCCTCATTAAATTTATGTTTTAAAGTCTGCTATTTATGGTTTTAATTTATTCTTATTATTTTATGTATCCATTCCCTGGATGAATTTTCGTTATGCCTTAAATTCTACTTTTGATGTTTCTCTGGATATTTTTTGGCTACCTTATTGATTCATTTTTATCATCTTTGGTCCGCATTGTTCGTTTTATTTTTCTGAGTTTTATTTCAATTGCGTCCTACAGTTTATCACCAGATCCTTCTGTAGTCTCCAACCACAATAAGGTATCTTATAAGAGATGCTTGGCTCCATTCAGATGCTTTTAGGTCGGAGTTACAAGCACTCATCTCCACTTGTCGCCTAACTCGTGCATACACTGAGCAGATCTGCTACAGTTTAGTACGACAATGCGTAACTGTGATGGATGTGAGTTTTTTGCGTGTGATTCATTTTACTTATAACAACTAATGTTTTTTAATTCATTCGGTTTGAATGAATTTTATTTCCATTTAGAGTCTATCTTCTATTCATATTACGTTTATCTTAGCTCATGCTGTATTTCATTCTAGTATTTTATTTATTTAATTAAACAAAGTTAAGTGTTATACTGTACTTGATTCCACTACCACTCTGCTAATATCTCAATGTTGTCAGACTTGTAAAACATTTTTTTATGTATATGTACGGCAAGAAATTTCTTTTATCAGCTTTTATTTGAACTTGTGAGGTTTTCTTTATTTATTTACTTGGACAGCAATGGAGAAATTCGCGAGCGTTTTTTCTTCTTCTCGCTTTCTGAGCAGAAACTTACGAGCTCAGTGATCATCTTGGATTACTTTTGCAGCATGGGTATGCTATCATTGATCTAAATAAGTTGGACCCGTCAAGTGTGGACGACTTGTGTCTATCAAAGTTCCTTGCAGTCGTCTTGCAGGTTGACCTTTTAGCTTATTCCGTGCACATGTCTGTTACATTGGAAAAAATGATGAGAAATTTCAAGCCAGGCTTTCATAAAAGGTCTGGATGATGGTCGATCTTCACTGATTGCATTTTTCTGGTTCTAATTGTGTCCAACAGTTCATCTCTCAAAGACATAGGCCTGTCCGCGGCGCTGCTTCAAAGCTGCTTCTGGATTACATCCGTAGAATCCCGTGCAAGGTCCATTCCGCTTGACTGAACTGGTTTTTTGATTTTGACTACAGAGTTTCCTCTCCAGTGATCAGTCACATTGGTATAACTAGTACCGTTTTAAAGCTTGTTTGTGAGAAAAGATTGGTTTTGCCCTGCTATTTTAAGCTTCAGATAACTCGAACTAGTCTAACTTTGCTCAATCACGGGGACAAAGGGGGATCCAGCGCAGAAATTCCAATTCGGGTTTTGCCTCTTATCGGTTTTTTTTCATCCATATTCTCTTTTTAGTGCTTATTTATTTTATTTTATTAGGAGGGTGTGTGGAATTTTTTTGGGGTTTCTGATGCTTGCATGAAGGCGATACTAACATTAAACTCATCTATGAGAAGTATTTAATCACTGTCACATGCACGCTTGGAGTCAACGATCTTCCATTCTTCTGACAAGACATAGTCATCCTTCTGCAGGCATCCCTTACCGTAGCCAGTTGCTACCTCTCAGCAGTTCCAAAATCCAAAGGCACCAAGATCATGGTGGCAGCTGCTCTTGACTCCCCAAGACCATTAGAGGTTGGGATACCATATAATCACTCTTTGGATCAGCCATACTCCCCGAATGAGGTAGATGAAATCATTTCTGTGGCAGAACTACTCCCACATCAATCTCTCCGTTCTTCAGATGTTCCCCCCTTTGTAAAGGCCACCTCTCCAGAGGCAACTCTCAAGGAAGCGAAGGAACTTAACATTATCAGTGAATCCACCTTCAGTAGCATTCTCTCGCTGCAAATGGAAGAATGCCAGAGCTTCAAGGCCCGGGCAGAATCAAAAGATGACATGGAAGCAAAACATAGGATGAAGGCTGCCAGTATTTCCACCGTAGAACTTCACCCTGGGGAGTCATGCCTCTTCATGGGCAGATTTGTAGTGTCTTGGAAACTCTGCGAGAAGGCAATTGAAGATAGCATGAGCAGGACCGAATCGAACTATGGCCTGGATGAAGAACCAGAGCTCCATTCTTGTGGGTCATGCGTGATGGGCCATGATGTAGCTTTCATTCGCCACATGGTTGATGATGACTGGTTATATCTAGCCAACTTATCAAAGAACAAGATGGCAGAAAGCCAGAATGTTTCATTTTCTTCAGCGGGAAATCTGGAGAAGGGCGATGCGAAATCAGCTCACTGTTCAGATTTTGCACAGATGTCAGCGCAAAGAGCTCTCCAGGCCCTGAAGTCAATCCCAGCACCTGCAAGGAGGAGCCTCCCAGTCCTGGTCAATTCGCAGGGTTTGCTTCTATGTATTCCCGTATGTGTCTTCATGTTAATAGAGTTCCATTTAGATATTATCATCATTCATAAAATGCAGTTTATATTATATAATGTGGTACTTTTTTATTTTCCTTTTTTTTCTCAGAGTATCTGCTTCAGCCATTGCCCTGATTTGACAATAACGGCTAGATTTGAACCGAGAGTCCCCCTTGGGGGGGGCTATAGCTCCTTCTTATGACACAAAAGCAGAAGAATTTTGACTAATCACACAGCGAATTTTCCATCTTTACGGTACGTAGAATCTGAGAAATGTTTGCCTTCTTGGGATGTATGTAAAAAATTCCAAGATTTTTGTGTCTATGTTTACTGTAGATCGCCTGTTGACTGATGGACTGAACAGTTGACCTGGGATGTATTTAAAATCTTAACGCCTGGTTGACTATTTTACCTGGTAACAGGTACTGAAAACGGATGAACAACAAGCTATCATACGAGCCATCAAGAATAAATTTTAAATCACATCAAATCGGCACATCAACAGGCACCCTCCAAACCCATTGTTATTCAATAGGCGTCTGAAATTGCTGAGCTCTACACCAGAAATGAATGCTCCGAAGAGCCAGTAACAAGCCCCTCCCCCCCCCCCCACCCCACAACACCCACCCATGAACAAGCCCGGGTATCGCTTCAAGTCAACGCCAATTAGAAAGGTTAGCTCTGGGTCAACGCATACCCGAGTCTGAGACGATCTTTTACATCTGGGTTTCCCTGAACTTGCTCGCACATCCTGCCGTGTATTTGCCTGCCAGCGCCTGCGCTGCCGCCAAATAGGAAAGGTGAATCAACTCCATCAACCCTGACCCTTGTGATCCTCCAAGCCCAGAAACGATGTGAACCACTGCTTCCAAGAAGCATCTCCCTGCTGCTCGAGCCAAGACAAGAAGGAGCTATCCAGCAGGCAGAAGACGTTGACGTACAGAAGCTGGTATCTGACAGGGACAAATCTGAAATTCGCAACCTGGATCAACGGCCACACCCCGCCACCGACTGCAAAGCCCGGCAGGAAATCCCTCTTCACGTCTTCTTTGACTTGAGGTATGCTCTTTCCCGAGGCCAACCCAATGTATGAGAAGTAAACCAGAAGATCCAATGGTCCAAAAATGAGTCCGTCCGCTGCAACTTTTGTCGCCACAAATTTCATTGACTTGGGTTTCAGCTGTAGTCGTCCCCTAATGAATCGATCCAAGTACTCGTACCTGAACGGATCAGAGAAATAATCAACTCCCAGTTTCTAATATCACACGAAGGAAAAACAGTGTGGGGTTCCTTCCAGTTTGCTTTTGTCAATATATAAAGCAAGAATGTATACGCATAGGATAACATCAATAAACATGTGATGCCTTCAAATTAACCAAAAAAAAAAAAAAAGATTTATCTGTGAACTGATCAAGATAATTGCTGATTAAGATAATTCGGGAACATTGCTGACTAAAATCCATACAAAAAAGTCACACTTATGAGCCGACCTCCCACCTGTTCCCACACGCATTCACCAAAAAAACAATCATATATAATAATTTATCAATTCTAGGTTTTCTTAAAATTTTACTTAACTTGGACATATAAGCATCCGCCCGCTAGTTTTTTCCTCTTTTTTCCATACTTGTCCGTTTTTTGCACTCTACATGCACAGATGATCAGATGAACCGAGTGTTCAACCTCAAGAGAATAAATGAGAAGCACATTATCCAGGTGACCCACAGAACAAGCAAGGGGAATATTCTAAGAAAAACATATTTCCAGTATGAGAGAACACTAACCAGTGATGTCCCACTGGTCCGACAAATGCAAACCCAAACATGCTTGATATAGCCACCCTTCTCCAACTGATCTTGAAGTCTCTATCAATATCCTAATAAGAAACAAAATCGAAAAAAAATAGATTAGCAAGAGTGGCATTTGATGCTCGAGACCACCCCCACTCTACCGCGTGATTTTCATTTAGTCGTATATTTTTTACGCCATTGACGTGGTTTTGCCAGACTCAAAAGTTCCATGCATTCATATCCAGATTATTTTTTACATAAGAAACCCCCATATCACGTTGTTCACGATGACATTATTGAAACAAAACGAATAGACGAATCGGCAGAATTTATGAAGGAACTAGGCATATTAGGCTTCGAACATGATAAACAGGAGAAAATAAGATGAATTATCAATACAGAGAGATCTCCTAATAGTCTGACATCTTCTTACTAAGTTAGATAAATTCCATGATAAAAAACCCAAGGAAAAAAACACAGCTGCTACCACAAAGTTGATGGGCAAAGTGACAGAATTAATTACATTTATTTAGAGGGAAAATTGTAAGAGAGGGTGGACTACAATACAGGAAACAAGGACATCCACAATGAATCTCAGACATAGAAAATTGTAAACAGCGCGATTTTAAAATCATCAGCAGACAAGGCCAGGTTATACAGTTATCTATGGACATATACGTGTATTTACACTTATACTCATATATGCTCATACAGAAAAAGCGTGATTCTAAATCAGATAAACGGATCCTGAGACAAAACGGACACGGGGCTACTGTACTAAATATTATCAAAGACGACTGACGATCAAAAGTTTTCCTAATCAGAAACCAGATGAATTGGATTATGAAAGTGGTATTCCTGATCATCAATGTGGAGAAAGATAGTGTATCCATTTGAAACCCCCAAAGAAGAGAGCTAACACATTCTTTTATATATCCTGCATGAATAGAGCCTGTTTCTGTTTTTCACTTTCCTTTCCTCTCTGTGTATGCGTGTTGTGGGGGGCTGGGGAGGGGAGGTTGAGATGAGAAAGCTGCATAATGATAAAGATAGACAGTAATCGTTGAAAATAATTGTGACATGAAGCAAGAGAATCCCCAGCCAGATGATCAGGGATGTTTGAGTAGATTTAGAATTTTTAGGGTCAAATGCATGGTCCAGAAGTCCAGGCCCCAGGTACAGGCCATCCAGGAAACAGAAACCAATCCCATGTATGAATCTTATTGAAAACAATTCATTAAAAAAAACAGCCGACCTTTTTTAAGATTTGCTTCGTCAGGATTTTGATTCGGGATCTGAATATGATGAGTATTTATTCCAAAGGCATCCGTTACGCACTAACTCATTCACTAAAATCTCAGAAGTTGGATCGTCAGCAAGCATTTGAACACCATAGTGCGTAGTGCATCAGTCTACAAGTATAAAAGTTTCTGACATTCGATCTAATGACGTTACAAAATTGCAAAGCAGTGCATAGAAAGGTGCCTTTGTCAACATTGTGGCCACAAACAAGCGCAAAAACGAGATGCAAAAAATAGTACTCACTTGAAAAGATCTAAGGGCCTTAAAACGGCGAACTTGTTCACGAAAGCTCCTGATCTACACTGATCCCACTGTGGTCCCAAACTAGCAGGCAAACATGATTTCATCTTAGATTCTTTACTTTACCCATATATAATTGTGTTGCCCGATGAATCTGGGCTTGTTAAAGTCCAGTCTGATTCAACCAATCAGGCAAGGACTGGCCAATCACCAGAATGATGGATATTCGCCTAAAATACTTTCCAACTTAAATGTCACTCAAATATCCGATGGCAAAGTAGCCATACCTTCCAAAAACAGCAACGGGAAATACTATTTTTCTGTGTTAAAATGTTCAATACTATAACACAAAGGAACCACATGAATTCTAAAAAACTGTGTCAAAACACCTAACACAATACCACAAGTTAAAGTCACTACTTCCTATCCGTGGCCATTCTGAATGATGGAGCTACTAAGAAACTAATGACATAGAGAGTTTCCACTGATAACAATGTAGGATAAGATTTTCTCCGAAGCAAAAAAAACGGAGCTCCCACCAAGAGATTCTACTTCAGAAGTCATTCCCAGCTCACAAGCACATTATCTTGAGGTGAACTGCAACCAAAAGGATGTGATTTAAAGCCTTAAATAGACCGCATATCCACAATAGCGGCAACAGTGCAACTACCGACTTTCTCTGATACCTCGTAAAATTATTTCAAATAAAAAAAACTTTACGTTTTTTGTCTTCGTCAAGGCATAGCCAGAGGAAAAGGTACGCGTAATGCGTTTCTCACACTAGCGACCAGAGGAATTGACACAATTGATAAAGACCACTGACCACACATTTCATTCACGTTCCTTCTCCGCATTTCTATATCTTTTTTAAATAGTTCGAGCAAATTTTCTCTGAGTGCTTCCCGTAATCTCCCACGTTCGAGAGCAGAAACAAACGAATCTATCAACGTCCTCGCCGAATTCAAAAGAATGAAAAAAAAAACTCACCGCGATAAAATAAAATAGGTGTCCAGTCACGAGTAGAAGCAAAAGATTTCCCCGGAAGCCACAAATTTCATTCATCGATCTTCAAGAAACGAGAGAAAACCAGCAAATCCCCGGGGGGGAAGACTTAACAGAAAAATATCCATTGCTTAGTACAAATGCGAGCATTCGCAGCAGGAATCCCCCAAATCCACGCAACGGCCAGAACCAGAAAAAGGGATTTTCCCAACAATAAAGACAACAAAGGCAGATGATAGATAGCACGACGATGATAGCGCGACATACCGCCGTCACTGAGTCATCGGACAGCTTTCTCAGCGTGGAATGGGTGACCCTCTGCGCCGCGACATCTCCCAAGCCCCAGAGGATCCCGGAGCTGACGATCTGGGTCTTCACCGGGTGGACGGTCAGACATCTCTGGTACCACTTCCATAGCCCCAACATTGGCCCTCAGCGGGCGAAGGGGACGAGAGATCCAGGGAGAGAGGGGCGAGGCGCCGTGAGACGAGTCCGGAAATGGGAGACGACCTGTGTGCGCCCGTACAACGACAGAGGATGGGGCAAGAGACGGAGACGGAACGACGAAGAGGACGAGCTCCTCGGACGGACCCCCTCAAGACGAGGACGACCTACCTCCACTGCCAGCCCCGACCGAGCACAGACAATTACAGATTATCTTTCTCCTCTCTACCACTTTTTTTATTTGTCTTATACTCCTTTCACCGTTCATGAGTGTAGATATCATACATAACCAGATATTTTTCAATTATATGGTTTCTATGGGTTTTTAAAAAAACCTCGGCATTTGACTTATATTAAGCCCCACTCCGAAGCTTAGATAACCATCGCAAATTATTTTATTATTCTTGATTAATTATTCTGTTTAACGTATAATTTTATATAAAAGCGAGGTCCTTGAACAATAATGGGTATAATAATCATCATGGACTTAATAGTAATCTACATAAGAAATAAGGGATTTTTTATAAAAGACGCAAACAAGTTCTCAAAGCGATCCTCGACCGATTTACGACTTTTCTGTTTGGATGTTGGGAAATTAATACGGAGAGTAAAATCGATTCGGTCAGAGCCAGGCCAGACGGCTCGAGCCAGAATTTCATTAGGTCCCCGTACCCGGTCCCACAATGGTCTCATTGTTGACCATCGTGATGCGGCCCATCAATATTTTATCGAAATAATTCGGAATGGGCGAACCATCAACGTGTCACGCAGCGGTTCGAGGAAACCAAGGGTCCCACTTCAGTCATCGTGTGGCAGTATACGGCACGCGAGTGCCGGCAGGCCACCACACCGCAGCACCGTGGGTTGGGTGGCCGAGTGAGGTCCACGTGGAGGGGGGCTCGATCGGACGGTCCAGAGGGACCATAAACCTGTGCCAGGAGTCGGCATTCGGATGCGTGAAGGCTCCAACGTGATATTTTGGTCATTTCATCTATTTTTAGTAGTTACTGGTCGTGGGAGGACGCGATTCTTCGAATTTCGAGTATTTTTGGCGGTATTTCGATTTTCGGTTTATTTTCGGCCACGAGATTTGATCTTCGGTACTCTTCGTTCCACTGTGGGGCGTCGGAGGAGAGAGAGAGAGACAGGTTGCGGATTCTGTGGATAAGATTTGTCGACGGGGAATCTGAAGAAGAGAGGGAGCAACGCGCACGGTCATGGAACGCCTCAGTGGAGAGGCGACGGTGCTCTCGCAGCGCCAGCAGTGGAGAGGTGACTGCAGCATTCTGCCTCTCTCTCTCTCTCCCTCTCTGTGCCAGGTCCTCGAAGTCGATTCCGCGCATGGTAGCGGATGATTGAACCGTGAAGCCGAGGGGCTCGGTGTTTGGAGCAACAAGGTACTTGCAGTATTTTCTGAAGCCATTAGTCCGAGATAAGGACCCTGAATCACTACTGCCTTCGGAGAATGGAAATGGCCATTCAAAACGAGGGAGACCTGTTTTTATCGAGATTCTAGCCTGGTATTTGCGGTACTAATGATCAGCATCAGCTATTTCGTCTGCCTCCCTATGAGTTTCGATAGCTAGGAAGAGATCCTGTTTGGATCGTTTTTCACATTCTATCACACTCGAGGAAGCATGTCCCCTTTTCCTCCTACTTTCTTGTTTGATTTTGCCGCACTACTGAAGTTATATACACCTTCAGACGTGTGCTAGGAAAAAAATTGTGGACGAAGTGGCATGGCTTTTACCACTTTCTTATGACTGTTAGATTTTCGTTCATCTTTTCCGATGTCTGTTAGCACTATGCTGTAGTTATTCATTTTCTCTTTTCACGATACGATCGCCCATTTTCATATCCGCAGATTTCCTAGCTTTTATTGGAAAAATCTCTCTTTGATGTAGTGAATCAACTTATTTTCACGGCGGAGTTATTTTAATTTCCTTTTGATAGATTCCTTTTTATCGAGCGTTATTCTTCTGTTTGCTAGCTGAGGTCAATGCTTTATTCTATTGTATTCTAAAACCTCTGTGCAACTGGAAATGATAGCATGCACGATTTCCGCATGAACTTTCTGTTATCTGACTGTGTTGAACCACCGTTGCAATCAACGCGTTATTTTCTCATGCCGCGACCAGGATTTGCCAGTGGTATAACCAAGGGTAGGCTTCTCTGTGCCGCCATATCTTATGCTGTGTCAATACTTAGCTTTCTTCATTGACTACATTTGAAGTTAGCAACATATGCCGTCTACTCTTTCCTTAGTCCTTGTTCCCTTCATTTGACTAATTATTATTTCATTACATTCTGATTGACATAGGGGAATCGCATATTTTTTTCATGGTTAATGTTTTTTTGTTGTAACCATCATGTAGTCGACTTTTCATCATTTCATGGTAACTTGCTTCAGTTCACATTCTCGGTGAATTGATAGGTGGAAGCCTGTGATTTTTCTCTACTGAAAGAATCTCTTTGTAACTGGGCACGTTGACAGAAGTCAAGCTTCGCTTTGGTGTTGTGTGACAGGTTCACTTAAGGTGACAGGATTAAAGGCTGATTCGACATTGGGTGCATAAAGACAAAATGGGGGAGAATGACAAAAAACTGACCATTTCAGATGCTGCGTTTAATGATCAAGAGAAAACAAAGTCAAGCAAGAAAGGAAGAAATAAGGAATCAGTCAGACAGGTAATTTATCAGTAGCTTTCTTAAGAATTGAATTTTATGATTCGAATCGCAAGTCCTGGGAGACTGGAGCCAAGGTTTATCACTAGGTACCCATTGCCCTTGTACATTGTCAGATAAGTAACCACTTATATGCTTGTGTAGCAGATGGCTAAAATAAAGTCTGGTAATCAACTCTTTAAAAAAATCCCTGTACAAAAGTGAAGATAGTTGGGAGGGTGTAGACTTGTCTATGATCCCAAAATGGATTTTAAATACCATGAAGAATTGGTGAACAAAAACTTTTCACATCTAATGACTATTTTGGCCGATTGATCTTCCAATATGCGAGTTTCAACAACTCTCGTTCCTTACACTTTTTCCTACCTGCTTGGTCTGTAGTAGGTATTTGGTTTATTGCTTTAGGTATTAGTACTATGGCTTTCAACCTAAACGGTTTCGGAAAACTTGAGCATACGTGTATTGTTGATATCTTCTTTTCATTGAAATAATCAACGGGTCAATAATTTGTTTCAAATTGTTTCTGCAAAACGTATTGCTTAATCTAAACGTTTTTTGTTTATCTGTAATATTCACTAAAACGTTGACGATTTGTGTTGCTTTATTTTATTTTATGCCCAATATTCTCTCTCTCTCTCTCTCTCTCTCTCTCTCTCCCCTCCTTCGTATATATGTGGATATGTATATCTACCTATCCACCAACAAACATATGCACACGCTCTCTCCTCCCTCTTTTCCTTAACAACCCCCCACCCCCACCCTAAACACGTACACACTGTTCCTCGTCCCCCTCTTCCTGCCATGATTGCTGAATATATTTTTTTTCTAATATTTTATAGGACTTCTTAAATGAGAAAGATATAAGACTGCCAATTTCAAAATCTTCATCAGCTATCACTCCACATGGCTGTATTGTTTGTTCCAGTGGAGAGAGTTGCAGGACAGTGCGTTCAAGAACAAAATTGATGAACGTATTAATAGAACGAGGGAAAACCCACGAAGTTCAATCAATATTTGACAGCTTGATAGAAGAGGGGCATAGACCAACTGTGGTATCATTTACAACTTTATTAGCTGCTTTGACAAGCCAAAAGCGATTTGATTCCATTCCTAATATCATTGCACAATTTGAATCATACGGATTGAAGCCTGACGCAATATTCTTCAACGCCATTATCAATGCTTTTTCTGAGTCTGGGAATGTTGATGAGGCCATGGCTGCCTTCTGGACGATGAAAGAGAGTGGCTGTCGACCGACAACCAGCACCTACAATACTTTGATAAAAGGATATGGAATAGCTGGTAAGCCTGAAGAGTCGGTCAAACTCTTAGAATTGATGTCGCGCGAAGCAAATGCAAGGCCTAACCAGCGGACATACAATATGTTAATCAGAGCCTGGTGCAATAAGCAGAATCTTACAGAGGCATGGAATATCGTTTATAGAATGGTTGCTTCTGGTGTAAAGCCCGATGTAGTCACCTATAATACCATAGCACGAGCTTATTCTCTGAAGGGTGAAACGAGTAGAGCTGAAGACCTGATATTGGAGATGCAATCTATGAAACTGCAGCCAAATGAACGCACATGTGGTATTATAATCAGTGGCTACTGCAGCGAAGGTAATATGAGAGAGGCTCTGGAGTTCGTTTATCGTATGAAAGGACTTGGTGTAAAGCCAAATCTAGTTGTCTTCAACTCTCTGATTAAAGGATTCCTAGATGCTGAGGACACTGGTGGGGTTGATGAGGTGAGTCTCCAATATCTATGATTTCTGTCTTCGTCACTTTTCATGTGGGAATCTATGGACGGGGATAAAATGCCTGTTGGAAATCTGCTTGTTCCATTCTGTCGAATGTGTTTTATCTTGCCCCGCTTTCGTCCTGTGGCTTGTCACATCTTTCTCTGCACGCATGCTTCTGAATCAGATATTTAATACAGTAATTCAGACTGTTGGTTGCTTTTGAACCGATTACAAGCAATTTCCTATTCGATTAAAGCTTCAATTCCCTGCAAAAATAAAGCTCCATAGAGATCACAAGGGCCATGACAAGGGGATTCATGTCAGTGAGGCAGCTACTTCATAGTTAAAGTTAGTCTCTCTGATTTTATCGACCTCCTCGTATTACATGACAGTTGACAAGAATGCTAAATGTTTGTAAAAAGCAAGAACAAAACCGAATCTTCCATCATGGCAACGAATGGGACCAAAATAAGGGGGCTCTCGCTTATAAACTGAACTGACTTATATTTGGTTTCTGGCACCAGTTGTTGAAGGTTAGATGGCAGGACTGAATTTGTCAGTACAAGCCATTTATTCCTCTTCAATCCTAACTGAAACTAGGTAGATCCAACAAAGGTTTATGATTATGATAGACACAGACCTTCGGGATGGACCCACTGAGACGTCTGTTCGAAACCAACCGCGCTGGTCTGTTTCGATCGTTGACCAGTTCTTAGCAGGTTCTTGTGTCCACGCAAGTCAGCCAGCTAGTGTTGTGATGCGTGTTTCCAGAGAAAGATGAACAAGTCTTTTTTTTTCTTTCTTTCAATCACTAAATCCAGCTGAAAGGTTGCATCTTTGTTTCCTGTTTTCTCCTTATTTCGGGCTGTCCTCCATATTAGGCTGCTAGATTTTGATCCTGGTCGTCTGGGTACAGTAACATGGTGAGAAAATAAGAAAAGATTATCCCTTTTTGGTAGGTTTTGACGCTGATGGAGAGCTTCGGAGTCAAGCCAGATGTGGTGACATTCAGTACCTTGATGAACGCATGGAGTGCAGCCGGGCTCATGGACAAGTGCAGGGAGATCTTCGACGACATGGTGGAAGCGGGCATAGAACCAGACGCGCAGGCGTACAGCATCCTCGCCAAGGGCTATGTCCGCTCAGGAGAACCTGAGAAGGCCGAGGCCCTGCTGGCGACAATGGAGGAGCAGGGGATGCGCCCTAATGTCGTCATCTTCACCACCATCATCAGCGGGTGGTGCAGCGCCGGCGACATGGAGAGGGCCATGGAGATCTTCGAAAGGATGCGGGAGTTCCAGGTGGGCGCCAACATAAGGACCTTCGAGACCCTGATTTGGGGGTACGGGGAGACCAAGCAACCGTGGAAGGCGGAGGAGCTCCTCCAGGCGATGGAAGAAGCCGGCGTGCAGCCGAAGAAGACGACCCTGCAGCTCGTGGCCGAAGCCTGGAGGTCGATCGGGTTGCAGAACGAGGCCGGGAGGGTTTTGGACTCTGCGGATGACCTAGACCCGCCTCGCCGACCAGATCTGAAGGACGGCGCCGCCGTGGAGCTCAAGGGTTTGGGATCCTCTTCTTCCGGTCTCCGGCAGCCGTCGAACGCCATCAACGATCAGCTTGCGTGGACTAAGAGAGGTCGAATGGTGCTGGGAGGCGACCTTCCGGAGAGCCTCTGGACGGCGACGAGGTCGATGTTTCTCGGCCATGCCTGTAAATACGGAGTTCATCACGCGGTCGTCTGCCGGAAGCTCTCCCTCTCCCAGCTCGGGATCTCTGCGGAGGTTGTAAATACCTGCCGGCCGGTGTTCCTCCGCTGAGGCAACTAGTTCTTCCCCTCGCTGTTCCAGATCCCTCTCCTTCCCATCATGCAGAGTTCACCATTCCATTCCTCGTCTTTGGTAGTCTGTTCCATCACAGCATGCTCACACGATGTAAAAACCAAACATAATTTACGAATATATTACCTGAAAACCAGGCGGTAATTCTCATTCGGAGCTTGCAAGCTCCCCGATGATTACCTTCAATGGCGTCTGGTAGTTCCCCGGAGGAGCCATTTGGACAGGCAGAGAGAGAGAGGGAGAGAGTACAGTGATGGACGATAGCGATGATGAAGGTCGAGGGGAGATGATTAGGTCTGGGGAAGGCTAGTGACCAGCCAGAGAGCTGCCTGTACCTGGAATCTGTGATCTACGTCGCCATTGCATGGCCATGGCAGGTAGGTCTTCTTCAGTGCCACGGTTTCCATCAGAGGAAGTTTCGTTCTCCGAATAATTCCTCTCTCTCTAGCTCCATGGCTTACAGTGGCTGAGCGGGGTCAGAGAGTCATAATGCAGGGAGGACGGAGACGGGTTCATCGTCTTCCTCCCCCTTCTCTATTTCCCTGCACGTTTCCGCCTACATAATTGCTTCCGTAAGGGTGGTCGGAGCGTACGGCGGCCACCCGCCCCGCCATGGCCCGCCTGTCACGCCTCCGGTGAAACTTCCAAGGTACCAGCGGGACGCAGAGGCTCCGTCCCGGTGATAAAAGCCTCCTCTTCTCCTCCACCATGGCATCAACGCCCTCCGTCCTCCATCGCCCCCACCAGGAGGAGCAGCAGAAGCTCGAATAATATATCTCCAATTGCCCCTGCTGCTCCTCAGACCTGAATGTGTTCTCGGAAGAAGACCCGCCATTAGGTCCCATTTCTAGGGAGACGTTCTCTGCGAGCAGGGAGGAGGACGGAGGAAGGCGACGGGGTCTGAGCGATGGCGAGGATGGAAAGGATGGGAGGGAAGTTCCTCGGAGGGCTGAAATCGGTGGCTCCGGTGGCATTGAACTTTCTCATGGCGGCCGTGCTGGTCTCGGCTGATCGGAGGCTGAAGCGGGAGGGGATCGCCGGCGAGATTATCCAGGAGGCGGAGCCCGATCAGCTTCTCCTCAAACTGGGGCGCTTCCTCTGGCAGCCGGATGATTCCTCCTACCAGCACGTCTGGCCGGTAAATGTCTTCTTCTTCTCCTCCTCCATTCGATCTTCCTCGCAGCATTCTTAAAATCATCGCCATGCGCATGCACTCGTACAGGATATGGAATTCGGCTGGAAGATTGTTGTGGGATCGTTCATCGGGTTCTTAGGAGCGGCGTTTGGCAGCGTCGGGGGCGTCGGCGGCGGAGGGATTTACGTCCCCATGCTCACTCTGATCATCGGCTTCGATCCCAAATCTTCAACAGCCATTTCAAAATGTGAGGAATCTCTCTCTCTCTCACTCTCTCTCTCTTTCTGCGAGGTTTTGCCATGATTCGAGCTTTGATGATGGGATCTGGCAACGCTCGGGCAGGTATGATCATGGGTGCGGCAGGCTCGACAGTCTACTACAACCTCAAGCTGAGGCATCCCACTCTGGACATGCCCATCATCGACTACGACCTGGCACTGCTCTTCCAACCCATGCTCATGCTCGGCATCAGCGTGGGAGTCGCGTTCAACGTGATCTTTGCAGACTGGATGGTCACAGTTCTTCTGATCATCCTCTTCCTAGGTAACCGCCATTGCCGATTTGACAGCCGATTCCTTGGTCGATCCCCTGAAACTCTCTGTGATGAGCTCCAACTGGTTCGTTCAGGCACATCCACCAAGGCCTTCCTCAAGGGCGTCGAGACCTGGAAGAAAGAAACCCTGGCGAAGAAGGTAATGGCGGCCAGCTCCCCTCCCTCCTCCTCACCAGATACATTTCAATTCCACCTGAACGCTCACTCCAAATCTCTTTGCGGTTTTCAGGAATCTGCAAAACGAGCTGAAGCAAACGGTGAGCGGCCTCCTCCTCCCTCTTCCTCCCCATCTTCATCAACTGAGAGAGAGAGAGAGAGAGAGAGAGAGAGAGAGAGAGAGAAAGAGAGAGTATTATGTCTCTGGTTCCTCAAATTTTCTCGGGTTTCAACAGGAAAAGGGAATGATGAAGTCGAGTACAAAGCCCTTCCAAGCGGGCCGGCAAACGGCACCGGGGGGGAGGTGAAGGCAGTGAGAGACGAGGTCAACGAGCACGACTCAGCTCTCTCTCCAGTTTCATCCACTTCCTTTCTGATCTGCTGAAGCTCAACCTTTTGACCTTCACCCGCAGGTCTCGATTATAGAGAACGTCTGCTGGAGAGAGCTGGGCCTTCTGGTCCTCGTCTGGTTCTCCTTCCTCGGCCTGCAGATTGCGAAGGTGAGCCGGCCGCCATCTCTGCCCGCACTCTTTGTCAGAGCTCACTGGTTCGCCATCAATGACGGAGATTCTGACCGAAATCGCAGAACTATACTGGAACCTGTTCGACCATGTACTGGACTCTGAACTTCCTCCAGGTACCCTGATCGTTTATCTTCTCCTGTGCGAAGAAGATTACTCTGTTTCTGGGCATCTTTGATCTGATATGAATCATTCGGATTGTTCAATCTGATCTCCTGCAGATCCCCGTTTCCATGGGGGTGACGGTCTACCAGAGCTACAGCCTGTACACAGGAAGGAGGGTGATCGCGTCCAAGGGGGACAAAGGGACCAACTGGAGGGTCCGGCAGCTGTTCTTCTACTGCTTCTGCGGGGTTCTCGCCGGAGTCGTCGGGGGCCTTCTGGGTCTCGGCGGCGGCTTCATTCTGGGCCCACTATTCTTGGAGCTGGGGATTCCTCCCCAGGTAGCTTTCTGCTCCTGAGAAGTCAACCCCTCTTCGTATTCTGGTTCGTCCGGAGTCATCGTCTGATCTCCTCCACGTCCAGGTATCGAGCGCCACCGCCACCTTCGCCATGACCTTCTCCTCGTCCATGTCGGTGGTGGAGTACCACCTCCTCAGGCGATTCCCGGTGCCGTACGGTAAGCTTCGCCCTCGCCCAGATGCTGATCCTGTGGAATCATAGTTGCCGCTGACCTCGATCGGTAGCTGACTTATGTGCGGAGTCTGCTTTCGGTTGACCCTCGTTTTGCCGGCGTTCAGCTCTCTACTTCACCGGTGTGGCGACGGCGGCCGCTCTCGTCGGTCAACACGTTGTGAGGAAGCTCATCATAATCCTGGGCAGAGCGTCGCTCATCATCTTCATCCTCGCCTTCACCATCTTCGTCAGCGCCATCTCTCTGGGTCTCTCTCTCTCTCTCTCTCTCTCTCTCTCTCTCTCCCTCTCTCTCTCTCTCTACCTCTTGCTAATGGGTGTTCCGATGGGCAGGCGGAGTGGGGATTTCCAACATGGTGAAGAAGATTGCGGACGAGGAGTACATGGGATTCGAGAACCTCTGCAAATACGAAGTCTGACATGCGTTGACTTTATAGGGGACCAAGAGAGTAGCTTAATATTATTTTTGTTCCATAATTTTTGCCGATTCATTCCTCCGCGGTTATTCCCGTTGCTTGCAATTCAATCCCTTTCTGTAGCAAAAAATTTCGGGCTCTGGATCCCATGGAAATCATAATAAAATCTTCTCCTTCCACCTCCTGTTGACTTTCATGGATCATCACGGTGGGCCTTCCACTGCTACGCGTTGACCTTCTCCCATAACTCTCGGAGAGGCGGAAGACAGAAAAACCTCGTAAAAAAATTAATTAAAGATCGCAATTGATAAACATTCAATAGACTCTTTTCTTTGCTTCCTCCTGCCGCTGCAATTACACTCTACGACCCACAAGCACCTGGGTTCCCGAGTCAACGGGCATGGACGCCGAAGAAAGAAAGAGGGACCAGCTGGAACCGCCGCGTCAACTTCCCCTTCCCCTGAACAAAAGAGGAGATCGCAACGGGCTTCTCAAGCCAGGAGCAGAACAACAAGAAAAGGGTCGAAGCTTATTGTCTCAAGAGTTGACAAATCTGGCCTCCCATGCTGGAGAGGATCACACTTTGAAGAGGAGGGGGGGAGGAGGGGGCGGTCAACTGTAGGTGCATGCGTTCTTGGCGAAGATGACCGGCTTGGTCTTGCTGGAGTCAGCGGTGAACCGGCAGGAGATGCGCCGCCGGTGGGTGACTCTCACCAGCTTCCCCACGACGTAACCCCGGGAGCGGATCTCGAAGTCCAGCGTCAGGGGAACCCTGGGGCTGGTGCTGGATAAGATCAAACCAGCTCCCGCGCCGTAGAGAGGAACCTTCTCTCCTTGGAGGATCACAGAGATCGTCCTGTGGCTCTTCCTGGGCTGGTAGTACTTCTTGAGCTGCAATCAATCCAAGGCGGCATTGGTATCTACCGACACAGAAAGAATTCACGGGCAGCAGAGAAACCCTGATTCCCATGAAGTTCTATAATATGTGTTCCATGGTTTTATGAAAATAATCAAGTGGGTTGTTTTCTCGTTCTGGGTGTATAGAGAGGGATAGGAGCCGCGAACTTACCTGTCCGGAGGCAACTGCGATCTGGGAGTAGATGAGATTGATGGACGATGAAGTGACGTGAATGCCGAAGGTTGGAGCAGGGTTGTACACATTAATCTTCAGAGAGCAATTTACAGTGATCATCTTGGTAGGGACACCGGTGGAATCAGAACCCTCCCCAGCGTACAAGTCATCGACAGCGATGCTCTGCAGAACAGTGGGGAGATGATCAGGGAACCAGTTCATCATTAACCACCCAGTAAGATTGATGAGCAAGATAAACAGAGAACCAGATGGGTCACAAACTCTAGCATTATATCTTTTTTCTTTAAAATATATCACTAATAAAGGAAAACGCATCGCATTTGTTATCGATGATATAAATGGGATACGTTGAGGGATAAACCCAATGCATTTACCGGAAGATTGAAGAGACGGATTGAATATGGCATCAAACAATAAAATCAGCCCATTTATCTATGATGAAAGTTGAAAACAAGGCAGAGATACACAATTACGTCTATATTTTTTTGGAGCTATCTTCATCATCCAATCAACTATATTTAATGAGGGAATAAGAGATGGGCTACAGATATAAAAATGATAGGAAGTGTTTTTGAAGCGACTGCCAAGCTGAACCACCTAGAAAATTTTCAAGAAAAAAAAAATATATATATACGTATGAAACACAAAGTCAGCAGGTCAAGGAACAAGAAGGCTAGAAAATTTCGAAAATTTCCCCTGACTTCTTTGCTAGACTCAGGTGGGCCGATGACATGCAAGGAAGCCTATTACTGAAGTTCACCATTCTCGAAAGGCCTCTAAGCAGAGATCAGAGGTAGTCATCTCCATTGAAACCATAGAAGACGACAGGTTTTTAGCACGAAAACTCATCGATGTCGAGTTAAATCACAGTTATAGGTGGCAACATAAACAGTACCTTCACGATGACATCTGCTTTGTACGGCCGGCTCGCTCCCCAGATGATCAGGCAGAAGACGGTAAAAAGCAGGACAAAGCTTATGAACGCGAGTATAATCTGGCAACGGCGGGAGAGCCCCTTGTCGTCGTCGAGATCGTCATAAGCGCCTTCTTCTTGAATCACGTTGCACTCAGGCCAGCCCTTGTCGTTCCTCTTCCGGTTTGCCTTCCGCCCTGATGATGAACGAAAAGCCCCGGAGAATCGGCTCGCCGAAGAGGCCCGGGAGTGCCGCCCGTAGGAAGGGTGTGACGGTGACTCCATCGGGCTGTTGTACACAGGAGTAGCATGCATGGACGATGATTTGTCTCCATCGTGGGAATCTCTGGAAGGGCTCTGCACGTAGTAGGCCGGCCTCTTAGGAGACCGGGAAGGGGAAGATGGGGCCAAGCTGGTGACATCGGAATCTGACTTGTTGTGCATCATCTTCTGTCCAGCTATTTAGCAGAGTATCGCCCCAAGATGAATCTGAAGATTTCTAATCGCTGAAACTTGCTGACGAAGTTCGAAAAGCACGTGCTAGCAGATCATCACTGAGACAGATGGGAATTCCTTCACAGCACGCAATGACCCCGGAACTGGTCCCTAGAGTACCAAACAAGCTTACAGTGGCCAGAAGCGTCTCAAGCAATTAGGGGCGGTTCCAGATCTGAATCTACAGAAAATTTTCGACGAGGAGAATTCTCGTTAGATCGCATGAAAGTTGAGAAACAAATGGAAAATTGCACCACGATCCCTATGTCGAGAAATGAAATTCCCAAGAAACGCTGAGGATGTATCTAAGAGCGTCGTGACATGCAGAAACTGGATTAGCAGGAATCCTTTGTTATTCAACGGTGCACGAAGCCCCAAAAATTACCGATTTCAATGGGAACCGCCAGGGAGTGCGTGTCTCCCAGGCCCGAGCCTCCCAAAACTCCCCAATTCCGACACCACACAGGCTCTCTCAAACTCCAAGATCCCACCCTCAAGAGAAACGAAAATCAGAGGCAGATCACAGGATGTACCTTCTTCCAAAACTCGAGATCCTCGGAGGCGGGCAGGCCGAACCCACCCCAAGGCAATGCCGGGGGGAGAGAACGGACGAGAATTCGAAGCCTCCCAGCGGCGTCAGATCTGGATCTCAGTCAGTCCCCAGGAGGCGATAAGGAAGCCAGGGAGGAGGAGGAGGGAGCAGGTCTCCGCTACTGGTCGCACTGGGGAAGAAGAAGGTTAATAAAGCAGAGGCGCCGCGAACCACCGAAACGGCTGTGATGGATAGTGACCCCTCCTCCTCCCCCCCAGCCTCGGATTAGGCTCGGATGCCTCCGAGCCTACTAGGCGCGGCACAGAGTGTCGGCAGGAGGCTCTTCGCACGTGCGTCCACCTCCCCACCACCGACCGACTTGCCCCTCATTTAAAATATTTCAAAATGTAATTTTAAAATTCATTTTAAAAAATAAAGGTGGCTCCTCTCTCTCTCTCTCTCTCTCTGTGGATCTGGCTTCGGGCCGACCCGACTTCGAGAGCTTTGGTTTTTTTGGCCCGAAATGGGAGAAGAATCGCGCCCGGCGGTGGGTGAGTGAGAAGGTAGACCGGAGAGGGTGACCGGGCACCTACTGAAGGAAGACTTGCGGTGGAATCCGCGCGCCAGCTGGCGCCAGACTTCGGACATGAGCTGGAGTTTGACCCCCGAACCACACGAAAGGAACCCCCCCTCCGCCATGGATCTGCAGAAGAGAGAGAAAGCCAGAAAGAGAGAGAGAGAGAGAGAGAGAGGGGACCCAGTAGGAAGAAGCAGAGGAAGATATGACCAACTGCGATAATCTAGCGAGATTTTACAAGCAGCAGCAAGCCCAGTGAGGAAATTACAGGCTTTTAGGGGACGGGGCGTGTCCAGAGTTCTTGAGGGAAGAACAGGGAAAACAGGGGAGGACCCTCAGGCTCTTCCCGATCTTGTTCTGTCAACTTGGATCGAGGGGGAGTCGAGGGTTGAGAGGATCTGGGGCATCGACATGCCGCCGGAGACGACGATCTCTGCACAAGAATAAACCGAAAAATTGTGAGATGGGGTCGCCGAGGAAGATTAGGGTTTTGGGATGAGCTAAGCCAGTCACCGATCCCTTCGCGGACGGATAGGTTGGGCCTGATGACGTCCGCGGAATTGATCAAGAATATGTCGCCAATGTAGAGATGGTTCGTCGGGACGTAGACGCAGCAGAGCTGCTCCTCGCCGGAGTATGTCTGGTCGCAGGAATTGAAACATGATATCGATGGACGACCTCGGGAGATTATTCGGGAAAACCTAGATTACCTGGAGGACGACGCTGGAGGTGATGAAGCCCAGGGCGTATTCACCGATCCTGGGGTGCCTGATAATCGCCACTTCCTTGAAGGCCTGCGTGTTTTGATCTGCAGCAGAGGAGCATAAACACCAAGAACCCTAAAACGTACGAAAACCAAATGAAAGAAATGAGGAGGGCAACCAGGAGAGATGGCGGCGCTGATCTGCTTGGAAGCGTTATAGATATGGCGGACGAAGGGCATCCGCTTGATGAACCACTCCCCGAGGCCGAGGACCGACGCCCCGAGCCAGGACGACATGAAAACCCCCACCAGGAAGATGAAGGTTATCGATGCTACGAAGCCGAGCCCTGCCAGAGGAGATTACGACAGGAAGATGAACGCCATAGACGTTTATACGCCGTTTTCATCAGGCAACAGAGCTCCGGCGTACCAAACATGTTGATCCCCAGATGAACAAAGATCGGAGAGAAAAACCCATCGACAAAATGAATGAACCACCAGGTGATGTAGAATGTGATCGCAATTGGGAACAGGATGACGCTGCAAGAATCGGTGGAACGAGCGTTAGCCAGTGAAAACATTCATCTCCTGCGTTCGAAAGATGAAGGAACTAAAGAGAAACAAAGAGGCCCTGCTGTCGTCTCTCAAGAGCAGCTAGCGTTGACCACAAACCAAAAGAACAGGTTTTGACAGCAAGGATTAATGCAAGAACAGATTTCGGCACTGAAAGTTTTGATGAGATTCCAATCCACTGCATTTCAAGGTTTATCATACTACCCAGTTCATCACCCTCATCTAGAGTAGTGCGGTGGGGTTGACAAACGTTGCGGTTGACCGAGGCCCCCGGGTCACACTGAATTTTGTGCAGTCAACCATCAAAGTGTTGCCTCCGAGAGGACGAATGGATATTCATCCTTGTAACTAATTATAAAAAAAAATGATGGAAAGAATGCACGCAAGTTCACGAGTACAGCAAAAAATAATGGGTGGAGGACAAAGCGTCAAGAAGTAGAAATAGTTTGAATAACCATAAAAAATCATTATCTGCAAAATCTTGAGAGAAAACTGGATCGGATATTCTTTATAATTTTAAGGATAAATTTCAAGAAGATGCTAGATCAGGTACACAGATCAGCTTATTCATTTGTCTACATATGAAGATACGTGATTCAAACCCCTAAAGGAAATGCCAAATCTTAGAGCAACCTTAAGGACCAGATTGATGGATCAAATCAGGAGATCCATTGCTATGTGAGAACAGCTTTAATGAACTGGATCATCATCATTCCAGAAGCGATATTCCCACATAGTATTTATTTTCTGAAGGTAGAGCCATGGCCATGCAACGTCATATGCTAAAGGAAACGGAATTTCTGGCGCGCATGTGCGAGAACCAACTGAAAGAAGAGGAGCTGTTTAATCGGCTCACCAATGAAAGTCGCCCAACTGAGATTAAAATCTGAATTTAATTGTCACCATGCACTTATGGAAATTGGCCCTTTTTCTTATATGTTAGTTTTCTAAGCGATGAATCTTCTTTTACCTTCTTCAAAATAATAACCTCAAATATTGAGGCTATCATTCCTGGAAGAAAATCCAAGAACTGCATTTTTAAGGCCAAAATTCTTCTTTTACTTTCCAGCATCCAAAAATTATTATCTCCTATCGATCTTTGAAGAGTCATCCTCATCTTATTAAGAATAAAATACCAGATGCATAGGTGTGTTTTCGCTGATAAAGATAAAACAGCTATCTACGATGGGTAATGCTAAAGGACTAAAATAATATTCATACAAACACCTGAATCCGTCAATCTTCCCAAAAACTTAATGGATTTATGGCATTAAATGAGTACATCATTGTACAACTTTATCAGGGTTACACTTGGTGACATATTCCGATGTAGATCTCTTCTATACATTAGCCTACCTGATTCATATTTATCGCCATCACATAAAAGATCGGTCATCAGCCTCCAAGAGAATTTATTAATAATATTTCCAATTAGAACAGCAGAGTAAATACGAAGACAAATAATAGATGAATCATATGCGGATAATGCTCACTGGATAACATGTTGCCATTGATGAGAAACAACAGAAGGCTAGTTCTTTAACAGATGAGCGAAAATAGAGGATTTGATCGAAGATAGTATCCTTGGTGGAAAAGAGGGCAAAAACAACATAGATGTGAGGGATTGGGTTGCTTTGAGGGCAACTGCTGCGGTTGGTGAAACTATTAGAACTCATAGGAATCAGGCATTGACATTCTAAGTGAACAGACTAATGGGATAAGACAGCAGAATTATCAAAAAAAGGGGAGACAAATGAAGAGTTCAAGAGAAATTCACCATCCTGTCATAAACTTTTTTGACGCCCAACTCCGAAAGACTTTATAAAACGCCTGTAAAATGATAGGGACATCAGTGATAATAACAATGTACAACTACAAAATGGAAGAATGAACTTCCATTAGAACTCAATTTTATTCTAGGATCTAATTGGCAGTTTCCGTCAGACCATAGTTACTATGCTCAAAATATTCGAAAAAAAATTATAATTGTATTGATCTCAAACTCGAACTTAGAGCAGGCACGAAGTTCGAATTCATTATTCATTTATGTTGGAATTTTGGAATCATGTACAAAGCTAGCATAATGATACGCATACAATTGAAAACTCTGTTGGTTCACAAAATAGCAAATCCCATGGAAAATGAGGTTGCGGGTCCATAAACCTGGCCAGAGAGAATCAGCCGTAGACGCAACAATTCTTAGGAACTAGTAACTCTCAAACATGACAAAATGAGCCCAGTAAATTCAGCTGGGATTTGCCAGCGATGATTTCATCTTGGTCAAGATATTTTTTACCTGCTCCAACATTTATCGTAAAATCAATTCTTTCACCCAATAAGGGTCCTTTCATGTAAAGAAAAACCGAATACATAACAGTAGTATTTTAGATAATCCAAAATGAACGTTGCCATTATGATCATTTATTAACCCATCTTTAGCGGTCTATTAGATTTTTAGATCCATAGCCATGAAAATGAATATCAAATACAGAGAGAAATTGAGGTGTTTCTGAAAATAAATCGTTAATAAATAGACGGAATACTGTTTAATGGGTAGCAAATGCATTATGAAGCCAACGAAATACATGGTACAGGCCTCCATACTGTAATCCCAGGTGGCAGGCAGCACCGCAGGGGAGAAAGATTTGACAATTTGTGCGAAGAGACTGGATGATATTGTGTTTCTCTGTCTCGTTTCGATTAATATTTTTTTACACTTTAAAAGCGATATATATCATTCATCAAAAGGTTGCGTATTGTGATCACGGAATCATTTAGATATTTATGGCTACTGAGTTAATAACGAATGCTGCTGCATATATTAGGCTTTTTCTGAATTCTGGATTATGCAATCTCCGTTTCAAAGTAATTGGCTAATTTCTGGATTGGCTATCAGCCGCATTTATTTCCAAGCAATGGTATAAAGCGTAGTAAGTTTTTAAATGAATGATACTAACATGCGCGCCATTAAACTTACATGAAATCCGGAAGAAAATATGATTTTAAATTAATGTAGAACATAAAAGTAGACAAGAACTTTGCGAACTTAAAATAATTGGAAACGGAAATTAGCCGCAAGCATACGGCCATTTCAAAACGACTTGCAACGGAAAATTGAAAGGGCTAAGACGAGAGTTGAGAGCATCCAGATATTTATAAAACGGGAAAAAAAATCCAACTCCACCGAACCTTCAAAGCCAACTCCTTTTCAATATGTCAGTTACATATCTTAAAAAGTGTTTTTGTCAAACAGTTTGAGATCAAATTTTCACCCCGAAAGCATTCAAAACCATCTAAATTTAAAATCGACAGAAACTAGGGTACTGTAAACAAAAAGTGACGGTTCATCAACAACAATGAATAAATATAACGTCTTCAATGATAACCAGTCAATAGAATCACGTGAAGGCAGGCATAATAACTCAAATCTTCAGTCTTATCCGGCAAGAAGCAGCGAGTCAACGGGATCCGAACAAAAAGAGGGCTGACCTCGCGCCCGGAGTGGTGGTGGTGGTGATGATGATGATGTGAGGAGGACGAGTTGGAGGCCGACGCTTTGGAATCGGAGTCTTCAGCCGGATCCCCCTCCACTGGGATTAGCAGCTCCCGATCTCTCTCCCTCTCTCTGCTTCCCATTGGAATCAACGACTTCTCGTCGCCCATAAGCCACCTTTCCCGTCGCCCCCCGTCTTAACCCCCCTTCCCTCCCTCTCCCTATCCTCAGAAGACCGACGATCGGCGTGGAGGCACGGCGTCTTCAGCCGTTTCACCTGTAAACATTAAAGATGCGCAGGAAAAACGATGAGGAGCTTCGAGGGCGGGGAAGGCATGAGAGAGACTGAGGAAGAAACTGTAGGAGTTTTCTTCTTTCCTTCCTTATCTGCCCTCGCGGAAACGCAGAAAAGAAACGGCGAGGTAGGATATTTATCAATAATTCCCTACTTTTTAAATAACTAACATTCTAGGCCCCAATTCTCTTATATCTACGATAACGGACGATGATGCTGACACGCTGGCTTTGACCTCATTATATTCTGTGGTTTATCACTCCGCGTATTTCTCGAATCAGTTCACGCGATGATGACGTGTGACCGGGGTGGAAATTACATAAAAATACTCAGACTTTCATATTTTATATTGTTTCACCATCAAAGGAATTTAAATTTCGCACGGGCTTTATGAACATGTCCCACAATTATTCTTTACATCCCAAACTTTTATGGGCCTTGGGCCGGCAGCGTGGGCCCAAGTCCCCATCAGCGATCGGCTGTCGCGACTGCCCGGTCCGCTCGGATATCGGAGTCCGTCACCGTCTTGCGGCGTCGCAGATATTTACGGTCTACGTGTCGCACCGACGCCGGAAAAAGCGATTCAATTTAATATTATAAATTCATACTTATCTTGGAGAAATTAGATTTTTGCGCCCAAGGGACGGGCCGGAGAATTTCCCGATCAGACGGCGAGGGGGACGGCCGTCAGAAAACGTGTGCTTGTTGGGCCTTCACGCGGTCCGTTGAAATTACCGTTGAAAAATATCAACCCCACCCGCCCCCCAAAAAAAAATTACTGGATGATAAAAAATCCGGTTTAAAATGACCGTCTTAGCGGTCAGGTCTGGAAGGCGGAGCTGCCCAACTGGCGGCCTCTGAGACAAGGTGGGAGCCTCCGCCATATCCAGAAAGCTTGCTTTTTTACCCTCCTCCAGAGACCGAGGGGGAGAGAGAGTGTGTACTTTTCGCCGCTCTCTCTCTCTCTCTCTCTATTTAGGGGAAGCGGTCGTTGCAGTTGATTACCGAGGTCTCCGGGGGAGGGGAAAGGAAACGGTGAGGGAGAAGATGTTGGAGGGTAAGGCGATGGTGGAGGACACAGACATGCCGATCAAGATGCAGGTGCAGGCCATGTCGGCGGCGTCGTACGCGCTGGACCTCTTCGACGTCTCCGACTGCAAGAGCATCGCCGCTCACATCAAAAAGGTTCACTCCGATCCCTCCTCCGTGCCCCCTTGCCGGTGGCGCCGCCGCCTTCGTCCTCCCAGATCGAGAGGGAGAGATGTTCCGGCCTGCCGTCGTCTGCCCTAAGTAAGGCGTTGCCCCCTTCCTGGTTGATCTGAGCAGGAATTCGACAAGATATACGGGCCGGGTTGGCAGTGCGTCGTGGGCTCCAACTTCGGCTGCTTCTTCACCCACACCAAGGGGACCTTCATCTATTTTCGCCTGGAGACCCTCAACTTCCTCATCTTCAAAGGCGCCGCCGCTTGAAGCTGTGGCGTAGGCCCTACGGGTTCCTCTGTATCTACTCCCTTCAGCAGTCTCCATGGTTTCCTCTTCTTCCTTCTCCTCTTACCTCTTACCTTCCGCTCGAGGATCTGGTGCTGGTCGGTACCAAATACCCATGATCCCGAGAAACCCATTCGGATTTCGTCCTGTGCATCCCACTTTAGAAGGATAAATCTGATCCAGCAGGAGACGTTTGCTCAGAAAGAGGCGTCAGGGAACCCATAACAGGGCGCTTCCCCCCTCTGCCTCTCTCTCTCTCTCTCTCTCTCTCTCTCTCTCTCTCTCCATATTGAAAACTAGGTAATATTAGATCTCTTCGCATCTGATGTCCATACGAGGATCCCAGACGCGTGGATGGGTTTGCGCTCTTCTGAGCTATCAACCTCACATTGAAGAGGCACGAGGATACCCGACACATAGGTCAACGATTTCGGATTTGAATGCCCCATTCTTCGGATTTATCTTTCCTGATCATTCATTCATCTGAAGACGATGAATTATTCAGAACCAAGTACTCGTTAATGGCAATCGAGATCCCACATCGAGAAATAGTTCTTCTCCGGCACCATGCAGAAGCAGAACCAGAATCTCAGAACCCTAGTAATGGAAAGGGTCCGGCCGTCAGAGCACGGGGGTCAAGAGCGGCCTGTTAAGGACGTGGGCCTCGAGGTGGCCGAGTACCAGGTCCGTCATGTCCTTGCGGGTCTCCCACGTCCCGCTGCCCACATGGGACAGCAGCACCACGTTGTCCAAGGCGAAGAGCTCCTCCGGCACGGAGGGCTCTCTCTCGAACACATCCAGGCCGGCGCCGCCCAGCCGGCCCTCCCGCAGCGGCGGCACAAGCTGGGCTTCGTCTACGTGCCCGCCGCGAGCGATGTTAATGAGGACGCCCTGGGGACCCAGCGCGATGAAATGGATGTGTTCTATCAAATGGGTAATCTCCTTTCCACCTTCCTTCTTGCCGGCCCTCCTTATGAGCTTCTCTTGAGTTTGTCTATCAAATCTTTGATCATTAGTACCGTTGCTCCCTCTGAGGTCACCCTCCAGTTGGTTAGTCGTTTGCTTCCAGTCCACCTGTTGGTGAGGCCCATTATTTTCCTGAGCCCATATGCCACTAACGTCTCTTATTCAACTGTTGGTACTGGGTCGTGTGGCTACTGAGCCCATTATCAATGCGTGAAAGTAGACCAGCAGGTTAACTTATAGCTGGGGAGGGCCCATGGACCGAACTGTTCAGCCCAATCAACGAGACCAACCGTCAGAGCACGGGGTCAAGAGCGGCATGTTGAGGGCGTGGGCCTCGAGGTTGCCGAGTACCAGGTCCGCCATATCCTTGCGGGTCTCCCACGTCCCGCTGCCCACATGGGGCAGCAGCACCACGTTGTCCAAGGCGAAGAGCTCCTCCGGCACAGAGGGCTCCCTCTCGAAAACATCCAGGCCGGCGCCCCCCAGCCGGCCCTCCCGCAGCGCCGGCACAAGCTGGGCTTCGTCTACGTGCCCGCCGCGAGCGATGTTGATGAGAACGCCCTGGGGACCCAGCGCGTCGATAACCTCGCGGTCGACGATGTGCCGGGTCTCCGCTGTCAGCGCGCAGGCGACGACGAGAACCTGGCAATTGGCGGCGAGATCGACCACCCTCGGGAAGAACTTGTAGCCCACGCCGAGCTTCTCCGACCTCGCGAAGTAGCTGATGGGGCACCCGAAAGCTTCCGCCCGTTTCGCGATGGCCAGCCCGATTCTGCCGAGGCCCACGATGCCCACCGACTTGCCGCTGAACTGCATGCAGCCAAAGAACACAGATCATCCTCAACAATTCTCTTCCCTCCCCACCCGGCCATTAAACAGCCATTTCATCATGCTATGGACGGTCTCAATGAACTAATCATCAATCACAGAGGATTCATCGTAAAGCAATTCATCTTCTTGTTCTTGTCACCAATCGTCAACGCCAAGGACCCTCTCAACCTTCAGCAGCCCAGTATCTGCTGCCACAGGCTCCTACCTACCTGCTTATGATATAACTGAGCAGTCTTCGCATCTTTTGATTAAACTTTAAAAATATTAAAAAAATATCAGTTTAGTTGCAATGACAAAGTTGTGAAGAGAGATTGTTCCTTTGGGGAATTGGGGAGATGGGAAATGCCATGAACTCCTCTCCCCAATCAAGACGACCGCTAGAATGAAAGAATCATACTGTGGATGAATGAAAGCCAGGACTTTTTCGGTAAGCACACTAATAAAGATGAAGGATCTCCGACTGACCTCTACTATCTTTCACCCATATAGCTTATAAAAATACTATGATTAGTTGCTCAATTTACATCCCACGTAGACCTGATCTTTTCAAGAGCAAATCCTCCGTAGAAAATCTTGCTTAGAACGATCTCCATCCCGGAATCCCCGCCCAATGCATCTTAGAGGTGTTCAGAGAGCCTCCATATCATTTCATCTGAAGGTTGATACACCTCTCTACTTCCACAAATTGATAGTCAGTGAGCATAAAACGCAGGCATCCCCACCTCTCCTCCGTCCTGGCTTCATACTAATCTTAACCTTTCCAAAGATGTCTGATGGAGAAAACCCTAATCCACGCAGCCCAAAATTCTGGGATGAAAAATCTTGAACAGAATCTTAGCCAATGATAGTGTCTGCATACTATAACTGATGTTGTTTCCACAGGGATTTCTAACGCAGAACTGTAATGATCGAAGGTCGGGAACTGTAAGAATCTCACAGCCCCAACTATGGAAACGGCTATTCGAAGATTCATCAATCCTCATAGAAAAAATCATATATGAGAAAAAAAACTCTTGTTTCATGACCGCGATCGCCTCTTGGAAGAGAGAAATAGAGCAATAAATGCAAATAATTGGCGTTTGATTAAAAAGGGCACAAAAACAGGAGACGGAGATTAGCGAGGAAGATTATAGGAGAGGAGAAAGAAACGCCAGATCCAGATGAGCCTTACCTTGGACGTCAACTCGAAATCCCCATTCGTTTTCCACGCGCCGCTGCGGACGTAGCGGTCTGAGACGCAAATCTTCCGCAGGACGGCGATGGCGAGGCCGATCGCGAGGTCCGCCACGTCCTCCGTGAGCACATCGGGGGTGTTGGTGACCCGAATCCCCCTCTCCCTGCACTTCTCAAGGTCCACCTTATCTAGTCCCACACTGAAGGATGCAACGATCTCCAGCCCCGGGAGCGCCTCGATGGTCTCGGCGTCGGCTCCCACGATGGCATTCCCCACGACGGCGCGGATTGCCTGGGAGTGGGACCGCAGGAACTCCATCCGCTTCTCCGGCGGCGACTCCCATAGACGGAAGAGCTTGAAGCGCTTGTCGAGCTTCTCCTCGAGGTACGAGTCCATGGGGTAGGTGAGAAGGACCCCAAGTGTCCCCATCCCTGCGGCGGCCCTCCGGCTGCCGTAGCGGCGGAAGAGGGCGGAGCAGAAGCTTTGGAAGTAGGGGGGCCTCATCTACACCTTTGGTTGCGAGCTCGCCTTGAATCTGCTCCTTTAATTTCGCCACGTGGCGTGTGATCTAATCCATCAATCCAACGGTCCAAATGCGGCGACCAATGACAGCCGGCATAACCGCCAACGTCCCCTTCTCCCACGTCAACGATTCTTCCACAGCCGCGCATGTGAGTGCCCACATACAGAATTAATATTAAAATAAGGACCGATCTATAAAATAAAATTTTAAAATATTAAAGTCATAAAATTTATCCAAAATACTAGATGTTATCATTTTAAAAGTATAAATAACTCTTAATTATAGTTAAAAATATTTGACACACTTATCATTGACTTAATCCAATGAGTGTTGACCCTACTCAAGTGATTGGAAAGATCTTATTCTCTCACCCTATTCATTTTGTGTACTTGAGAGGGTGTCATGGGTCTAAAGAAGAGTTTATATTTTTTTCTTTTGCCTCGAAACCAACCTTGATCGCCCTTGACACTACCAAACAATCTCACCATGTTACAGTGTCGAAGAATTTCTTTATCAATGAAGTGTTCTTTTCTCTTAGGAATAAATTAGGAAAAGATGATGCTCTGCTTGTACCACTGTGCCTAAATCCTATTTATAGAGGAGGTTTATTCTTTCATTTGTGTCATGACACCCACTTATATCTACAAGTGACACCTTTATTATAACATGCATAGAATAGGCAAATTATGACAAAAAAAATGTACAACATTCTTTCTTTTAACATTTATTGTCACATGCACGAAATATAATGTGTTGTTTATAGGTAAAGAATGTGGTCCTCTATACATAGAAGCATTGACCTTATGAGTCACACATAAGTAAATTATGATAATTATATTATTGTTTAACAATTATTATTCGCTAAGGATGTATAAAGATATAAAGATATAGAGACCTATGTTTGGTCTTATCTGGTGTGTTAGTGAGACAAAGTGAAGCACGCTAAAGTGATAATGACATTGAAGTCACTCATTACCAATTTATCACTTATCAAAAGAGTCTACTTAGAACCAAGCAATTACCAATTTCTCACTTATCACAAGAGTCTACTAATTTATCACTGATCACAAGTGTCTACCTAGAACTTTGCAGTATCTCTTGATGAGATCCTCAAATTATCAAAAAGACTCCCTCACCACTTGAGGAGATAATAGGTGTGACAATATAACCCAAATCACTTGCCTCTATTGATCTCCTTGTAGTCTAAAATCTGATCAATTGGGTATTCAAATTAGGTGCCCATCAAAGGTAGTGTACATTAGGAGTGATTCTGCTTCGTATCCTCATCATCTCCATGATAAGATTTCTATAGAGAAATATAGAAGATGTAGTAAATCATCAAGCTTCGTGATAGATAGAGATGCTTCATCAATCATCCAACCTTGTCCGCAATATCGAATGACCCATCATACCTAAGAAACAAAACTCATGACATTTAGATTCTTTGAGACTCATGTACACCTCCAAAGAAATGCATCACATTGTTGTCAAACTTGAAACTCTATGTTTGTGTCAACCTGATCCACATACTTTTTCATCTAACACATTGCGTGTATTGGTACTTCATGCATGTCTTTAGAGTGCATATCATGTCTGCACAAAATAATATGTGACAAAATAGTGTGGTACAAAATAACGTGCATATCTATTTCACTTGTTTTGATAGCATCAATGAGTACATACATATTGTGAACTTGGATAGTAACTATCTATCACCAAACTATGATGCAAATTGTAGAAAAATTATATCATGTCAAGAAGCTTAACTCAATTCTAATAAGTTGTCACCACATAATGCTAAAGATATTACAAGTTTTTTATATGTTCATCATTAGATGAAAACTCATAGAAAACTTTAGTTGAGGTTTAAAAATCATAAAGAGTATAGACCACAAATATTAAATAGAGGTCACAATCGCCAATAATTTTCTAAGAAATCCCTCAGATATGCTCTACATTTGTGAGGAAAAACTAATGCACCTACCATGTTGAACTCTATTCGTGTCAACTTGAATACTAGATACTTAACAATCAAGTCCATAGAAATAAATTCTCATAGTCAACTTAGAATGGATGTTGACAGCATACCTACAACTTTCACTATTATCTTATTTTACTAACATAGATATTAATATCATAGTCCATGTGAGGTGAATAATGATTATATGATAGTAATGTGAACATACACTACTAAGTCATGTGTCATATGTACAACACATGGTGTATCTCTTATAGAAGACACTACCCAACCTATTTACATATGACACATTTATTACTCACACATGACACATTCAATTGCTTCTCATGTACATATCAAATACCATTCTCTAGCTAGAAGTGATGTGTTTTTCGCCACACATTACATCAAGTGTTTTACCTCATCACTATAGTGCAATAGTGACAATTTAGATCTCCTTTAACATATTATCTTTGTGTTGACAAGATGTAGTTGTCTTCCTCTCATGTGCCATTGCCTATCAACTCTCAAAAGTGATTAGATGACCTTCTAGTATTAAGATGTCATAGTTGTTAAATCATAGGCACCTATGTACTTCCTAAAGGTTATACTAAAGTAATAAAATCATAACACATACTCATTAGTGATCGTCTTTTATAATATTTAAAATAGTTATTGAATTCAATTAATTCATACTTTGAACATGTTTTCTTCTTTAATAAATTAGTCATAGACACTACCAACTTATAGTAATCTTTGAGAAACTTTGAATTATAGTTATGTTCAAAAATGACCCAAACTTTAAGACATAAATGAGTGTTCAGCAATCTTGTATTACCTAAATTTTTGTTTAATTCATTTGAAAGTTGTTACGTCTCACTACATGAGTAAAGAGTGTGATGCGTGACGAGGAGGTCAAAAGAGATCCCCTTAACAAGAACTACACAATTGTCTTTAGAGTCAACTTAAATTAGAACTTTTAGGATTTAATATCTCGATGATCTTGCAATTTTAGGAGAATTGGGATTGTTAATTACATATTAGGGTATTTAATTCAAAAAATTAGACAAGGCTTCTCAACTAAGATTTGGACCACCAATCTCACACACAAAGATGACTATCTTATATATCTCACAAATTCTAAGAGAAAATATTTTTAAAAAATAATCATCAACTACACAAGAAATTGAAAATCAACACACCTTTGCAATGAAGATTCTTAACTCTAAAAGATTCTTATTTTGCTGGAATTCCTCAAGCCTTATTAGAGATTTTCCCATTTAATATAAAGAATTGGTGAAGAGAAGGGAGGCAATGAAGAAGGAGAGACAAGATTCAAATGGCTCAAATTAGTGATAGACTAGTGCATTTTGAAATAATGGATTGTTTGAGCTAGGTATATATGATCTATGTAAATAATTAAATAAATAACCAGAATGGGGGGAAGCGAATTAAGGCAACGATGGGAGAACCGATGGGGGAAGAAATAAATAATAATAAGAGAAAGGGACGGAGTGAGAGAAGGGGGGAATCGGGAGTGTTGGTGGGAGAAAAAGAAGATGGGGTTTTGCAGCAACAACAAAAGAGAAAAAGGAGAGGGTTTTATGATGGGGCGGACAGTGAGGAGGTGAAATGATAGTGACGAGATGGATGGCAAGGAGGCAAAAAGGCAGTGACAATAAGAGAAAGAAAAGGTGGCTAATGACATGGTAGTTGACTAGGAGACGGAATAATAGCGACATCAAGAGAGAGGAAAGATAGGGCTGACAATGAAATGAAAAGATGATGAAGTGGGAAAAGAGTGTGAATGGTAAAGCCATCTAATTATGGGGAGAGAGAGAGAGAGAGAGAGAGAGAGATGCACTAAACCCTCTAATGGGGTCCGGTGCACTAAGCCCTCTAATAGGTTGTATCTAACATTCTCCCTCAAGTTGGAGTGTATATATTGAATATGTCCAGCTTAGATCCGAAGCAATCAAATGACACTGATGAGAATTTTGGTGAACATGTTAGTAAGCTAATCTAATGATGACATAGGAGGTGTTGAAATAACTCCCGTCAATACCTTGTCATAAATAAAGTGGTAGTCAATATCAATATGCTTTGTCCTCTCATGAAAGATAAGATTTTTAACAATAAAGATAGTTATTTAGTTATCACAATACGTAAGCATAAACATCAGAGTCGTGATCCTCAAGTTTTGTAAAAAAGATTGTAGTCATACAATCTCACAAGCAATAGCAGTCATGACTCGGTATTCAACTTCTACACTAGAACAAGAGATGACTTTTTATTTTCGAAAATACTAGGTGATCAGATTACTTCTAACATATGTATAATATCCCATAGTTGATTTTCAATCTCTTTTGTCTCTAGTATATCCAGCATCAGAATATGCCTCAATGTAAATATGATCATGGCGCCAATAGATAAGATTATTGCTAGGGGAAGGCTCGACGTATGCGAGAACCCGAAATTCTCCATGTTTGTGCACCATCCAAGATTCTTGCATAAACTAACTAAGAATACTAACATCATAGATAATATCAAGATGAGTAGTAGTCAAATAAATCAATTTCTTCAATAGACACTCATAGTGATTGGTATCCCCCATCATAAGTGAGTCAATGTCCCATAACTTAGGTCGTGACTCTAAAGGTGATGTAGCTGGTTTACACATAAGTAACCCTATCTCTTAGATAAGATCTAAGACATACTTCTTCTGAGATAATTTTAACTTACTTGATTGGTAAGTAAATTCAATCTTAAGGAAATAGTGAAGTGTTTGTAAGTTGTTTGTCACAAAATATATCTGAAGATAAGTTTAAGTAGTAAAGATATCAACTCAATCATTACTGATCAAGAGAATATCATTCACATATATGGTAAGTACCACAAAGCCGACATATATGATCTCATGCATCACTGTTGGATTAATCTTATAGGGAG